GTGTGAGGGGTCGAACATTGGTTTTTTAGGGGTAGGGGTGGGGTATTAGGGAGTTTGAGGTATTTTATGTTATATATTGTTTCCATTCTGTCATTATTTGTCATATTATTCGAAGCGTATGCTTGTTTTTGTTTTTGTTTTCTAAGAATTAATGAATGGCAGTGTGAGATAGTAATTTGCTCGACATCCTACTTGCCAGTCCCCCCCCCCCCCATCTTTAGATCTCACTATGTAGGCCTACAACCAACTAAACCTGGGTAACACTGATTTATGTGTCTTGATTTTTATTAGCTATGTACCTTTAAATGTATTGACTTCATATATTTTTTCTTTTGATATTTGTCAACATTATTCAGATTATTTCATTTTTGCCTTGGTACCAGTACAGAGCAGAGGAGAGAGTTTCCAGATCAGTTAACCCTAATAAGGCCGGGGGGGCATTATGGCCCCCCCCCCCCCTCCACGATTTTTCTGATTGCTCGGGAACGCATATGGATGGCGCCCCGCCGCTCGCTGACTTTTTTCTTTCGAGTCTTGAGCAACTTTTATAAGAATTTTTTTGAAAATCGAACCTACGGTTGCAAGGTCACGTGACCTTTTGTAATTGCATGTCAGCCTGAAAATCGCTCAATTTCGTGATTTGTGTACAAAACATATGGAAAAGTCATTTTTCCTAAAAACAGATCAAACATGGGTTATTGGGTCTTGTTTAAAGTTTAGGCGGTTGTTTTGGGAGTCAATATAGTTGAATTGTAGTAAGAAATGAAATAAAACAACAAAAACAATGAAATACATAAGTTAAAAAAACAATGAAATACATAAGAAATTATCAAAACAAGAGATAACATAAGAAATAAGCTGGCTCTTCCAAATTTTTTGTCATATTATTATTCAGAATGGTCTAATGAATATATGTAGCGAAAAAGAATGCTTAAATATGAATAATATATGATTTATGGGTAAAAATGTGATTTTTATGACTTTATTTGCATAAATTACCATAAATATGCAAATGAGTAAATTTTTCAAAAAAATTGAAATTATATTATTCTATACACTTCACTTGACATGCGTGCAAATTTTCGCGGCGATCGGCCGCTTCGCGGCCGAGATCTTAAGGGGGGGGGGGGGGGGCATAATGGCCCCCCGGCCATACTAAGACCTCAAATAGCCCGGCCTTATTAGGGTTAATAATTCTCCTTATCAGCTTGTGTTTACGCCCTGGTCAGCAACTTCATAATCCCCCAAATAGTCAGTCCCAGGGTCCTTGTGCAGCTGTAATATAAACAGTGGCCGTGCGGTTCCCCCCATTCACCCCTCTGTTAGGAAATAACAATCATCTGTATAAGATCTCAGAATGTCCCTGCATGTATGGTATAGAGAGCTGCTTTGGCTGAAAGGATTTGCTGGAAATCAAAGTAGGTACTTTTCATCATTTTGTTGAATTATAATCATGTATTTCATGTATGTTTGGTGACATATTTTGGATGCCGTTATAAAGTTATGAGATGTTAGTGAAAATGTGCTGATGTTGGTAAAGGTGAGTATAGTTAACTCACATATCCCTGGTTTAATAGGTTTGTCGTTGGGTATTATACATGAGGCTGTCGATCTTTCATGTATATTCATAAAGGTTGGGCATCTCTCATGAAAGTGTATAGTAGAGTCATTTGAGTTTATTGATATATCTTCAATTTTGTGTATTTTTGTATTGTATTCTTGTCTGATGTGTCAATCCATCTGCATCATTATGGTACGTGGTACATGCTCTTGTTCATTACAGGCGCGGATCCATGCATGTGGCGATTTTTCCGGCCTGGAGTTAGAGTTAGCTTTGTTTATGACTGTTGTTTCTTTTACGCTCATGACTTAGTTTTATTTTTGTTTAGGACCATACAGATGCAAAGTATATAGTCAACCTCAATGCTGTGTTGGTTTTCTTTGATCGTTCACTGTTTTGTTTTCATATAGTATACTTTTGAGTCTTAGCTGAAAGGTTAAAAGCGAAAGATTCCTTGCAGACTCTCCCTTTATTACCAGTGTAATCAATTAGTTAATTCCAGTCGTAATAATTATATTTCAAACACGTCCCGTACACAAATAGGAGGTCACAGAAGCACAATAAAAATTGATATTTTTGATCTTTGGCAATTGTCTCATAGGTGGGTAATTTTCCACGGGGAGTGGTTGTCTCTCGGGTGTAATTTTCCGGGGCGATTGTCTAGGGCATGTCAATCCGGACTGCCGGGAGGCTGTTTTTTTTTCAAACCCCAAAGGGCGGGGCAGAATCACCAGCTAGGATCCACCAGATACCAGAATCCACCAGATCTTTTGATATATATAATTTCGACCAAAAGGTATACCATGGGTACTGCGTGGAGTTAAAAAAAATCACCGATTTTCCCATAAATACATGTAGGTCTATATACTATACATAATAATGATGATGCAAAATTGTCACTTCGCGAATATGTGAACAGTAATATGTTAATTAGTAATAATTCAAAAACCAATTGAGATAAAGATATGAAACTTAATGATTCTTTATGAAATTCTCTATCAATATACCAAGTTTAAGAATTCGTTCGCAATTCCATAGCCGCGATTCGAGGGGGCATACCCCCCCCCCCCCCCTTCCCCTCGCCTGAGAGAGTATCAAAATAACCTGGCATTTTTAACGATAAATTCCCCTTAGATCAGACAAGATCAAACTAGATTTGACCATTGTGTCAGCTCGTTAAGGGGGGGGGGGTAATTTTCTTATGAGAGTCTCAAAAGGTAACTTCCGTCGTTCTTCTCATTAAAGTGATGATTATTAAGTGTAGATGATTTGTCTTTCTTTCCATTTTGAATTGTAGGAGATAGCGCGAACGCAGATCTCCGCTACCATAATACGCCCGAGTTCCCCACGTTTGGGGGAATCGCAAGGTTCAGCAAGCCGGAGTGCAATGGCAAGCCTCGCCCTGGGAGTGCATCCTTCTTGATCAATGCGACCCCTGCGCCAGGTAAGTATGCTTATGATGGGAAATCGCAGAGTATATTTGAATGTATAGACACTATTTTGTTATGGTTAGTATTTCATTAAACCCTCCTCAATCTATGCTAAATAAATTGACATTTCCTTTTATAACAAATATTAATGACAAATATTCTCATACAAAAAGATGTAACAAATATAAATTTGAATGCTAATAAAATATTTCTTTCTAGAAAAGACAATTAAAGAGTAAAATACGTCAAATTTGACGCACTTCTAGACTCATAGATTCGTTATGGCGAACAGGATATGCATATGCACGAGTCTTGGTCTTTGACCTCTGGCGTCACAAAAGAGCGTTTGCCATTCAGATATACCAGATACCAGAATCTACCAGATCTTTTGATACCTAATTTATATAATTTCGTCCAAAAGGTATACCATGGGTACTGCGTATAGAAAGAAAAAAAAATCACCGATTTCCCCACATGATGTAGGCATACTGTACACAATGAAAAAAATGGTCACTACGCGGATATGTGAATAGTCCTGTTAATTAGTAATAATTCGAAAAACATTTGAGAGAAAGATATGAAACTTAATGGACCTATTGTTTATGAAATTCTCTATCAATATGCCAATTTTTCGTAATTACTTAGCCGTAATTCCAGGGGGCATAAACTACCCCCCCCCCCCCCCCCCCCCGCCGTCCCCGAGTACCTGAGTACCAAAATTAAATGGTATTAGAAAATTGTTAGGGTTAAATAGATCAGACAAGATCAAACTCGATTTGACCATTGTTTCAGAACGTTTAGCTTTCAAGAAAATCATCAAGGCTAAAGTTTGATAATCCCTGGTCTAGGGGGGGGGGGGGGTTAATTTCCTGATACGAGACTTGACAATGGTCTGCATACCTTCCCCAGTCGTTCTAAATGTCATGATATTTTTCGATGTTTTTCTTTCTTTGCATTTTGAATTGTAGGAGATAGCGCGAACGCAGATCTCCGCTACCATAAATTATACGCCCGAGTTCCCCACGTTTGGGGGAATCGCAAGATTCAGCAAGCCGGAGTGCAATGGCAAGCCTCGCCCTGGGGGTGCATCCTTCTTGATCAATGCGACCCCTGCGCCAGGTAAGTATGCTTTCAAGAGGAAATCGCAAAGTATCTTAACATGTAAAGACACTATTTTGTTATGGTTAGTAATTCACTAAACCCTCCTCAATCTATGTTAAATAAATTAATTTTCCTATGATAACAAATATTTTTGACAAATATCCTCATACAAAAAGATATAACAAATGTAAGTTTAAATGCTAATAAAATATTCCTCTCTAAAAAAGACAATTAAAGAGTAAAATACGTAAAATTTGTAGCACTACTAGACTCGGAGCATCGCTATGGCGAACAGGATATGAATATGCATGAGTCGTGGACTTTGACCTCTCGGGCGTCACAAAAGAGCGTTTGCCATTCATATCAAGTTGCATTCGTAGACTTTTATCAAGACCGCGTACAAAAGTAGGCGAAACATACTAATATTCTCGTATTTCAGAATGATGATAAAGCACATGAGGAAATTATTTGTTGTTTTTCTTACAATGTGTGCGAATATGTTTACCCAGGGAGGTGTTTTAAACTCTCATACCCCTGGTTTACCATACGGATCGATATACGACTATGAACTTTAGATACATGCGAACACTTTGTGTTGAGTCTTGTATCAAATGCATTACATTATCATTTATGTCTCGTCAAGCCAATACATGAACTCTGAAATATATATATATATATATATATATATATTCCATATAATATATATATATAATCTATATAGGTCTATGCATATTCTTATAAATCTTAAAAAGACGATTTTAATTTTCTTTCATCTTTTTCTCTGGGTCATGCATGCACAAACGTTGATTAAAAATTTAGCTGCTAGTCTTACAAACTTCCCTTGGAAATTCATAATCATTCTAATTGATTTTGGATAAGAATCATGAACCCTTTTCACACACACACTTTACCTAGGTAACCCGACCCGAAGTGTATGTACACACTGTGGGGTGTCGTGTGTATTCTCTCATATAGCACATAGATGCAGACACAAACAAAAACCTCTGAATGGCGGCATACAGCCATGCCATAAGGAAACTATACGTCGTCTCACATATAGCATACATACAAAACGGTGATTTCCTTACGGTTTGAAAACTGAGATCACGTGGTGAGTATAATATACCATAACGTTGACAGGTGAATGCGGGTACTATATCTTTTTAACAGTCTGTTATTCCATGGAGTTACTAGGCTAGTAACTCCATGGTTATTCATATATCTGTCACCGAATTGCGCCCGTTATAATATTACGCCATTCGTCCTATATACACAGCAATGCAGTGGCACCATCATGCCTCATGGATATATTTATATTACCTCGAACATGATCGAGTTCAGTGCACGGTGTATCGTAAATTCAGTATGGTTATTGTTATGATCGACTGGATGATGGATATGGTATATACCGCATAAACCTGACGTGAATAAGGGATCATTATGATATAGTTCATACATGGAACGTGAATTCAATCATTTTGATCATGCATGATAATACTGTTGCATATTATAATTGTACTAGGGCCTGTGGTATAATCTTATACTTACTTCAGGTTGACTCTTGGTCCCGGCCGTCTTATAAAGAGTTGCGATTGATCCAAATCAATCGCAAGTCCTCGACGACGAGGACTTGCAATCAGTCGCAAATCTGTATAGTGTCATGTCTCTTACTAATTTCGATTGATATCAATCGGCAGAATCATAAATAAGTTGCGATTGATATCTAATATCAACTCTTTATACGACGGGCCCCTAGCTGCATGGACGCAGGTTGAGATAATACCTCTGTAGAGATATGAGTGTGAGGTATTGTGAATGGATATTTGAAAGCGTGTTCACTCGTCACACAACATAACTCTTTATTTTATTTTAGCTACGAGGAAACAAGGTTACACTGGCAATAAAATACATACAAAAAAGTATTCCCTTTTCGTTATGTTTATTGGGTACTGATGAGGCTGGCCGTACACTTGCAAAGTGTAGCCAAGCACGAGCCGAAGAATCGGAATGAAAATGCATAAATGGTAAATGTGAATATTGCACGGAGATTACATAATGATCAATGATGATAATGAACATGAATAAATGCGATGTACATAAATAGAGCTTACGACAATAGTAGAAATGAAGCCGAAAGTCCAATGAAGATGAAGAGAGTTGAGAACGAAGGAAGGGGCTCACGCGATGAAATGTGCGGAGGCTTGATGGCGGAAACGCGACTTCGTTGACGTGGTTGAAGAACCGTGAAGAACGCGATGTCGTCGCCGACGCTCGTGATGATGATGAAGGTAGATGGAGCTCTCGGGCGAGAATAGAAGAGAAGAGAAGAGATGTGTGGCGCTCGATGACGAAAGCAGTGAGTCGCTTGATGTCGGAGGCCAAAGAAGAAAATGCAGACATCAAAGCCGGTAGTGGTGCTGAGACGGTGAGTCGCTCGATTGATGAGCCGAACTTTGATGGTGAATGTTTAGATGAGCTGCGGTGAGTCGAGCTCATGTGAGTGAAAGACTACCGGTGAAGAAACTGGCAACTCCCAGCGGATAACCAAGCACCATATATGTCGGAACTAGATTTAACTGTTCCACTGGAAGACTGCAGCCCGATGAACACGGCAGAGAAAGTGAAGATGTGCCGATACGATAGAGGTGAAAGGCACGGTAGAATCAAGCCCGGAGAAGAAATCATGCAGAAACGTGTTGACTCAACTGAGATGTAAGCAGGAGTTGTTGACTCGACCGAGGTGTAAGCGGGAGTGAAGAAAACCTCGTGGTGATGAAAATACGCGGGTGAACGATGCGCGGAACCACGATGCTCGATTGGAGGAATGAACACGCGTGGTACGAATAATGAATATAAATAAATACCGTGATGGAAAAATACAGGAGACATGAATGTACGGTGAAAGTAGGGCATGTAAGAGCCGCTACATTACTCCCCTGCCAGAATTGAAGCTGTGTATGCAATACACAGATGAGAGGCGAAAAAGATATAAATGAGCAAAGTACAAAATGTCACAAAAATCAATGGCTGATAAAAATGTAAAAGTGCATGTATTGTATAGTGTATGCAGTAATTTACAACAGCCTAAGAAATGTACAAGCATGGCATGTTGAAAAAATGTAATACAACAAGCATGGTATGCGAACGGCTGTTTAGTTGCCAAAAAATAGAACAGTGAGTATTGACATGGTATGCATCGAATAAACGTGTATAAATGCAAGAGCATAAAAAACATTCGATACATAATCCAGAATGAAAACATTTTATAAAACATTGCTAAGTCCAAAAAGTCAGGGAACAATAAAAGCGTACAACCAAGCTTCCAAGTAAACGCGGGGTCACCAATGTAGAAATATGAATGATCAAAGGTGAGAATGAACATGAATAAATGCGATGTACATAAATAGAGCTTACGACAATAGTAGAAATGAAGCCGAAAGTCCAATGAAGATGAAGAGAGTTGAGAACGAAGGAAGGGGCTCACGCGATGAAATGTGCGGAGGCTTGATGGCGGAAACGCGACTTCGTTGACGTGGTTGAAGAACCGTGAAGAACGCGATGTCGTCGCCGACGCTCGTGATGATGATGAAGGTAGATGGAGCTCTCGGGCGAGAATAGAAGAGAAGAGAAGAGATGTGTGGCGCTCGATGACGAAAGCAGTGAGTCGCTTGATGTCGGAGGCCAAAGAAGAAAATGCAGACATCAAAGCCGGTAGTGGTGCTGAGACGGTGAGTCGCTCGATTGATGAGCCGAACTTTGATGGTGAATGTTTAGATGAGCTGCGGTGAGTCGAGCTCATGTGAGTGAAAGACTACCGGTGAAGAAACTGGCAACTCCCAGCGGATAACCAAGCACCATATATGTCGGAACTAGATTTAACTGTTCCACTGGAAGACTGCAGCCCGATGAACACGGCAGAGAAAGTGAAGATGTGCCGATACGATAGAGGTGAAAGGCACGGTAGAATCAAGCCCGGAGAAGAAATCATGCAGAAACGTGTTGACTCAACTGAGATGTAAGCAGGAGTTGTTGACTCGACCGAGGTGTAAGCGGGAGTGAAGAAAACCTCGTGGTGATGAAAATACGCGGGTGAACGATGCGCGGAACCACGATGCTCGATTGGAGGAATGAACACGCGTGGTACGAATAATGAATATAAATAAATACCGTGATGGAAAAATACAGGAGACATGAATGTACGGTGAAAGTAGGGCATGTAAGAGCCGCTACATTACTCCCCTGCCAGAATTGAAGCTGTGTATGCAATACACAGATGAGAGGCGAAAAAGATATAAATGAGCAAAGTACAAAATGTCACAAAAATCAATGGCTGATAAAAATGTAAAAGTGCATGTATTGTATAGTGTATGCAGTAATTTACAACAGCCTAAGAAATGTACAAGCATGGCATGTTGAAAAAATGTAATACAACAAGCATGGTATGCGAACGGCTGTTTAGTTGCCAAAAAATAGAACAGTGAGTATTGACATGGTATGCATCGAATAAACGTGTATAAATGCAAGAGCATAAAAAACATTCGATACATAATCCAGAATGAAAACATTTTATAAAACATTGCTAAGTCCAAAAAGTCAGGGAACAATAAAAGCGTACAACCAAGCTTCCAAGTAAACGCGGGGTCACCAATGTAGAAATATGAATGATCAAAGGTGAGAATGAACATGAATAAATGCGATGTACATAAATAGAGCTTACGACAATAGTAGAAATGAAGCCGAAAGTCCAATGAAGATGAAGAGAGTTGAGAACGAAGGAAGGGGCTCACGCGATGAAATGTGCGGAGGCTTGATGGCGGAAACGCGACTTCGTTGACGTGGTTGAAGAACCGTGAAGAACGCGATGTCGTCGCCGACGCTCGTGATGATGATGAAGGTAGATGGAGCTCTCGGGCGAGAATAGAAGAGAAGAGAAGAGATGTGTGGCGCTCGATGACGAAAGCAGTGAGTCGCTTGATGTCGGAGGCCAAAGAAGAAAATGCAGACATCAAAGCCGGTAGTGGTGTAGTCCACTGCCTGGACTGTTCTCTACATGATCCGTGCGCGCTCACATATTACTAGTACACCATAATATGCACGTACGGAAACAGAGCCTGAGAACAGTCCAGTACCCCTTGGCAAGTTCCCCCTAAATTCAGGGGGAACTTTTATTCCTCCCACTTCACCTTGGTCAGACCTTGCTTAGTTGTGATTGGTTCCCACTCATGCCCATCAAAAGATTCGGTCATTGCGCAATCTTACAACGATCGTAAACCTACAGGCAATTTGCAATGTCAGTTCCTTGACCCTTTAACCCTAAATCTAAATCTAAACCACCAGTGTGAATTCCGGGCAATGAAAACAACTACAAAGCAGTATAAATTGCTAACAATTTCGTTGTTCCGTCATTCAATCAACACACACACACACACTCTGAACATGATGTAAACACAAAGTAGTGCATGTAATCATTTCACCAAGATATTTTTATTCCAATTTACAGACTTCAACTTCATATGCTATAAGGAACTACACTAGTAACAGATGACATGTTTCAAACTAGAAAGCATTTAATCAATTGTCTTGTCAGTGATTTTTACAGACAAACTGTTATTTTTTACTGAAATCCTTGCATCTGATTAGCTGAGAGCGAATTTGTCAGTCAAAATCACTGACAAGGCACTTGAAGAAACACCCCCATTTTGAAGTCTATTATGTCCCCAATCACTTCAAGATAAACAGAAATATATAAACATGAAATTCAGGACTCTCATTGTTGTCGCAAATGGGTTAAACACTGAATAGCCTACAATGAATTCCTTACCCTTTGCAGAATAGTATCTCACACTGTAGTGCATGATTTAAGATGTAATTTGCCATCAAGGACTATGGGCAAGAACAGTGCTAAGCATTAGTGTACTTGCATAAAAGGTACAACAATGTATGTGGAATACTGATTATCTTTTGAAGACAAAAAATTGGCAACGAGAATAATAGTTAAAGCATGTTATCATCTGCAAAACATGTTAATAACATCAAAGTAAACTGTTATAACCTGTAAATGAGGTAAGCTTATATGTAGCTTAAATTAACAATCATTGGGTGTAAAGTTACTTCAAATTCAAAGGAGAATCTAGCTACTTCCTTCTTTGTATGGCTTTCATACAAATTAAGTGACACAAAAATTGAGATTTGGAGAAAAGTCATTCCAATGATTATAACATGTCTATCATGATATCACATTTTGAAAGCAAAGTATTTGTAGGTATGCATCTTTGAAGCAATAGTACTGGCTGTTTACCTATAAGGAATGAGTAATAAAATAAGCAAAACAAATCAATCATCAAAGAAAAAATAAGGCCAGTTCTATCGAAAACATGAGCTAGTATGAATAGCAAAAAAGAAAATCAATATATAATATGAATACATTTATAAAGCAGGTAATGTCAAAATATACATCCACAGTGTTTGAAAAATCAACATAATTATGCTAATCGATCTGAAATATGATTAACATACAACGCAAATATTTATTAAAAAAAGAAATTTGTGGGTAATATAAAACAAAAGCTCGTTTTGAGGGAAGTTCTAAATTAGCTCTTTCAAATGCCGTTCTAATTTAACCTTTTCATATTTGGGCCTGCGAATGGAACATAGTACCTTTAATAAACAACTGTCATATTTAAGTGCATATAATACTGATGACCTGAGATATTAAGGGAGAAAGAAAATAGTTTCCATTTTCTCCTAATGAAACAACTTTAGGGCCTACCTATAGTATTCCCTATATTTGCATATATATATATATTTAACATCATTCTGATTTTCCTCAAACTTTAAAAAAATCTGTTTGTCCATTATTTTGTCTGCTTTTATAAATACCAAGAAATTCTTGGACTGGACTTGGCCTTTATATATGATTCTGCAGTCTAACCAAGGAGTTACTGGCACTCCTTGGTCTAACACCAAATGTCAGATGAATGCATGGATTAAAAAAATAAAACATTATTGCCAGGGAGTCAATCAAACCAACAAAATTCATAAACCCCACCTGAACTTGTTTTCCTCGTTGTGGCATTGGATCAATTGAAGATTCATTTTCAATCAATGGCTGGAAGTTGATCCTCGTCTTGGACTTGGGTGTTCCAGAAACATGTAGCCTTTTAGTAACATGCTGTAAGGATACCAAAATACACATTCAGTATGAATATTGCTTGTTAAAAAATACAAAAACATAGATCTAGGTGATGGTGCTGATTTGCAAAAAAAAATCATATACATTCAGGAATACAATATTTGTATCACAATAATGCAAGTAAGAGTCTTCAAACATAACTAATTTCAAAGATTTTCATTTCACTGTAGCCTATTGAATTAAGTAGCAGAAAAAAAGGGAATTTTTTTTTTTTAAGGGGGAAGAAAGCTATAGAAAGGGAACAGTAAAGAACAAAAACAAATCAAAGATTGTCACAAGACGCAAAATCGAGTAGGCCTACATTCATGACATTGCACCTTTTTTTTACAGTTCGACCAAGCGATGAAGGATTTTGGTCCGACAAGAAAGGTACACCTAGATCTAGAGATGAAATTTAAATGTGTTTGTTTGAATATTTACCTTTGTTGGTGGTGTGCCGGCCAGGTGAAAAACAAGCTTCTCTTTTATTCTCCGAATTTGACCCTTTTTTGCTTTTGGGTGTCGTTGCTTTCCTTTTTGGAGTAGAAGGGCTAGAAGAGCTAGAAGAGGCAATTACGGTGTGGTTTTGAAGTGTCCGTTCGTAGATTAGTTCGACTTGTTGACTTCTCATGGAGTGTACATTTATAACTTTCTTCACACATTTGTCGCATACATGCTGCGATTTGTTTGTAGAAAAGTCACCAAATATGTCTTTAAAACTTTTCTGTAAGCCACTCCTTGAAGTTTTCGTAGAATTTATATTAATGTAGTGTTTGCAGGTAACTAGGGCAGTATCACAAATCATACACCACCTAACAGGTCTCATTGCTAAATTACCTTAGTCCTTCTTTCACATGATTTCAGTGCTATCATTCAGATTTCTTTCTAATTTATGTTTCCATTTGTTGCAATAAGCTATATTTCTCGTATTTATACTGATTTATTTTACAAATTCAATATATCATGTTATGCTATGTTCTATGTTATATAAATTACATTATGTGTTATTAATTTTGTTTGTAAACTTTTGTAATTCGGCTAAACGCCGCGATGAAAGTTTTATTTGAAATGAACCATTTTGAATGAATGAATAATTGGCAAACTCAGTTTCAATTGCTAGTCAACTTTTATCCAATACGATGTATGCATGCTTAATATATTGGGACAATAGTGCATGTGCTGCACGCAAATAACAAATACTGTAGCATTGCACATAACTTTCACATTCACCAACATACACCCAGCTCCCAGGGCTCACAGGCACGCATACACAGGCCGATCACCTGAGCAAGGCCAACTGATCGGAACGAAACATACATCATTCATGAGAGGATCCTTATTTGGGAAGCGGGGTCATGGGGTTACTGCTCATTAAATTCGGACCTCGCTGCCGAGATTAGCTGGTCGTTTTTTTCGGGGAAGGTGAATTCGTGGGGAGTACGCATATCATACACGCGCGCGCATTCGGGAAAGGGCAACAGATTAAAACGACCATAAGCTGGTCTAGTAGTGGTGCTGAGACGGTGAGTCGCTCGATTGATGAGCCGAACTTTGATGGTGAATGTTTAGATGAGCTGCGGTGAGTCGAGCTCATGTGAGTGAAAGACTACCGGTGAAGAAACTGGCAACTCCCAGCGGATAACCAAGCACCATATATGTCGGAACTAGATTTAACTGTTCCACTGGAAGACTGCAGCCCGATGAACACGGCAGAGAAAGTGAAGATGTGCCGATACGATAGAGGTGAAAGGCACGGTAGAATCAAGCCCGGAGAAGAAATCATGCAGAAACGTGTTGACTCAACTGAGATGTAAGCAGGAGTTGTTGACTCGACCGAGGTGTAAGCGGGAGTGAAGAAAACCTCGTGGTGATGAAAATACGCGGGTGAACGATGCGCGGAACCACGATGCTCGATTGGAGGAATGAACACGCGTGGTACGAATAATGAATATAAATAAATACCGTGATGGAAAAATACAGGAGACATGAATGTACGGTGAAAGTAGGGCATGTAAGAGCCGCTACACCTCTATTAATAATTATGTTCGGCCCTCCAGGGCCCTGTGTACGTTAAGCTTACAATAATATTGATGGTTAATTTTGGCATCAACTAACATATGGCAACATTATTCATCAGCCAATAAATTTAATCAAAGTTTTCATGTACATGTAAATTAGCATTAATGGCAAATAAGTTACCATCATTATTGTAGGCTTAATGCAACGGGCCTGTAATTGAATTATCTAGCCTATCTTCAAATTGAATAACAGTATCAGCCTCCACAACTTGGTTAGCAATTATTACGAATACTATTCTGTTCTGCGCTTAGTCACAAACCTGGTAGCCCTTTATGATCAACATACAGCACTCACGTAGATCATTATTACTGACACCAGCGATATAGGCAAATCCAAGGGCCGAATTGGTCAAAAGAAACATGATACCGGGAAATAAAATGATCCTACGTATTAGATCCAACCCCTGGACTGAAGCTGTGGACAAAAAATGATACATATTCTGGCGGGAAAAAATGTTATGTTTCAAAGCATTGATTCGCCGATCAATTTTCTTTTGACCAACTAATTCATCAATTCGTCTTCTTTACCACGATAGGCTAATTGTTGATACGAGCATGTTGTCATTAAATCGAGATGTCTTTCATTGATGTGATGCATTACATTTCTTTTCGATTTGTTTTTAATAAAAACACGGGCCTACTCATTTCTCAGAGATTCTTTTTATTTTGAAGTGTCTTGGGAAAGGAATATAAAGTGCAAAGGAATTTCTTCATTGGCACTCACACATTTATTTTTTTTGCGCTGATAAATCATTATGGTACACTACACTATATAGGAAGGCCCAAATTAAAGATATCATTTTGGCTATCGTCTCTGCTGAAATGAATATGAAATAATACTATTCAAACTTCATAGTAGGCCCGTATCATTTTACTTGATATTCGAACAGGTCCTTTTTCTAATAGATACAGTTTTAAAGAAGAAGAAGAACAACAACAACAACAAAGAGAGAGAGAGAGAAAAAAAGAAGAGGGGAAATAGTCAAATTAGAATCGGGTCCCAGTCATAAAACAAGAATAAAACTTCCGTCTTGTATCTCATGCTTTCCCTTGTGTTTAATTTATCACATTGAAATATTGTGAACTTGTAAAGTTCAATCGACATACTCTGTCTGAAAAAACAAAAACAAACGAGCAAACGCAAAAGCAGACTATTACAGACCGAGGTCTCTTCCCAATCGCAAGGGTTTACGTCTAGGTCTAGTTGATATTCGATGATATCCAGTATGATACTGCTTTGTGATTAAAAAACTCACAGGAGCGTCAAAATGGGGGGAGGGGTTAGTTACAGTAGATATGACATCCTACCTAATGAAACAATCTCTTTCAGCTATAGCAATTTAAATTGTGATTCAAAAATTAACAATACCGTCAAAATTGGAGGGGGTAGTTACAGTGGATGTGACACCCTCCCTAATGAAACAATTTCTTTCATTTTTAGCAATTTAAATTAATATAGCTTGTTGGCAAGTTGCAAAAGAAAATATCTTGATCTTAAAAATCATCATCATCATCATCATTGTGATTATTATCACTATTATAATTGTTTTTATATTTATCATTGTTATTTTTCATTATTGTTGTTATGTCTTTTGCGTGTGGTAAATATGCAAATTTGGTCCTACCCCTCTTCAAAATGGTCTAGCGACGCGCCTGATTAGCTTCCTAATAATGTCTATTTCTCGTCACTTGCAGGTTTATCATCAGGGGTAATTAGCCCTTCATTGACAACCATGAATGACGTAATATCATCTAAGGTTTCGAAGGACCTGTACGAAGCAGCCCGGAGAGGGGATATCATGGAGATCCGAAGACTCTTACAAGACGTAACCCTTAAGAAAGCGAGGAAGGTTCTAGAACATAATTCCATCGTGGTCGAGCCGGTACTCAATATCGCTGTGCACTTCAAACAAGAGAACGTTGTACGCGAACTCGTGGAGTACTTCGGGGTCACTGTCGACGCAAAAACGGACGAGGAGTCGTCACCTTTAATGCAGAGCGTTCTTGGTGGGAACGTCGGTATTCTAAGAATCATAAGCAAGAAACTCAAGTATCCCGACCGAGGATGTCCCATACATCGGGTATGTGGAGGAGAAACGCCAAATGGCACCCAGGTTCTAAAGATTCTAATACACAGTGGAGCCGACGTCAACTTGAAGAACACCAAGGGTCTCACTCCGTTGATGATTGTTTGTCAGAAGAGAAACTCACAGGCGCAAGACATGGTCAAGATCCTCTTGCAGTTTGGCGCAATGGTCAACATTTCGTCACCCGATGGTAATACTGCACTGCATTTCGCGATTCAACAGACTGACGAGATGTTGAAGGAATCGGCGTGGGACAGACTGAATATTTTGAAGGGGTTAGTGAAAGCTGGAGCGAAGTTGAAGCCGAACAACCTAGGCCTCACCCCACTTCAACTTGCTTGCATCAAGGGCAATGCCGAAATGCTCTCGTTCCTTGCGAGTAACTTTTCTGTAGATGATGCCAACTTGGCCGACTACCATGAACTACTTGCATCTTCTCTGTACTTCAACAAAATCAAACGCGACGGCAAGTTTTCAATCATATGCAAACTAAACGAGACCCACTACAAGGCATTTAAGCAATTGGAAATTGGCATGAAGTTGCGAACATCACACGATCCTCCATTATGGAAGTTCACCAACCAGATTCGAGAAGAAGGGCTACTCTACCACGTCGAGACACAGACCTTTGAAGAGTTAAACGCATTGAAGAATCACGGGGAAGGTCTACTCGTAGAGTTGATTCTGGCCCGACAAAGAGTTCTTCCCGCGAACGCGTACGAGGATCACCTAATGCCATTGATCATTGAGTATTACTTGTACTTAAAGAACAAGCATCACTATAGCCAAGCGATATCACTCTTAACCCACAAGATGCGGCTGCAGCTCCGTCTGACACAAAGAAAGTTTGAGCACACGATCATCTTTCTGCTTGGATTGTTTCGATCCTACAAACATAGCTCTCAATGGGCTCGGAAAGATGACCAAAGGATTGCTGAAGCAGTGGTAACATTTATTGAAGAATGTTACGAAAGCGAGCCATCTGAAAAACGGTTCCTACTGCGTTGGCTGTACCTTACCCAAATGTACCTGCTCTATCTGTGCCTCTGTAACCCGTCCATCGGCTCCACGGATATCGAAAATGTCCGCAGGTTAACGGAGAGGTTTCTGTCTGCCACAAGAGCCATCAAGAAGTCAGTACTAGCCACGTATGCTCACTGCGAGGATGCATACCTTTTTGGGTCTTGCACGAGTGAACCCTATCGAGCTGTGGTCGGGGACAACTCTCTCCATGTGGCTTGCAGACACATCCCAAAGGACGAATCCAATTCAAGTGACGACCAACACTGTACATGTAGTTTCGATCACCCAACGCGTCTTTCCGCTCTTCTTCAAATACTACATTCCTGTAGTGAAGATATCAACGCCAAGAATTCTGAAGGTAAGACACCCTTGAAGGTTCTCCTTGACCGATACTCGACAGCCATGACGGTTGAATGTCGGCTGGCAGTTCAGACGCTTCTTATTGAAGGCGCCGATCCGGACGTGAAAGATAAGCTCGAACAGACGGCGGTCCATTCCATTCTCACCGGCTACCTATCTCCAAGCTGCGACGTTACATGCCACTCTGAACTGAAAACTGTCTTGATACTGCTCTTGAAGAGTGGCGCAGATCCTAACGCTCAGGACAAAAGAGGATTCACCCCTCTCCATCACTTGATGGAGGTTGGCAACCAAGGATGTGGCCAAGATGTCCAGAATGGTAATCGGACAGCGGGCGATGACAACAGGTTTTCCTGCCAGGAATTCGTCGACATCCTCCAAAGCTACGGAGGCTTGGCTGACCTCTACACTCCGAATGGGAGGTCCGCCCTCGACATGTGCAAAGATGAATCGCTGGAACTCGAGATGAGAGCAAGGCTTGTGGACTCCAAGAGAAGTTGGATGACTCTGTCACGCCTTGCTGGTAGAATAATCCGGTTGCAGAAGGTGTCGTATCGCGACATAGCCCCGACTTCACTCGTCCACATAATACAACTGAAAACCTGACACTCGTATTAAGCGTTCTAATTGTTGTACTATATATCGCGCCTACAGCAATATACTAATAATGCCTTCGTCTCGTATAATATATCTAGTGAAAAAGTCTATTAAATGTAAACTAGTATTTTTGTAAAGTACAGAGTATATAGCGAGAATTAACCAAAGCGATTAAAGTATTAATATATAGTTATCATATACATATTAATTTGTTTGAATCTACATCATCAAATTTAAATTGTATAGATGCATATACAAATTTTGGTTTGATAATTATTGAATACCAAAGTGCAATACACGATTATTTCGTTTATAATTTAGATGCACAAAAATATGCTGGTTAATGTAACTTAAGCATAATATAATTGTGAGAATAAATATATTATATTTATTCTCACAATACAAGATTTCAACTAATAAATGTACAGATGACAAATGGCGTAGTTACGGGTGATACTTACCCGCTTCCATCCCCATTTAAATGATAACATGAAAGAGAGACAGAGGGGGGGGGGGGGGGGGGGGATGGGGGGATGGGGGGATGGGGGGGGGAGAATATCGTTTAAAATGAGTAAATGAATAAAAGGTTTTAAGCGCTCAAGACTCGACCTAAATACTTCATCTGTGCTATTCATACAGAATCGTTATTATCAAAACACTTCATTAAATCTTACCATTCACTGTGAAATATTAAATGTCTAATAGGTGTAATATTGCTTGACAAGTCACGAGGTTGATTATTATTGGGCATTATGTTGACCTTTTTCTTTTTCTGACGACAAAATGCGTATACATTTTCTGGAGTTATGCCTGTATTATGAGTAAGCCTATTGCATCAGGTATTTTAGTTTCTTACAATGTTCAATGTTTCTAAGTAAAGTCAAGTATGTCTATACTAAAACCACTTACTATATGAGGACTACCTGTCCTAAAGGGTGAAGCTATTTCTGGTTTACCTTTCTTTTTAATATTTACTATAAAGGGCTCAAATTTCATTTCTTTTTATACTGGGTCTCTGTATCACTTAATGCATATACATGTACTTCCCAATGTTCTGCTTTGTATAACTGACATGCCAATGACAAACATATTAACAATATACTGTTCTATGTGCAAATTACTTCAATGTATTTCTGTTTCGAGCACAACGAATTTAGAGCTCCCAAGAATGCCCCCCCCCCCTTAGGCGGGAGGGAAGATTGTCATAGTAATCTTGAATAGCTTTTTTCTCTTGCAGATAGGTAGGGGGAACACCCTTGCGAATCAATAAGTAACGTTCTTTTAATTGGTTATAATAACGTCTTAACTTTATGTATATTGGATGTATATGAATTTTATGAAATTGCCAAATAGATAATTAATAATAATAAGGGAGTTTACAGATACAATCGGCGCATGGGCTGACAAAGGTCATTTGTACCAAAATGGTAAAAACCACAGAGATGAATACTGGATATGCGCTCATGAAAGTTATGTAACATTATTCATTTATGCACCAACGGTACATTCTATGATACGCAGGTGGAAGTATTCTTTTCAAGAGTTCAAACAAATGGTATTCATGAAGCACATCTTGGACTTTGGCAGTTATTATTCTAAGATGCTCAAAGTGGAACTTCTCCATGTGTAAAAGATCTGTAGATATTTGGGGTCATTTGTACCATGTGCTATCTGTAAACTCCCTTATAATAATAAAAGGTCATTCGTCTGCATCAACGTTTCACCCGGATGGCCTTGTTCTGTTGGTCAGGTGACTTCACCACGTGACCGCCTGGATCCACGGCGCTATATACACTGAGATGTCACTCTACATGTAGTTTACAATACACACCTGTGCAGATATGTTTGTTATTGCAAGAAGTAGTAAGGTAATAAATAATAAGATGTAGGTCTATCCTGAATGTTATCATTAACAAATGCTCATACAGTACTGATTATCGGTGCCGTGAATTTTGTTTTGAACGTTGATCAATGGCACATTACTATTATTAATACAGCATCAACTCCAACATTCCGCTGAATGATATAATCATTCTATTTTAGTTTCATAATACACGTTTATCTTAACATATTATTTTTAAATTATTCAGAGAATGTATAATTATCCACGTCTTACTCATTGTTTGTGGAGCAGGACTCCTCATAATATTATATACATTTTGTACAAGCTAGGCATCTAAGTGTTGATATGTTATATTCATGGTTTCGATTTTAATTATCCTCGCATGACAGCACCGTCATATAAATTATCGAGGCCTCTAGGCCTATGTTAAGAATTCTTTATACATTTTTGCTGCTTTATTTTGCGTATAGTGTGTGTAGAAAGATGCAAAGGGAGATGAACATGCAGAGAGAGTAAGGAAAGGGGGTGAGTGTGTGGGGGACAAAGTTGTAGTGACAGAGAGAGGGAGAGAAAGAGAGAGAGAGAGAGAGAGAGACGGATTGAGAAAGAGATGAGGATCAACAGACAAAGATATGAGAGAGGGGGGGGGGAGGGACAGAGACTGATATAGCCATGGACAGGGAAATAGCGGGACCGAGAACGACAGAGAGAGAGAGAGAGACGGAACGTGGGGGGGGGGGGGTATAAAGTGAGTGTGAGGAAGAGGGTACAGCCCCCCCCCCCCCCAACAAAAAAAAATGGTTTGAAATGGTGTGTGTATGTGGGGGGGGGGGGGTAGGCATAGTCCAACAGCCTGAATATTTTCTTGGTAAACCAAGGCTATTAATATGTCCTATAAAACGCAGCGGCTAAATTAAACTCTGGGAATGAAACGCTAATTGTAAAATTAGCTTTCCAATATAATATTAACAACTTTTTCTTATTAAGATTTTATTTTGAATACGAGAACAGACTGGGCCATGATTTCCAATAGGGGGGGGGGGGGGCTCTTACTTTCCCACTATGACTTCGGCAATTCCACTCAGTTAGGCCGGGGTAGGGTGGGAGGGGGCACTTTTAGTCACTTTGCATCATTTTTTTAATGTGCGCACTAATTTTTTTTTCGGCCGGGGGGGGGGGGGGCACGTCCCTGTTTGCCATTACATTTTTTGCGAATTTGGGGCTGATTTCAAAAAAAAATTGGGGGCCGGGGGGGCACGTGCCCTCTGTGCTCCCCCCTGAATCCGCGCCTGATTCATGTTGGGAGTGACCCCCCCCCCCCCCCCCCCCCGAGCCCTCCGATCCCAAAACCCCGGCATCCTTATTACTCCTCCGATTCCCCCCCCCCCCCCTCTCTCCTCCCGCCGACGGCAGTCATCAGGCATGCACACTATAGTATTACGCTTTCATTGCTGAAGTAAGAGACTAATAATTGACATGCTGCAGAATCTTGCTCACAGTTGTGGAAACGCACCTTCTCTCTCTCTCTCTCTCTCTCTCTCTCTCTCTCTCTCTCTCTCTCTCTCTCGCTCTCTCTCCCCCCCCCCCCCCTCTCTCTCTCTCTCTCCACACTCGTTTTGAGTTATAATAATAAATAGGCCAACTGGTAACAGGTTCAGCTGAAATAGCCTATAGTGATAGAATACCGATAGCCAGAGGCGGCGATATTATACGAGCGAGCTTAGAAGATTTTTATTTGTTTAAACGTTACACTCTTGGGCCCTCCAGAGTCTAAAAGTGTGTTGCAGTCTTTAGTCAGTATTTTTGCACTTTTTCAAATGGGGGACGACCCCCCCCCCCCTGAACAAATTGAGTGGGGACGAAATTCAATGTTTTTTTAAGATGAAAATTATATTGGTATCATTTAACGGCAATAAACCTTAATTATCCTGCATAATAGTGATCAGTAACAAAACAAACAAACAAAAATGAGAAGAAAATACATTAAATAAACCATGACGGTTATAAAATAATGTAAGAACTCTGGTAATCCAAATCAGGCGCGGAGCCATGATTTCTTAGGGGGGGGGGCCAAATTTGAAATCATGCGAGCCAAATATTGGTACATGTACGTAATGGTAAAGCAGCAGCGTAATGAGCAAAAGCGTTTGGAGGGGGGGGGGCAGAAAAATAAATTTGGAACACCACCCGCTCTTACAGTACATGCAGGCCCCGCTGAACGATTTTCAAAGTAGGTGGGGTGGCTAACTACACTGTCGCTCATAAAGTTGGAATATTTTTGTTTTCCCCCAATTTATGGAATTATTTTAAAAATAATTTAAAAGATAATAGTATACATTCTTAGATTTTATTAAATAATAATTTGACAAAGTGTGTTTTGCGTGACTGCTAAAGCATGTGTATGCTACTATGCTTATCAACTAGGGGACCTATGCCCTTAAGTCATAAATGACAGTAATGAGGATTAATGCCCCACAAAAGGGCACTAATAGAGCACATCGACACGGTTTTGATCCTGGGGCCTCACAGTTACGAGGCCATTTTTTGTCACTGAACCATGACTGTACGCAGTGGGGGCTAGGGTAGGGGGCAGTTTCCATATTATTTTTTTTTTTTAATGCAATAAATATTCAAAAATTTATTGCACTTTACCTCGGTCCCCAACATAAAAAAAATCCTCTGTGTGCCCATGCCTTGAGCCATAATGCATGGCCGCCAAGAAGATTTTTTTATTTTTAAAATAATTCCATAAGTTGAGGAAAAACAAAAATATTCCAACTTTATGAGCGACAGTGTATTTACTCTCAGGTAGAGCGTAGCGTAAATTGAAGTTCAGGGGTATGGGCATTTAATAACGGTCAGATGAGCATATTTTGATACCTTATTCATGACACTGGCAGGTCACTAATTGGCGTGGGCTCCTGAAACTCAGAGATTTAAGGCATTTTGTAACGGTTAGATAAGCATTCAGGGGATGCCTACGGGCCCCTGGTGAGGTCGACGGGGCGAAGCCCCCATAATATTAGGGGTTTGAGGCATTTAATTTCTGTCACATGAGCAATTTTTTGATACTGTATTTGTGACACTCGCTAGACACTATTTGGCGTGGGCTACAGGGGCTTCAGGGGTTTCAGGCATTAAATTACTGTCATATTAACATCCAGGGGTCCGCCTTAGGGCCTTATGTGAAATCCAGGGGGCAGAGCCCCCGGAAGGTTAGGGGTACCGTTTGAGGCAATTCATCACGGTCAGATCGCATATATTTCGATACCTCATTATTTTTTCGAAACTGGCAGGTCACTATTTTTTCTTTCTTTCTCTCTTTCATTCTATTTCTCTTTAATTTACTTTTTCCAAAAAAAAGTGTGTGGGGGGGGGGGGGGGGGGACTCGAGGCCCTTAAGCCCCGCCGTTTCGCGGCCCTGACACGTAGGCCTCTAAATAAGCATATTTCTTGCCCGACTGTAAAATTAGGAAATTGTCATTTTCCATCAAACGCATAAAAGAGTATAATTTACTAAAAAGTGATGAAAAATCTCGAAAGTATGCAATTTCAGCAACATTTTGTAATTTAGCGGTATCGAATTAGAAATATACCTCATTTTAATTTTATTTGTGGGGGTGGGGATGGCAACTGATTCCTAGCAATGGCGAATCTAAGATAAGTAAATTACTCCAAAATTCAATGGCAAGCAAAAAGACATTTCCAGGTGCCTTTTGGAGTAACAAAATTACTGCCTGGCCCGGAGTGGAAATGATTTTGTGGTGGATGTATTTACTTAAGGTATGACTTGTTTGTTTTGTATTAGGGCATGTGCCCACACTCCCCATCGCAAAAGGAGACCATGCATTAAGATCTTCTTTTTGATAGCTAGCACAATAAAACATCACTGAATGTTAAAGAGGAAGCCCATACATCTCAAAGACCCCGTCATGCACGCCCCTGTCCGACAATGTCGTAAAAAGCCTGACTGAAGAGTCTTCTCTTTATCTCAAACTTAGAAATTAAAGAGTGAGATAATTGAAATTTGTAAATGAAATTTGAATATCACCGCGGCCATTAGTCATTTGTTTTTGTCATGACAAAATTAAAGTAAATAAGGACGATGCATATTTTGCTGAGCTTTCTTATTTTGTTTGCCTACATCTTGACATTGCAGGTCAATATAGCCAATAATATAAAACTATGTTCTATGGACACAAACATAATAAATTTCCTATGAAATATAATCGGCTCAATTCGGAACATACGGGGGTTGGGCGTATACCCCCCTCCCCTTAGTGGCAATCTCAGTCGGTGTTATATTTTAATCAAAATGAAGAAGATTGAATGGACTATTCCGTAATAGTAAAGAGTAAAAAGGCATTGCCAAAAATTAAGGTCCAATCAACGAATAGATTTTAAAAAATAATTGTTTTGTTTTGTAATGTTTTTTTGTTCTTTTTCTGCCCCAAAACACAATCAAATACATTAATTGTACAAGTGCGTACGCAGGAGGTGTTTTGGGGGTGTAACCCTTTGGTTTAACCCCCCCCCCCCCCTCAATTTTGTTTTTAATTAAAAAAAAAAAAAAAAAAAAAAAAAAAAAAAAAAATATATATATATATATATATATATATGTCTATATCAGTCGGCATAATTTTCTAATTTCCAGGACCAAAAAAATTAATTATGTGCTCTTACCACCCCCCCGGCCCCCCCCGCGCTTATTCAACGGCTGAATGAGTCGTTGCGAAATTTTCGGCGCGATTTTCAAATTTTACCCCCCCCCCCCCCCCTCCCCCCCCCCCCCCCCCCCCCCCCCCCCCCCCCCCCCCCCCCCCCCCCCCCCCCCCCCCCCCCCCCCCCGAAAAAATCCTGCGTACGCTACTGATTGCCGATAGCTCCGAGGTCTGATATCGAGCAACGTTCACACGGAGTCGGGCTAATTCGGCGCGCGTGCGAAAACGACTTCAATTTTGTACCTCTAACTTCATCAATTGTCATGTCTCTGACATTTTGTTTGAGTAATTTATGGGGACATTTGACAGGCTGTAAGTGGCTCTAATAATCGTAATTTACGAGATTTTCTGACTTGAAATAATCATGGAAGGGGAAGCTGAAGCACCTATCACTGAAGAAGAGAGGAAAATTGTCCAGGAATTCAACTATTTACACGAGAAATCGAAGCAGCTGTTTAATGGATTGAGGTGAGATTATTTTCTTGTCTACCACGTAGTCCCACTCAAGTGTTGCTGCGTGTGCTGTGAATCAGACAATCCGATCACGATTGTTTGAATGAAAGTGAATGTGTCTGTGTTGGTATGTATGTACGTGTATGATAAGCAGAGAGAGGAAAGTTGGAAAATGCAGTGTAAAATAGTAGAAGAAGAGTGTATTGAAAGGAAGAGGGGAATGAGGAATGAGACTTGAGATTATGAGAGAGAAGAAAGTGAGGTAAGATTAAGATTAGAACTTAAGAAGAAAAGAAGTTAGAAGGAGAGGAGGAGGAGGAGGAGGAGGAGGAGGAGGAGGAGGAGGAGGAGGAGAAGAAGAAGAAGAAGAAGAAGAAGAAGAAGAAGAAGAAGGAGAAGGAGAAGGAGAAGGAGAAGGAGAAGGAGAAGAAGAAGAAGAAAAGGAGACAAGGAAAAGGAGGAGAAGAAGAAGAAGGCTAGGCAGAGGCGCAAAGGAGAGGAGGACAAGGAGAGAAAAGAAGAAAATGAAAGAGAAGAAGAAGAAGAAGAAGAAGAAGAGGAAATGATGCAGGAGGAGATGGAGGAGAAGAAGAAGAACTTGTAAGCAGAAGAAGAAGAAGAATTTTAAAAACAAATCATCATACTTATGTTTTTAATCCATTACTGTTCATGCATTATTGATAATTTGTAGTATTAAATGTACTAATATTGAATACATGTAGAACCAAATTGTGGCTTATTTTCTCTTACTTGTTTACTAAATAAAATGGTATATACAGTATGTACATGTATATATAGACAAACAAACATGTATGCAAACAAAAACTATGGTTTATCCCCCTTCTGATGGGTCAAATATATTTATGGAGCTGGAGTTAGGTACAAATATTTTGCATACCTAAGCTAGTGAGATGCCAGAAAGATTGATTGTGTGATAATAAGTACATTTAGGTGGCTACGCTAGGTGCCTCTGTTAAGTGGGCATAATTTAACATTAATAATGAACAACTCTTTGTGTAATGAAAACAAAATTGTAATCACAGTAATGAATGAAATTAGCTATTGTATACTGTTTGCAAAGTTTAAAGGAAACTTCCAATGTATAATAGACATGTAGATACTGATGTAAATATTGATGCATCTTTGACAGTTGACAAATATAAGATGGTAGTAATTAACAAAGTAAATTATGGAAACAATATAAATGATCTGTGCACTACATATGGTGGATATGATTTTTGAAAGGAAATGCCTACTTAGCCATTTGGAAATGTCACTAGAAAAGACAGAAGCAGAGCTGCCAACCAGTTATTCAACAAGTAAAATACAACTTTGGGGATTAAAGAGTACAGTTTTTTAACTCCAGAGGTTGGCAGGTCTTCACATTCATGTAAGAATAACAAAATCATAATTGAGGAACAGTCCCTTCAATAAGAAAAAGTGACATTTGTCAAGGTGAGGAATCTCAGTATACCTAAAAGCCTAATTTTTACCTTTTCCTCCTTTTATGATTCTAGGGACTTGCCACAGTATGGACACAAGCAGTGGCAATCTTACTTTGCCAGAACCTTTGATGTCTACACCAAATTGTGGAAATTTCAGCAGCAAAATAGGTAAGTGATTAATCAATTTTAGAATTGAATTGAAAAGGAAGGTTGAGTTCTAGTAACTTTAGTAAGGGGAAGTTTAATCATGGAATCATGGCAATTTTTCCCGATTTGTTTTCATTTGAAAGAATTTCCAGTGGGTTGTGTTTGAATTGCATCAAAACAATCAGGAATGTACATAATACAATGTAGATGCCAAGTAAATGATTTCATGTAGTAATTACCCGTAAAGCATTGATTCAAGACATACATGTAGCTGCTCTAACTAGCAGTAGATATATGTACAGTTTGTACATATATCTATGGATCTACTTATTGTACCAAAATATCACTCTTATGATAAAAATCTTGTTTACTGTTTGTCTGACATATCATTTAATAGATTCAGCAGTTCAGAATCCATACTCAATTTACATGAATAAAAATCCAATAATGAGAATCCTTGCTGTTGCTATGATAAATTTTGGCAAATCTGCATTGTAGTAAAAAGACAAATTTTAGCATCATGTAAATTATATTTCATTAGGATATAATACATGTACAGTACATGAGCATTTTATGTTTACTTTAAATAAAGGACTGCATGTAGTATTATCTTTACCAGTGTAAAATGCCTTTTGTTAATGAGAGTTATGAGATAGAATCCCCTAACTTTTTTGTTTCCTTTTTCAATTGTACTAGAGATTGTTAGTTTTGCAAAATTATATTTTTTACATTTTTGATTAGAGAGAGAGAGAGAGAGTTCTGGGGACATACCTTGCTGCTCACAGGCAACTTACCAAATTCAACATTTGTTGTTATTTACAAATTCCATTAAAAAAATACTTATAATAATACTAATCAGGGCTATCGATGTAGGACTTAATGGTGCCTGATTTTAGGCAGTCATTGACATTGAAGGAGTTGTTAATGCTGAACCCTCTGTATCGTGATAGAAAGAAGCTAAAGTCATACTTATTACAGAAGCTGTCAATTAAAGGAATGTAAATAAGTAGGGATCATTGCTTTACTTGCACTTCAAAAAGAATTTCCATTCCATTTCATTTCACAGCCACTTGTAAGCATTTTTATCATCGCCTATTTCTGATTATATGCTTTAAAGGCCCACTGCACTACTTGTAGCTATTTGCGCCCTCTGTATAACAAACAATGCCTAATCGGTGACCATTGGTCCCCCATGATCCTCTTTTTCTTATGTTAACTGAGAGCTGAGTTGATGAGATAACCACCTGTCCAGTGACCTTGCAGGGCAGTCTAATCCCTCCTGTAAACTACGGCAGATAAGCTTTAACCAATAATTTTCCTGTTTTTTCCAAAATATATTTTCAAATATTAGTATTTTTGTTATTGGTAACATAAATCAATACAATCATCATGATTGAATAAAATCAGCTTGAATGGATAGGCCATTTTCATAATGTAAGAAAAATTAATGCATACCGGTATGTCTAAATTTGTTGTAAAATGCCTAGCTAGCCTTACTATAAATGTAGCTACAGATCTTTTTGTTCACCTGTAACAAATAATTATATTTCAATAGTCAGAATGCAAATTACAATGTACCTACAGGGACATGTACTGTGCCTTACTTGCTGTTAGGTAGGGCAGCTCAGCTGTAATGTTTGTCCTACCTAGCAACAACCAATCATGTATGCAGTGCGCATTCTGACTATTGAAATAGTCATGTATAACAGGTGAAAGAAATAGCTCGTTGCGAAGTACTGTAAGCTTGTAACTTTGAATACATTTTGAAAATTGGTTATTTTGGTAGACTCTCCACATACAGTATAACTGTTTGCTCAGGACTACATACTGTATACTTCAGCTTTATGAGCATGAGTGGAATGATATTGAAGCTATCAGTATGGACTGAAAAATGGTGAAAATTCCAGACTAATGTGAAAACCTCATCACACATCAGTACATGCCTGTCAAATTTTTGATGAGCAACAACCCAAATGGCTTAAGCAGAACTCTGATTTTTTTTTTGTATTACGGTAGTTAATATCAAATGAGCATTCCATGCTCGTGGAACATGATAGTTGATTGAGAAGCACATTCGGATCATAACTTGGAACAGTTGTATCTAGTTGAATTGCCATTCCAGATTTGTTTGTACATGCATTTACATGTATATAATACATATCAAGCAACATAGAATCACTTCGATACAAACTCATGTACTGTCCATATGTTTTTGTTTGTATCATCTTTTTGTTATGATTGATAATGTATTTTCATTATTGTAGTGTTCACATTTTCTCAGAGAGGGGAGGAGAGAAAGAAAGAAAGAAAGAGAGAGAGAGAGGGAGGGGAGAGAGGGGGGGGGGGGAGATACATGTATATCTAGATAGATAGAGATAGAGAGAGAGAGAGAGGGGTGGTCGGGGGGAGGTCGGGGGTCGGGGGTCAGGGGGTTCTTTACTATTGGTCCATTTTATTCAAACTTTTGCCATTCTGTTTCATTTATTTTTCTGCTTTAATACAATTCAACTTATTACAAGGTTTGGATTACCCTTCAATGTTTAAAATGATTAGAGGTTCAGGGCATCTAAATCTATTACCATATTTTACTGCATCTCAAAACCTACTATTAATTTGCACAATATTATTGTTACTTTTAGGCAAACTTTGGATCTGAGATATGGCTTGAAAAGATGGCAGATTGGAGAGATTGCATCCAAGATTGGTCAGCTGTATTACCACTACTAGTAAGTCTGAAATTATGATACTGTAAGTTATTATATAGCATTACATTGACTTCATTAATAATAGACATTTTTTTTCTCAGAGCATCAAATTGTTATATACTGTTTAAACCATTTGCGTATTTTAGTGTTGTTAATTATTATTATTTTAATGTGTTATAATGTAAAAATACTTTTGTTACATTCAAGAAAATTGATACAACTTAAAAAAGCATTAAGCAATTACTGTGCAGTGTGCACAATGTTTCCAAGGGGTCCGTCCTCTCCTGCCAAAAAATATGTCAACTTTTCAGTTGACATAACATGTAGTGAATGAATGAAGCACCTGGGCAAATTTGTAATTCTCTTCTTATAATAACAGGCACTGATGATTTCAACCCTTTGTATTTCTTAATTGTTTTATGCCATTAATATTTATATAGCAAGATATGACAAAGAGATCTTCTCGTTGACCAAATGAGGTGATGGTTAACCCCTCCCCTCCCACTGTTTACATTATTATATTGGTACCTGGTGGGGAGATGAAGTCATTATCTGGCTAGAAATATTTGATTGAGTCCAAAGTGCAAACAGGGACCTTGTTTTTAAGGTTTCAAGACAATGCAGTAATAGTGATCAATGTCATTTGTTTAGTTTGTTGTAAATGGATATTTTATTTTTGTAGATAAAAAATTGATTAGAGAGATGCAGGGTGCTACAAAGTCAAAGAATAGCAACAAACACAGACATACTAAAGCTTTTTGTCTTGTACTCGTCAGGGTAAATGGCAAGAAAGAAGGGAAAGCCGATATCAGATAGTCCAAAGTTGATTTTTGTTATTAACATATTTATAATGTGACAATCCTTGCATTTTTGTTAATGTTAGGCCAAACAATTTGTAACATATGTTTTGTAACAGATATTAAGATATAAAACACTAACTGGTGAACAAATGCATCATCAACACCTTCAAATACGTACAGTACGTGTCTAAAAGGTCTGCAATCAAACAGCTGTTTTCAAGCATATGCAGTGGTTTTTTCGTAGAGTACAATTTGTAATACCTTAGCCCTAGTGATAAACTCAATGGGGGAAAAAAATCAATTTGTATCCACGGGCCTGTGTTGGTATAGTGTTGCTCTTCTATTGATTTTTCCTCTTGACTTGTAAATGTCACTTTGGTGCCTTGCTACCTGTTTAGGCAGCCCGGTATATGTAGAGTGCAGGTATCAAATATGTATTTATGATTGACTGACCGGTAAGTTACTACGGCAACAGCACATTCATGCGTGCTTGCTCATAAATGTCTTTTTAACAGCCTGTAGAGTGTTAAACTGTTTGTCTTCATCTTTTATGGGATTATCAAGTTTCTCAAATTTATTAGTTTTTAATTTTGGATCTTGATAGTAAAATGGATGACTATCTCTGTTAATAGAAATATTATCCCTTTTATGAATTTAAAAATTTAATCATCCTATCAGTAATTGAAATTTAATATTTGATGTGTATAATAAATCACATCTGTAAAACCAATCAACAAACCACACAAGCAAACAAGCAACACAAACAAAATAAACATACAAACAAGAAAAAAGAGAAGATTACATGTACATCATGTATATATACATGAATGCAGTTTAGACTGTTACCAGTAGTTTTCATTTTTTTCCACATCTTTTCCATCCTGTAAATAACAGAAAATAAACAAAAACTTGATACATTTCTTTTAACCATTTATGATTAATGTGGTCCTTTTGTGATAGCAATCATTGCACACATCAAATCCCATCTGTCTACATGCACTGTGTATACTACAGACAGACACCACTTGCAATAGGATGCTTTCCTCTGCTTTGATCACCATAGCAACCACCTCCGGTAGATTCCAACTCAGAGGAAGGGCTTGTCACCATGATTGATATCCATAAATATCCCCTGGTTAACTGTCAGCTAGTCAGTTAACTAAATTGCTTTGTTTTAAGTACCATCATCAGGAAATTGATGTGCCTTCTGCAGCTGTGTTTGGGAAGTGCATGGAAACACATGCTATTTTTAAGTTCCTAATCAATGATATAGTTTGATTGTGTAGACAGAGAAGGCCATATTCAAATCATCATAATTTCAACAGTATAAAAGAGTGAAATATAAAAAAAAATTGACATTTTTTTTTCTTTAAGCCATTTTCTTATGAAATAAATTTTTCTGTTGTTGAATTTTTTTTGGTACCAGTTTTGATTCATCTTTAAAAGAGCATATATATATTGATATTGTATTAAGTTTCTAAACAGTACACACAGTCACACATGTATTCTTAGTGTGAATCTGCAAGACCATCAGGTACATCCTGTCGAGTGTCGTGTACATAAATTATACTGGTATGTGTACACTGTGACTGCATTAATATTTCAAGGATGGGTGGCAAGGACATGATTGGTATAATTAAGGAAACTGTATGAATGGATGCACATATTCCCTAAGGAAATGTACAAGTCTACAACATTATTATGTATGTGTTGTAATTTACCCATGAAGATGACAATTGGAAATTCTGATGTGCATGTATTACCCACCAACCATCATGCAGGCTGTTTGTAGGAAGAGACAAGTTGATAAAAAGGCAAAGATGACAATGTAGATCTTGACATATATTATCTAAGTTTGAAAAATAAATTCGCTTTCCTTACTTCCTTTCTAGCTTTTAATTTTGTTTTTATTTCTATTTATTACCTGTCAGGTTTTATGGAATGGATTTGAAGGATAATGCTTTGGTGTACTTTATGTTAATAATAAATATTAACCTGATTAGAGTCTAATCAGGTGTATTTATGTATTACTATTACCTGAATTAAAATTTAGTTATTTCCATTCTCCTCTCTCTCTCTCTTCATTTTTTTTCACTTTCAAGCCTGAGAACCAGTGAAACCAATTATCTCCATGAGGCCTTCTCTTTCTACTCTGCTATACGAGCAAGAGGGTACTTCTCAAAAGTTAACCGAGAGAAAAGGTAAGAAATGCATACAGCTTGTAACTCTTTAAAAAAAAAGTTTTATTGCTTGTAAACAGTAAGATAGAACACCTTAATTAGATATAATGATAAGCACTGTAATGTTATCAAGTCAATCAAAGGATTATATGAATCAGTGAATCAGCCCCCCCCCCCCTTTTTGTTTAAATACTATATTTTACAATATATCATTTTGAAAGCAATAAGGTATAGTTTGGACTGGGAACAGTCATTATGCTTTCTCACAAACAGTGAAGATCACACACATTTTTTTACAAATTTATTGTACTTTTGAATTTAATTAAATGTGCCTTTGAACGTTTTTGAACAGATACATGGCACTATATAAATGCTGTGAATCAACATCCTAGTAATGTATATTTAACAGGGTACAAATTAGGTGATAATTTTAATTTCATCTCCTCCCTATCTCTTCCTAACAGTCCAGAATTAATGGTGAAGAAACTGCGATACTACGCCAGGGTGATTGTGGTGGGTCTGTTATTACGCAAGATGGACCTTGTCAAAGATCTAGTGAAGGTTAGTAGTTATTGGTAACTAGAGGAGATTCTATATCAACTCAATTCAATTCATTTTATTTGCACATTTGATATAAATCACAATAACAAACATGCACAATACAAAGTCAATTCCAACAAATTACACAACAGAACAGAAGTATCAAAATGTGGGGGACAAAAAAAAGGCCAAAGACCTATCAAAGGCTTGTCCCTAAACTATATGAGTTATTACATATAAATAAAGTGGTACAACAGGAAGAAAGAGAAGAGCAAGGCAAACTATATCAGTATGGCTAATTCATAGACAATGGATCTGTTTACTTATTGTATGCATATGTTTTAAACAAAGGTTTCACTTGGCAACTAGTAAAACTTGCCACAGGATTGCCTGATATGGCAACAACTAGATGCATTGTGGATTCTATCATACTTTATAGAGATGCCATAGCAAATTATTCATAGCAAATCTTCAACAAGCTGTGCTGTCTTCCTGCACTGGGTACTTGTTATTTTGAGTCATGTTTATAATGATAATAATATGGATATTTATATAGCGGCAGTATAACGCTCATGGCGCTTTACACATATTACCCTAGTTGTAGCCGAGCTGCCAAAGTAAGTAGCGCTCAAGCATATCTGGTACCTACTACCTATTTACACCTGGTTGGAGAGAGGCAAATGTAGTTTAACGTCTTCTCGAAGGACATTAGTGCCGCGGCGGGGCTCAAACCTGTCACTAGACCACAAGATTCACCTCTATGTCTTGTTTCACCAAGGAATGAAATATTATTTTACATACAGAAGAAGTGTGCTTATCTCATAAGAACATAGATGACATAAAATTATATCTTTTTCCTGTTTCAATATGTTTTCATACATATTTTATTTTGTTTAAACATATTTGTGGCTTACACCCAGTAAATAAAGATCGATTGATCGATCTGTAATTGAAAAAAAGTCAGAAAAAATCTTGGAACCAGCGGGACTGACTTGTTTTCAAATACAGATCCATCAATCAATCTTTATTTACTGGGTGTAAGCCACAAATATGTTTAAACAATTTAAATTTCTCCCAGGAAGCATTACATTTATTTAAAAAAACATATTTTATTTGTTTTCATCATGAAATTCTTCCATTTTGTTACAGGAATTGAGTCGTAATCTTGAGGAGTATCGCTCCAACTACAATGCAGAGGACCAGCCTGAGTGGGACTTGGTGCTAGGGGAAATAGAGGCCTTCATTGATGTAAGTTGTGGTACACTTCATTGACATCATTTAAAGGGATTGGGTATCTTTGCCTCAGATTCTAAATGAAATCCTGGATTTAGCCCTTTGCAGAGCTGCCAACTAGTACGGATTTCCCGTAATTGGTACGGAAATTAACGACCATTACGGAATGTTGTTTAAAATTACGGATTAAAAAAAAAAAATAAAAAAAAAATAAAAAAATAAAAATTTTTTTTTTTTTTTTTTTTTTTTTTTTTTTTTTTAAATATCCCCCCCCATTTTTCCTGGAAGACTGTGTTGTGATGATATGAAACTCATTATTTAACAACTTTGTGTGAGTAAAATCACTAAAAATTTCAGATAATCATGTTTCTGTGCAATGTTGGCGTGCCGTTTTTATTAGAGTCATAGCGCCGCATAGGAAATTACTGATTTATACCCAAAATTACTGATTTTGAGCCTTGTGATTACTGATTTTCTGTTCTGGAGGTTGGCAGCTCTGCCTTTGCGACCGACCTGAAAATCTTAAAAATCTATGGTCATGTTTTGGCAACTCAAGGGCAATACAACTTTTTTTTTTAAAGGCCTAATGCAGGAGCAGGGGACCCTAAATATACAGGGCCAAATAGTTTGGTGATTGGTTCCCTTTGACCTTTGACACGATCATTCATGTTTCAGGCTGATGAGAGCATACGTGTATTGGACGAGCAGGCCGTATCACAGGTACAGACCCATCGTCTGACAGAGAGCATTGTTCCATCCAAGGACCCAGCCATCACTAGTGAACTGACCCTACAGGAGGCCATCATTGTAGGGAACTGTTCACACCAGGTCAGTCACAATCCTAGAAATCTATCATTTGAAGAAAAAAAAATTAAATATACAGTAGGCTTGCGGTTGCGCGATGTAAGAGAGGGGGAGGAGTGGGGAGATCTGAAAAGTACTCTCGGTATCCCCAATCCTTGCTCTCTCTCTCTCGCATGGTGCAACCGCAAGCCTACTGTATATCTACATCACCATGCAAGCTGATACTTATGAGCAACATCTAAATTTAGTTAAGTTATAAAGATATTGTTGTTTATTTCTGGTATAATTTCTCCATGAAATAATCATTACTACACTTTAGTACTAACAATTTTTTTTAATTTTTACAAGCCAACAAGAAAAGAGTGACTTATGTTCCAGGGAATTTTGCAGCGCTCTATTGATAGAGGAAAGTTTCTGTTTTGTCACAGTGCCCGTGAAGAGCAGTAGATGATTGGCTTAAATCCGGCTTGATTGATTTCATTTCATACTTGTTTCATTTGTTGAACAAGCTATGGATCTCTGCCATGGGGAGAACAGTTTTAATGTTTGAATTAATTGATGAATAATTAAGGACAAATTATATATGGATGGAAGATTTTCTCTTGAAACACACGAATGATATGCTGAAAAATCATATAGATATCATGGAAAGGCGTAAAATGCTAGCTGTTTCTCGCATTTGGCGTCACAAATCTTGACGTCTACGGAGGACTGCTGAAGACATAAAATCTGGATCTCAACATTAACATTTTGAGAGATATTTATTATGAAACTTATTTTGAAAAGGAAAGTTGTTATATTTGATCAGTAAGGCTTCCCCTTCGCAATGATATGAACTTTGCATCAAAACACTATTGATTCTTAAGGTGACGACTTTAACAAACCACTCGACCCACCAAAATTTAATTAATCACCCAACTGACCAATCAGATCAGTCAGCCAGCAAATTGTTCTACCATTCAATGCCTTCATGTGTTTCCTCCTGCAGGTGAAGTTCAGTGAGTTGACCCTTGACATGTACAGGATGTTACAGACTCTAGAGAGAGAACCGACACTGAGGGAGGAGAACTCTACCAAGGTAACACATCTCTTTGTTAACTTCAAAAGTAACATTTATATTTCATCAAGTTGTGTTATTCTTCATAATAATAATAATAATAGGCATTTCTATAGCGCCGTCTATCTAGAAATTCTATTCCGAGCCGCATTTATTATTACCCCGGCTTTAGCCTAGCTGCCGTATACAGCGCTCTAGCATTTCAAGGAATTAATTCCTGCCAGGTACCCATTTACATCACTTGGGTTGAGTATGGCAAATGTAGATCAATGTCTTGCCAAAGGACGTTAGTGCCGCGGCGGGACTCGAGTTTCACGAAAGTTTCGTACTTGCAAAAATGGCAGTCATTAACAATTTGCCAGAGTTGCTTGGTTTTACAGTACATGTATATCAAAAAGTGTTTTGCCTGCTGGGAGCCAGAAGGGTGTTAACTCCTAATATTTGGTACTGCCCTAATGCCCTTCTGGCTCTTAGTGCATGATTTGGAAAGTTAAAGCTAAGGTGTTGTTTGTTTGTTTGTTTTTATTTCTGTGTTTTCAAACCAGAACATAAGTACATAAAGTAACAATTATTTCTTCATTTTACATAATTATAAATTTTTAAGTACATTAAATAAGATGCATATAAACACAAATATTTAACAATGAACATAGATAAATTACAGACAACGCAGGAGACCGCCATTGAAATAGAATAGTGTTGAAATAGAATAACCTCTGGACTCAGCCATACTGATCATGACTCCTTTTCTCCACCCTTGTCTTTGTGTGAAGGACCAAGGCCAGATTAAAAGACAGAACCCTCACAAGTACCTCCTCTACAAGCCCTCCTTTGATCAGTTCTACACCTTTATGTCAGCTGGAATTAAGGTATGTGTTCTAGGATGCTGTGTGGGTTCATTTCTGCAGAATTATTGTCTTTTCCTTTGTATGTTTTTTAATCATGATTTAATATATTGTTATGTTGAATAAAATGTAATAGGAACTTACATTTCTCATAAAATAATACTTTCTATGTAAAAATTTTGTCATGATAAGGTTCTGTAAGGTTTTGGAAGAATTAGATAGTCAGATAGTTGCAACAATTTTCAGACTACCTCAATAGATTGCTATAAGCTTGTACACATCTAGCAGATTATCTACATGATACATTCATTTCCCATTGGGCTATGAAGAAATCAGTCAATAATGTTCATGGACAGCAATAACAATGGAGAACAAACAAGGAATGAAGTATTTCTCAGAAATTGATATGTGTATCTTATTTTGGTACTGTTAAATTATGAGAAAAAGAATCACATTTCTCTTTCAGCATACTTAAGATTAGATATCTATTTGAACCATTTTAATATCTCTTTTGATATGTTTTGTACTATTTAATAAAACATTGATAGATCCATGAATAGCACATTTAATCATGGTGTACATGTTATTTCAAAAGGAAATCCCAGCTAATTCAGTGCTACTGGTATACCTGGCAGCAAGTTCCTGCACCCCCGGGAAGCCCGACAGCGACGGGGCCTATGACCTGGGAGGGGTAGCCACGAACCCTAAGAAGGAGAATGGAGAGAACCATGTTAAGAGATCCACCCTCCTCAAAGATATTCATTGGTAAGAATGCACCTGCTTCATCCATCCCAGTACACAAGCTATAATTACCATTGACTTTTAATACACATAGTAGTATATACAGGTTCAGTACCAATATAATTTGAACCTGCCATTACTTTAATGTCAAACCATGTTTAACTGTTGAGTTAAAGCATATACCAAAATGCCCTAAGCCCCTTTTCTCTGAGATAATGTTGTGGAGATTAAAATAGAGACCTGCGTGTAACAGTGACTTCTTCATATACCAGCACTTTTTATCTATATGTCATAAGACTCAGACATTGTATCAAACTATACTTTACTTTGCCACAGCCATTTTTTAAGCTGTTTACCTCCTCGTATCTGATTTGTTTTTGTTTTCTCTTCTTCAGCATCCATCCTGGAGACCTGTATCCATTCACAAGAAAGCCTCTCTTCATCATCGTTGACAGTCCGAACGCTCATGCATTTACTGTGAGTTTCAGCATCTATTACATTCAAGAGTAGCTCATGGATAATCTCTGCCATGTCTTGATGCTGCTGTGTATGTCATTATGTATTATTTACAGCTTTCAACCTTAATTGCATCGTGGCCTAAATTGGAGGAAGATACCCTTTTTCAGGTTTTAAAGTGAAAAAAAAAGTAGTAATTGAAAATGGCAAAAATCCATGGTATAAATTCTGTAATAATTCTAAATGAAAGGTGAACAGAACTATTGTATTTGGTTGTTGATTGCATTGGTTGTTGAATGTAAAGCTTTCCTTTTTCTTTTTTTTTGCTTCAAACATTTTACTGGAATTAATAGATCAACAGATGGCTTTTCTGTAGATTAATGAGTTTTAAAGTTTAAATTGTTTAAAAAGTTAAAAGATAAAAAGGTCACCTGACTTTAACGGTAGGTCCATTTTTAGAAAAATTTGTTTCAGAAGATACGCAAGACTTGAAAGAAATAAGTCATAAAATTTCAGTGAAAGATTCTTTTGCGTTAAAAAATAATCGCAAAAAATGAAGAGGGGGAGGGTTTATTAAGCCCCCCCCCCCCCCCGGGGCTATATAGGGGCTCCAGGTAATTTAAAGTTTCGCATTATGTTTATTGCTTTATGTGTAGTTCCAAATGTTTGTGTTTTCTCCTGTTTGGAGTTCTCAGAGCATTCCTAACCTGTTTTACCTGCCGACCATCTGCCTCATTTCCTTCATCTTATGTTAATTTTTACCTTTGACCTTTGTAATTGAAAATAATAGACTTCCTTTAATCAAAGGTTCTTTTAAATGTGGAATAAATTGGTTATTATGCTCTTTTCATATTCCACAGAACATTCCTAACCTGTTTGGCCAGCCGACCATCTGCCTCATGTCCCCGATCCAGCTGCCGGTCACCATCCAGGACAACGCCCCTCACAAGGGCAACCTTTTCACCCACTTCCTCCACTCGCCCCTGGCCGCCTTCTGCTACGCCTGCGACATCACCGACGTCCCCTGCCTCCTGTGGGCAAACTGCCAGGCCATGGTCCAGAAGATCATCGAGGAGGGCCACATCCAGGTCGTCAAGTCAAAGACAATCGGTAGGTGTTTTAATAATAATATTATTCAGCTTTTATATAGCGCTTAATACATCTCGGACGGTTCTAAGCGCTTAACAAATATACTATTACCATAATTAACGGTGTATAAACTGCCCTCGTGTATTAACCGCACCCCTCTTTTTCGCCCTTTTTTTTTTGTGTACCGTGTTTAAGATGCACCCCCGACTTTGAATTTTTTTCGGCGGCAAAAAAGTGCAGTTAATACACCGTTAATTACGGTACCCCAGTCATTGGATTCAGTGCTTGCCTTCACACGCTGTGTGCACAATCTCCACTCCCTGGGGAGCATTCCAGCCAGGCTTTACTTGACGTTCAAAAACTGTTTGACCAACAATGACGGTCGCTTCCTATCGGGTACCCTTTTTAATACCTGGGTGGAGAGGAGCAAATGCAGGTTAATATCTTGCCAAAGGATATTAGTGCCATGTCGGGATTCGAACCCTCGACCTTCATATCTCCAGTCAAGCGCCTCAAACCACTCTACCACGACACTCCCACTTCTGCAGGGGATTGCTTGTGGGTAGAATTGTCCTTGTCAAGTGGTGTGAACGTTTGACAGGAGATGTGAAGGATGTAGGTCTGAGACATAAATCTACCCCTGCCACTCTGACCCCTAGAGTAATAAGTGGGTATATGGTGATACGATATCTCTAGAAAGCTCTGGAGTGCCATGAAAGCAGCCATTAAAAAATGGGGGGTTATGAGCATAAATGCATCAATTTAACACAGAGTTAGTTTCAAATGATTACTTCTATATTCAATAATCTCTTTCATTTTTTCGATACACAGTGAAAACTGCATATAAAGAGGGTTCAAAGGAGACAAGAAAAGTAGTCTTTATAGGCAGGTGGTCTTTATAGACATGTTCCTTCATTACATGTCACAATGGGAAACTGCTTTCAAGGGAAACCAAAAATGTGGTCTACTAACAGAGCAAGTCTTTCTATCCAGGTCGCTAAACCAGGTTTGACTGTATTAATACCTTTCAGGTACCTTACATATTTATGTGTCCATTTCTTCCCTTGCAGATCATGTATATAAGCAGTTCTTCAGTGATGAGTTTCTGAGGTTACTGGTTACAAGATTCATATTCTGCTATGGAGCATTGAGATACCATAGAGGATTTAAGGTAAATGATATTCAGTATTTAATTTTACTTCATAACCAATACAAATTTTATTTACAATATTCTATCACATGATGCATATAATCAAAAGTGTGTCATGGCAAATTAAGGCTTCAAATTCTCCATTAATGAAAAAATATGTGGTATAGCTCTATTCGTTTTTGTTTTATTCCTATTTTTGTTTCAAACCTTCTTTGTTTTGATTATACACCACTTGTAGTACTTATCAGGCCTGATAAAAACCCGATTTAAATCGGTTTTCCGATTTTTTATATTTTTCCCGATTTTTTCCCGATTTTTTTTTTCTTCCCGATTTAAAAAAAAAAAAAAAAAAAAAAAAAATCCAGATTTTTTTTTTTTTTTTTTTTTTTTTTTTTTTACCAGGTTTTTTTTCTTCTTCGCTATTAATTTTATCCTGATTTTCCTGATTTCCACCTTATTTTCTCTGTTCTACCCTATTTTTTTCCCAAATTTCCCTATTTTTCCCAATTTTCTCACTCTAAAGGGGGGAATGGTGTTAGATGCTATTTTTTCCCCGCGAATCCTCTTCTTTTTTTTTTACTCAAAGGGGGGCGTGGTTGAGGGGAAAACAAAAAACCTATTTTTTTTTTTAGTGCTCACTATCACCCCTGACTTATAATCCTTTTAATTAATAATGTATGAATGTGAAAAATCTGTTAAACTATGGAAACCTCCTTAGAAGATGTAGAGCTGTTGATATTTATCAGATATGTTTCCAGAATATGGATCAACTAGTACGAGTTCAAATCCCAGCCATACTCTGATATCATTTGGCAGAACAGTAAGATTCATTTTGCCACTGCTAACCCTCAGTTTGATAAGGACAAAATAATTCAATGCTCTTTGCACCTGAGGTAAGCTGAGGTAATAATAGTATACCCTGTCAGCACCTGGAGCATCTCTACTGATGGATGTATAACTTGGCATCTGTTCAGTATTTTAATTGTTTCTTGATGTGTTTGTGATTTTCAGGATGATAGCTACTACCCTCGAAGCAACCCTAGCCTTCTGGGCCATGACATCCTGGAGAGCACACTCCTGCACAAGCAGATCCTTGACCTTGCGTCCATGCTCGATGTGAGGGCGCTCTTTCTTGAATTCGGAGAGATCGAATGATAGGCCGCTGTTATCCTAATACCCCAGTTACACCATCAAGACCAACTCCAGACCGGACAACAGATTGAATGACTAAAGTAATTACATTTCCCTGAGTGGCCAAGAGTCGATCGGTTTGGAGTCAATGTGGAGTCAGTTGGAGAGTCGGTTTTGGTGTGTGACTAAGGTATGAGCAGTCAATAGCAGAAGGGCAATATGGACCAGTGATGTTAGTCGCTGTCTTGGACTTGTTGGTTCTTCATGATAGGTGAAAGGAACCAGAGGACAATCATCTATGGTGTCTTTGAAATGTTTATGGATGGAATGGACACAAGGATGATTATGTTTCTTTATGATAGGTGAAAGAAACGAAAGGACAATTGTCTAGGGTGTCTTTGAAACGTTTATTGATGGAATGGACACAAGGATGATCATGTGGTCTTAGCTGCACAGTATTAACCTTATCATTGCCATATGTAAATGCACCATGTGTTCAAACAATTATATTTTGGTCTTGTGGTATCATAATGGTTAATGCTGATTTAAAGTCCGTTGCTACATTTGTACATGTAATGTTGTTGATGCTACTATCTTGGACATGTCATCTAGGCTTTCGGTTAGTGGTTCATTGTATGCTTGTTTGTGATATACGTATCCTGATATCATCAGGACATTAATTACACAAGTCACTCTTCTTTATTGAATAGGTCCACAGGGTGTTTTGGTAGACATGAGTTATGTTGGAAATCCTATAAAAGACATCCATGACTATAAGACTTCTTGTATGAAAACCCCACTGCAGAACTTGAAGCTACTAGTTCTCTCTATATAGAAAACAATGCCTAAGCGGTGCCTTTTGGCCCCCCATCATCCTCTTTTTCTTATGTTTATTGAGAGCTGAGTTGATGAGATAACCACTTGTCAGTGACCATGCTGGGTGGTCTAATCCTTCCTGGCCAAACTAGTGCAGACAGGCTTTGAGTTACAGGTCATCAAGGTCCTTCAATCAAATTGAATATCCTTATTTTAACAAAGGCATGCATTCTGAAGATTTGAAACAAACACTGTCTTCAAGGAAAAATCAGGGATGTATGGTATTTATCAATAATTTGCAATCATCTCTGTGAGATTAATTGTGCAAGAGAGACATGATCCTATCAACCTTTTGATGCACTGTACATGTATGCTACCTGGAATAGTTCTTTTTTTGTTGTTGCTGAAAATACACTTATGAAATACATATTGTACAAATAATTGGATCAATTATTTCCAGAAATCTGGACATAAACCAGAAAGTGGACTCCCCCCCCAAAAAAAAATCTCCAAATATTTAAGCAAAATATGAAATTTAGGCTTGATCTGAAGGTGGAAGTAAAACATGTTAGCACTTTGGCCACATTTTCTGCATATTTTGGGAATCAACAAATGATGGTATGTCTTATTAAAAATGGGATATTAAATCAAATATGATAGCTGGTTACTGCAGCGGGTAATTTTTTGGAAATTATGTTAATCAAGATAAAGAAAGAGGAGGAGTTAAAAAGACTAAGCTTCTAATTTGCTTGTAAACATGCTTCAGACATGGGTTTGTGTGCTTTAATAGAGCTTTACAGGTACATTCTACATTCCCCATAAACAGTTTTGGTAATTTCATTCATGTTATATAGTATCATAGCAGGATTGTTTGACAGTCTTTATAAACGAAGATGGTTTATTCCACTTTTTAATCTGGGGAATGGCTTAGCCATGTATTAAAAACAGGGTGTACTGTAGACTTGTCATAGCCAGTCCACACTTCTTGGGAAAAAAATATTTATTTGGATAGATATAGCAATATCTTATTTGTGCCATCATTAATTAAATTCATGTGCCATAGCAAAGACCTGTTTAAACACTTTTTGTTTGTTTACATATCATATTGATATCTAAATGAAATATAGAAGTAAAAAATATAACGCACGAGTACCAGTCTGCATTTAATGTAACCTCTGGAAATAACAATTATTTTTAATTGTTGTAATACTTTCCTTTCCTGTTAAACATTGTAAATTCTACATGGTTGATAATAATGGATTTACATGTTGATGTTCATGATTTTGGTTTGTCAATAGTTGTGTATTGACATGAATATTAATGTCTCATGTCTCTATTAATGTCCCATCGATATAAACTAATGTTGGGTCAGTTATCACACTTGCTATCATATGGAAATGTTTAAAATACCATCTTGTGCACAGGCATGCCTCCAAATGTTAAGAATCACAGTCGTGGAGTCACTCACAGAATTTGGCATACTTTATGTTTCAACTGGCGGAAAAACCTTATCATTACGTTCAAACATTGTAGCAAAGAAAGTTATTGAAAAGTTGTGATCATTTTTTTATTTACATACCGATAGGCACAAAAAAATGAAGATTCATGTACCAGTTCAATAAAATTTGCAGAAAATAAATTTGGTCATATATTTCCCATTTCCTGTATGGAAATGCCCAGATATTAAGAAGTGCAATGCATTGATACATAAAAGTATTTAGACCTTGTTTTAATTTGACACGTGCCAGTATTGTCTTATATTCATCCATGAACTCATTGTGTTTTATATGTAACACACAATGATCAAATAGACACAAAATTATTCACAATCTGTTTGCAATATTTAATGGCTGGAAAATTAATCAAAATCATGAATTTTATCTTTGCTAAGTTTTGTTCAGAGTATCGGGCTTATGTGAGGAAACAGGCTGTGTTGATATCAGAAAGAAAGCTAAACATTTCATACAGATATGATCCTAGATCTGTTATTTTTTTTCTTCATTATTGTCTTGTATTATCCTTGTGTGGCAATTTGTATGTATCAAGAGAACATGCATGTAAGCAATATATACAGTTAACAACTAAATTATTCATACCCTTACCAAGTTTTGTAATTTTTAAAAGTATGTGAAAAATTGATTTGTCCTGATTTATGTTTCTTAAAGATGTGTCATATATTAAAGGCACACTGCCATACTTGTAGCTACTTGCTCCCTCTATATAGAAAACTTCCCCAATTGGTGCCTGTTGGTCCCCCATGATCCTCTTTTTCTTATGTTAAATGAGAGCTGAGTTAATGAGAAAGCCACCTGTCACAGTGACCTCGATGGCTCGCTGTGTGGTCTAATCCCTTCTGGCCCAGTAGTGGTGATGGTCTTTAAAGCTTACCTCTAAAAGTATTCAGTAAAGGTCCTAATTCAACCAGTGCACCTTTTATTCTTGAGTTAAGAAATAAAAAATAAAAAATCAAATTTATAAGGGTATGAATAATTCAGTTGGTAACTGTACATGAATACATGCTATAGAGATACCCATGAAAATTCAATGAGTGTGTACACAATAGGTTAAAGATGTAGCATATTCCGACATCTGAGGGTCATGAAATTCCGACATTCCGTAATGTTGGACTGAAAAATAGAATGTGTTCTGCTGCAACCTGTCAAGTGATGAATGAACTCGGTGCAAAATGTATGCTGTCATGTTTGTTTTATAACTGCGTTTATCAACAGTGAAACAGATTGAGTTGTTAGTAAATTTGTAGGAAATTGTGTCCTATAAATACTCCTGCAATGAACTATTTTTTTGGTAAATCTATTCTAAAGCCAATACCATTTTAAATGGTAGTAAGTTATTGTATTGGGATATTGATCCAGCTGCAGCATTCAGAAAAGTTATCTTTTTTTCCATCTTTTCGTTTGAATACTGTCAGTTTTCTTCATCAACTTTACTGGTGAGGCTCTAACTTCCTGCCCTCAAGAATGAAATTTATTGCTGGTTCTTAAAAAGAATTGATTAATTACATTAATGTGTCACAAGTTATACAGATAGGAATTAACATCAATTAAATTTGACAGACTTGTATTTGGGGAGGGGGGAATCTTAGAGACTTTAAGCTCAAAATCTGCCATCAACTAGTGGAAACCATCAAAAGGAAATGTAAGCTCTTTTCACCTTCCAGGCCATAAGGTTATGTGTAATCTGTATTTCTCTTTCTTTTGGGGTCATAGGTTATACATGTGCATGTACACTGAAATCTGTCTACATATGCACTCCAGTCAAGGGAATATAGAAAAGCAGTCTTTATGGGCAGGTGGTCTTTACGGGCAGGTGGTCTTTACGGGCAGGTGGTCTTTACATACATTGTCACTAAAGTGGGTTTCATTGTAAAGGCTTGTTCAGATATGACGGGGTAAATCGCTGTAATAAAATGCCATACTCAAACAAAAATTGTTAATGAATGTTGAATATGCACACATAAAAGGTCCTATGTGTTATAAGATAGGAAATGTGGAGCATATTACAATTTACATCATAACAACAAACACTGCTGTTTACCTGTGCATATCTGAACGAGGTTTAATCATTTACCTTGCCTCATATCTGACTCCTGCATGTGACTTTGTTTCAGCAAAACTTTTTGATGATACTTGAATATGGCATTAAAAAACATCACATGTTGCTCAGTGTAAAATTGATCCAAGCAACACTTTTTGGAGCAAAGGATTCTATGAAAATGTGTCAAATATCTATTTTTCAATACCCAATATTTCACATTTTGTACTTTACATCATTAATGACAGCACCGAATGTACTAGCCAAAATGAGATTCTGATGCACAACTCAGCATGTACATGTACATGTGGCATTTTTCTGTACATAGCATCATTAAATTATACCTAATAAATTCTTGTTCTGTATATAATGTGGAAATAAATGTGATGTCTTTCAGGAGTTGTAATTTTTTGTGTTTCTTATATTTCTTTCCAGTACCTAGCAATGGGCTAATTAAAAACTATCTAAAAATTATATTATAAAGCCATAAACATACTTCTATGTGCTAATGGTCATTAGAATGGTCTGAAATATTACAAACAGGAATATATAAAAGAAGGTAGGAAATTGGGTTCCATGACACATGCTCCGCCGACGATTGCTCCGCCGACATTTACTCCGCAAAACGCGACAATTGCTCCGCGACATTTGCTCCGCGACATTTGCTCCGACGTCAAATGCTCCGCCGACAGGTGCTCCGCCGACAGTTGCTCCACCGACAGTTGCTCCGCCGACAATTGCTCCGCCGACAGATGCTCCGCCGACAATTGCTCCTCCGACAATTGCTCCGCCGACAATTGCTCCGCCGTCAATTGCTCCGCAAAACGCGACAATTGCTCCGCCGACATTTGCTCCGCCGACATTTGCTCCGCCTGAAGCGACACTTGCTCCGCCGACATTTGCTCCGCCGACATTTGCTCCGCCGACATTTGCTCCGCCGTCAATTGCTCCGCCGACAATTGCTCCGCCTGAAGCGACAATTGCTCCGGTGACATATGCTCCGCCGACATTTGCTCCGCCGTCAATTGCTCCGCCGACAATTGCTCCGCCTGAAGCGACAATTGCTCCGGTGACATATGCTCCGCCGACATTTGCTCCGCCTGAAGCGACACTTGCTCCGGTGACATTTGCTCCGACGACATTTGCTCCGCCCAAAAAGTGTCCCATTAAATACAAATGCTACTAGTACTACGACAAACGCTTCGCCGACAATATTTTTTTTTCACGGGTTGTTTTTGTTTCTTTCTTTTTTTCTTCATTTTTTGAATGCATTTCATGACATTATGTAAATGAAATGAAATGAATGAATGTTGATAATGTGGGAGGAAAAAGCAGTTGCCTAAAAGTCATTTCGAATATACTGAAATAACTTTCCATCTATCACTGTACGTCCCACATAATGTACACTAAACACTCATTACATGTCATGGGAAGTTTTTTTTTTTTTAAAGTAGAGCAGCAAGCCACATTCCCCAATACGCGCATACCTCCTAGTTAATTTCAAACAGCTCATCAATATGTAAGACCTGAAATTACCTCCATGAAAGAAGACTAATAACATGAGAGGAAAGAAAAGAGCAAAAAAGACAACCGTTTTTTGCTATTCCCCATAATGTTTGATTTAAAAAAATAAAAAATAAAATTATAGCTCCTTACGCAAGTTCTCCGGCGAAAGATAATTACTCCGCTCAAAATCTGTTTCATGTATTACTCATTAGCTGATCCAAAGCTCAAGGCTATCTCTCTCTCTCTCTCTCTTTCTCTCTCTCCCATGCTCCTCCTTTTCCTGTTTACACCGTTTTCTTGTTTTCTTTGCTCTTTTCTTTGCTCTCATGCTATTAGTCTTCTTTCATTTCCATCACTTCTTCTCTGCTCCCCCTCTCGATTTCTATTTCTCTCGTGAAATTGAAACGTAAAGTAATACAATCATGTAGTACATTCTTGTTTAGAACAATATTTTCAATAATATCCAGTCCATTTTCTAAAGGTTTCTTTCCTTTAGTTAAGTGTATGTAGCTTTAATATATATATGTTAGTGTGCAAAACACTCCGTTTCATTCGAGTACTTTGTTTTCACTAAATAATTTAAGGGACTCACGAAGCCACCGGAAGAAGAGCAATTGGCTTATCATGAAGAACTAACATCAAACTGCAACAAAATGATTTGTATAAATGTGAATAAGCAGAAAGGCTGCCATCTCATTTTCCCGTCTGAATGGGTTCTCTTCCTTACGTATATAAGTGCCCTTATTTTCTAAACTTTTTTTTAATATTTGTGTGTTTATTAAATTTTCAATCATATAAAAATTACATATTTACAAGTCATTGGTAATAATTAGACAAACAAAAAAAACAATATGTATAAGAACAACTAACAATAATGAAAGTACAAGAAAGTTATAAAAAAAAAACATTATAGTAAAAAAAAATACACTGTACACATATAAATCATAGTTTGAACTCCAGTGCATAAAGGGGAGTGAGGGGGCACAGGAATAAAAGTTAAATCAACATGAGTATCATAAGTCAAATCGCCATTTCTTAAAATGCGAAACAAGCTTGTTCCTTTTTTTCGCTGAGAAATATTCAATATCTTTTTGTTTCTTTATAAAACTCTTAAAAAGATCAACACTTGGTAAATCCCCCTTACTTATTTTCTAAACTTTCATGATGACCTATTACATTGTATAATGCTTTACCTAGTAAGATGCATTGATCGAGGTAATTTCAGGTATTACATATTGATGAGCTACTTGAAATTAACTAGGAGGTATGCGCGTATTGGGGAATGTGGCTTGCTGCTCTACTTTAAAAAAAAAAAAACTTCCCATGACATGTAATGAGTGTTTAGTATACATTATATGGGACGTACAGTGATAGATGGAAAGTTATTTCAGTATATTCGAAATGACTTTTAGGTAACTCCTTTTTCCTCCCACTTCATCAACATTCATTCATTTCATTTCATCTACATTATTTCAAGAAATGCATTCAGAAAATGAAGAAGAAAAAAAGAAACGAAAAAAATAGGTGTAAAGAAAATATTGTCGGCGAAGCATTTGTCGTAGTACTAGTAGCATTTGTAGTTTATGGGACACTTTTTGGGCGGAGCAAATGTCGTATGAGCAAATGTCGGCGGAGCAATTGTCGCTTCAGGCGGAGCAATTGTCGGCGGAGCAATTGTCGGCGGAGCAAATGTCGGCGGAGCAAGTGTCGCTTCAGGCGGAGCAAATGTCGGCGGAGCAAATGTCGGCGGAGCAATTGTCGCGTTTTGCGGAGCAATTGACGGCGGAGCAATTGTCGGCGGAGCAATTGTCGCCGGAGCAATTGTCGGCGGAGCATCTGTCGGCGGAGCAATTGTCGGCGGAGCAACTGTCGGCGGAGCAACTGTCGGCGGAGCAACTGTCGGCGGAGCATTTGACGTCGGAGCAAATGTCGCGGAGCAAATGTCGCGGAGCAATTGTCGCGTTTTGCGGAGTAAATGTCGGCGGAGCAATCGTCGGCGGAGCATGTGTCGGGTTACCGGAAATTGACAAAATGTAATGGTATACAGACTTTGAAATTTAGATGGAGGGATAGAAGGGTGTTCAGAGGTAAAGAAAGATAGAGGGTGGGAAATAAAGAAAAAGAGAGAGAGAGAAAGAAAGGGAGAGGAGGGGTAGGGGTATGGAGTTTTATTGATAGGAATTAAAGTGAGGCAATAATACTGTTGAAACAAATAAAAATACTTATTTTTTTCATTAAAATTTGTCTCGTTAGCGACACTGTAAAAAGCGGTATTTTTCAAGAAAGTGCAATGCGAATGAATGAATAACGTAGAATCTACGTAGCAAATGACGTTATACTGTACTAGACTACGTAGGTCTACTTTGCACTGCACTGAAACTGAAACCCGTGTGTGAAAATATTCGAATGGTTCTTTGATGAGTTAACGTAAGTCTATCTCATGAACTTCTGATACCGGTATTCTTTTAAAATTTCACATTATGCATTTACCAAACATAGATCTAAATGATAGAGTCTGTTTTTGCTGCAGAGTGTTGTGGTCGATGCTATCACTCAGCTCAGCTCAGTCAGTGCTCGGTGAGATTGTTTCATTTCATGTTTGAAGTTTGAACTGAAGTTTGAGTGCGATTGTGAATTCGAGTGAAACTGACTGTGCATGCAGTGAGAGTCGAGAGTGAGGCCTGAGGTTGAGAATCGACATGAATGATTGAATCACATATTACATAATCAAATCTTAGTGAGGTGTGCATTAAGTTAAGCGAGATCGAGAGCGCCAACTAGGTGATCAGGGTGATAATAATATGAAATATGGAACCCAAAAGTGCAAAACTGGTAAACAAACCCTAAATTTTTTTTTTTTTGGTTCTTGCTGAAAATTAAATGCAAAGATATGCGCGGTATACCTAGACGGAGTCACCTAGACTACACAGAGCTACCAAGTGTCACGCATTAGGTGTGACATCACGCATTTCGAGGGTCTAAAAAAGCTCTCACGCACGACGCGCGCGCTAGATTTAAAAAAACGCTTTACCTTACACGTGTGTTATACCCTCGCACGTGCGCTTGCGCGCCGAATCATGAAAATGTCACGCATTGCGGATCTTTGAACTTGGCGTCTCTGACTTCATGGAAAATGTTTTTGCGTTGCCAAATCCTTAACGATAATAGCGACTAGTTTAGTATACAAAGACGCATGCACAGAAATTTAGCGAACTCCCTGTACGCAGTAGGGGCGCTGGTCCGAGAATAAGGATCATCCTCATAAACAAGGATTGTCTTAGTAAACTCGGACAGACGCGTCCGTAAAAATAAGGATCGTCCGCATTTTCGCAGATGTATCATATTTTCGATCCGCGCGTTGGCGATGCGAAAAACTGAACTTTGCAAGATTTTCTCGATGCATTTTACATTGACTTTGTTCAGAGACTTTCTCGTTATGAGCGATAAATCCTCAGGAAGGCCGACAACCCATAAAAGTAGAAGGTAAACTGGGGTTATTTTCTTATGCCGAATCCATTTTTCACATAGCCAGCGCGCCTTTGCGTTTTGGCTGAAAACGAAATGCAAAGATATGCATGGTATACATGGAAAAAAATATTTTTGCTTGGCTAATTGTTAAATGATAATTAATAGCAATGAGTTTAGTACATGTATATGTATACAAAGACGCATGCACAGATGTGTAGCGAACTTACTGTTCGCTCGCCTTAAAAAAAAGATTAAAAAATTATAATCTGGGATATGTTTTCTTCAATCTTTACCAATTTCATGAGAATAAAGAAGAGTTTTCAATTTAAAAAAGAAGGCCCCCATCCTTATAACAACAATATTTGTTTAACTTAATTTAAATAAAATGATAAGTGGAGTGATTGAGTGGTTTCATTTCCCACGTCACCATAATTAATGCAGACTTGGAATATCTAATTTTCTCCTGATGGTAAATCTTCCCCTGCCCAGGTAATGCAATTTCAAAGGAATCAAGTAATCCTTTACTCATATCCTCACTTACAGTTACAGTTTCTGGTAAATACTAAACCTCCTTTGAGGAAGAAGGCTGCCTTCAGCCTATGGGCATTTTTATTGATTACATGAAAATTTTCAAATAAGAAATGCTGAATTTTAAACTAAACTATTTGTAGGAAAGCTAAAGCTAAGAAAAATTGAAGAAAGCATAGAATTAGTGAGCATCTAATTAAGAACTGATTCATCTTTTGTTTGTTTGAATTGCCTTTTCTATTTCTTCATTTTGTTTCTTATTTCATTTAGACTGATTTCAGGTAGCAGTGTTTGACCAGATCAGCCTCCGAAAGAGTTGAAGTAGAAACCAAGATGGGGGATGAAGCAGGACCGGCAGAGCGAGAAGTTGCAGTAAGTACCGTAGGATGGGCAGTCCAGACTTTGTTAACATTCTATAGCTTTTCACAAATTTGCAATGGACTGATGCATTCTGTATTCTATAAAGTCTTGAATTAGATAAATACATAATAAGTACAATGTTAGACTGCATGTAGGAAAATGTAAGAAATCAGTGGACGAATGTTTTTGGAAATATCAGGATGACCATATTGAACAATAAATAAAAATAGGAAGTTAAAAATAAAAAGACATGTTTATGTGTATACTGTGAACATCCTAAGAAAGTATGTATTTCAGTTGATTTTTTCTAATTGACTTTTTTAATTATGTGCATCCCTAGTCGCTTCGCTTCCAGCAGCTATGTCGCCTGAAGATCTTTGACGAGATGCCAGAGACCCTTACACCCCTTGAGAGACTCCATCTTCTTGTCGTGTCCAACAAATATGGCTTTACTTTCATCGGTTCAGATACAGGTAAGACAAGACTGTAATCAGGTTCCCATTTTAATGCCCTTAATCTGCATTTATATTGCACACATACCTTTCAAGAGGATGCTCCAAGCACCTACAAAGTGTTATTATTACACTGGCTTTATCCCACATGCTTTAAGGTGCTCAAGGCATTCAAGGAATAGATTACTACCAGGTACTCATTAAATAAACCTGGGTGGAGAACGACAAATGTAGATTATTGTTTCGTCAAAGGACATTAGTGCTGTGGTGGAACTCGAACCACAAACTTTGTGATCCACAGTCTGATGATTTATCCACTGGCCCGAGACACCTTTAATCCAGGCCCTGATATACCTTTATTTCACACTCTTTCATGCCATTTCAGGCTTTTCATTCCCCTCATAGGCTTAGAGTGAACCCACTGGTTGCTAGTACCCATGTGTTTTGTTCCTAGGGAATGCCTTAGAGTGAATAAATTAAGGAATTAACTTAAAGAGATAATGCATTTCATATCTCTGAATAATTGTAGTTCTTCCACTAGAAGCAATATATATAAAATGACTGATTGGTCCAATCTTTGTCTTAATAATTATGCTAATGTTTATCTAATTATATCCTGATTTTTGGACTCTTATAAAACCCAGGTGTAAAGATTTTCCAGACCACAGAACTTGGCAGACTTCATGAACTCAACAGAGAGTCCACAGGGGCTGTTGGTAAGTAAATATGGGAATAGGATGTGTTAATTCTACATTCCCCATTGATCATTTCAATTACATTGGTCTATATCTCACCGCTGCCATCCTTTTGCAATGAATACAGTGTTCAAGTGGCAGGTCACCATGGGCTGGTTTGTAGCCATACTAATGCAATCTTATTGTATTGTATTTCTTTTATCAAAATAATAATGTCCTAATAGTTCTTTGCGCGGTATGCAACTCTTAGAGTAAATGTTGTTTTTATATGCAATTATTTTACTGGTATGTGTAATTTTTAACATTTAATTCTTACGTTTTATAGGAAAATATTACATTTCATAATAGATTTTGATTGGAATTGGCATGTTATTACTGTCGGTTGTGGAAGTCCCAGATCATTATTCCATTAATTATTGATGAATTGAGGTCAACTATCCTTTTTTTTTCTTATTTCAAATCTCGACAGTGAGTGATTATGACTGCATCAAACTTACTCTTGGTACCAGACCCCTCCATTTGTCACTCAACAACACAGAGCTAATCTTGTCTGTTTGCTATCAACATGGCAACTACCTTGTTCTCAATCTGTACGATGTCAGATTGGTCACAAAGAAAGTAAGTCATTTTTTGCAATCTCGTTATATCTAGCGCCTATTACTTTCATTCTTTCTTATTCCTGAAGTCGGATCTAATAATTATGTTCACCTGAATGTCAACAATTCTCCTTTTTCACGAAGGATTTCATATCAGACTCTGTCTTGAGTATTTCTGCTGACATGAATAATTGGCTTGTAGGCCTATATCCAGTTTAAATTTGTACAGGTCTTAGGTGGAGGTCCTTTACATCTATTACCCCCATCATATTAAACTGCCTCTACAATAAGAGCTAAAAGTTGTCTTATTTGATCACTGAGAAGCAAGCCCATTTGAAGTGTTTTTATGCCTCCGTTACGAAGTAGCCGGAGGCATTATGTTTTCGGGTTGTCCGTCCGTCCGTCCGTCTGTACGTACGTACGTCTGTACGTACGTACGTACGTCCCGTTCTCGTGATCGCGTTATCTGAAGAACCGATTGATGGATTCCTGCCAAACTTTGGTCATGTATGTATCTTGCAGAGCCGATGAACTGATTAGATTTTGGGGTTACGAGGTCAAAGGTCAAAGGTCACAGGGCTCATTATGTATGCAAAAACAGCTCGTGATCACGTTATCTGAAGAACCGATTGATGGATTCCTGCCAAACTTTGGTCATGTATGTATCTTGCAGAGTCAAAGAACTGATTAGATTTTGGGGTCATGAGGTTAAAGGTCAAAGGTCACAGGGCTCATTATGTATGCAAAAACAGCTCGTGATCGCGTTATCTCAAGAACCGAGTGATGGATTGCTGCCAAACTTAGGTCATGTATGTTACTTGCAGAACCGATGAAGTGATTAGATTTTGGGGTCACGAGGTCAAAGGTCTAAGGCCACAGCGCACATTATGTATGCAAAAACAGCTTGTGATTGCGTTATCTCAAGAACCGATTGATCGATTGCTGCTAAACTTAGGTCATGTATGTTACTTGCAGAGCAGATGAACTGATTAGATTTTTGGTTCATAAGGTCAAAGGTCATGGGCTCATTATGTATGCAGAAATAGCTTGTGAACACATTCTCATTAGAACTGACAGATGGATTACTATTTAACTCAGGACATCTTGCAGAGCCAATGAACTGAGTAGATTTTAGGGTCATGAGGTCAAAGATCAAAGGGTCATATATGTATATGAGAAATTGCTTGTAATCACAATATTCTGAGAACCTGTTAATGGATTACAATTGAACTTGAATTCTAAAAATGTGTTCTGTTTTGGTTTGTAAAATTGCTCTATGACGGAGGCATCATTTTCGACTGCGCGCAGTCGAATTCCATCTAGTTACTATTACTACAGATGCAATATGAAATGTTTTATTTGCTTCTTCAAGCTACCATGAAGTCCTGTCAGGAACTGGAAAAAATGCTGCATGCTTATTTTAAAATAATGTTTCATAATCTACAAAACTTCCAATCAACTATGGTTGTATGCTTCCTACAATTACCAAGATCATGGATAGATATGTTTCAAGTCTCACCCGTGTAGCAGTTGAGTATCTTTCACTATCATTTTGGTTGATAATGATGATAATAATATTCCTGTAATATAGTGCTTAATACAATGTCTCTAAGCGCTTTACAGATATACTATTACCCCGGTCATTGGATTCAGTGCTTGCCCGCACACACTGTGTGCACAATCTCCACTCCCTGGGGAGCATTACAGCCAGGCGTTACTTGACGCTCAAAAACTGTTTGACCAACAATGACGGTTGCATCCTACCAGAGACTTATTTTTCAATATGTCCTTTGCTCTATTGACAGAACGCATCGCCAGCTGCCCCCTTCATAACTTCCATCCTCTCCCAAAACCCTGAAGTCAAGCTGGTCAATCTGGCCTGGAATCCAGGCTTTGAGCCTCTAGTTGCTACATGCTTGTCGGACGGGAACTGCACAATATGGGATAGCTCTGACAAGCTACTCAAACCCATGGCACGTCTGCCACTGGATGTAGGTGCCACAGCAGGTATGTGTAGAGTCCCTCGGATAGGACGTTAAATAGAGGCCCCGTGTACAGGAGAGTCACCACCCTTGCATGTTAGAACCCATTGCACTATTCGTATATGAGTAGGGGGAAACCCTGGTGTAGGGGTCCACCTGCACACCCCAATCAGGCTGAGTATATACAGCATCTGCAAGAATCTTCAGTGTTGAAGGAGGCAGATTATTTGAAGAAGAAGAAGAGAAAAGGTCCTTTATTTTGTTGTTGACAGTTGCAGCAAAAGTAGACTCTTCTGAAGTAGAATGTTTTGAACTGTGAGAAGTATTCTCATTACTGGTAGTTGTCTTATCATATTTATTATTTCCCTTCTTTTACTATTTTTCTGTGTCGATCTGATGGTCCTGGCATTGTAAGCCAGATTTGTACAATTTTTGCACTCAAAGCTCTGTATACGTTTTACAAATGAATTTAGATCACTTGCCAGGATACAAATTACTTTTCACCTTTTAAATGTTTGACATTCCATTACTGGATAAAGACACTTCCCCACATGTGAGCTTTGTTAGTATATTGCTATTAATCGAAGAAAGTCTTATAAAAATGTGTAAACTGTACATTGTCTTTAAAGGTGTAATTGTGTTTAAAAATGATAGATCTGAGATGCATGGCCCTACATGATATCAGTGTCTGTGATATGGTGTAAGATTGAAGCCCTAAAAAAAGAATTGCGCTTCAAAATGATCAAATAGACTGTAGTGTTCTAAAAACTGTTAGGAAAACGCAAATTTGTATTTCGATTTTCAGTCATAAATATCTTGATAATCAGACAGGCGATGGGCTTGTAAAAGTCATAGGATTCCTGACTGACCTAAAGGTTTATAATTATGATTGCAGCATGAGCTAAATCCAAGATTTTGTTTCAGAATCTGAGGCAATGTTACTGAGTCACTTTAATATTATGGGTTTATTGAAATAACTATTGTGTTCTTTGAACAGTTTGCTGGTCTCCTAAAGGAAAACAGATGGTTGTAGGAACAGCCAAGGGGGAGCTCAAACAGTTCAACCATGCCGTTGAAATCAAGAAGCTTGTTAAGGCTCCTGATTTTACCCAGGAAGCAGTCAGAGGTTAGCTATTAAACTTTCATTTCTTACACATTTGATAATGATTGTTTTCTGATTTTGTGCAGGTGAAATATCTCAGATTCTTTAGCATGAATAGCCAACTAGCTTGTGACATCAGGAGGGGGGGGGGGGGGGGCGTTTCACAAAACTTGTCTTCAGTGACAAATGACAGTTTTTGTTATCAGCTACTGAAATCCTTGCTTCTGATTGGTTATCAGCAGATTTGTAACTAATTTTAGTATTTTGTCATTGAAAAAAGCTTTGTGAAACGGGTCCCTGGATTCTTCAAATTGTAATGCCCAGGGCTGATAACCTGCAACTTGCTCCTGGAATTAAAGTAAAGATTTATACTTGGGTATTGAAGTAAATTGATGCTTCAAAAGTATTTTTAGACACAACCAAGCGTCATGCTTAGCACAAAAATAACTTAGTGAAATACCTACATGATTTTTCAAAAGCTACAATTTTTATATTGCATAACACTCAAGGATTAGGCAAGTAGAGCAACCATTATTCCATCTTTGTACATATAAATGATATGCAAGTACTAGTTCTAACATTTAAATTAAAGATTGACACCAGTAGGGTGGAAAGCCTTTGATTATACTTCTTCTAGTTCAGTATGCTGCCATAATGGTCATGAAGCTGGGCATCGTTTCACCAAACCCTCATAAGAACAAGTTGAAACACTTGTTATCAGATTCAATTTCAATGGGTTGTCTGCGAAGTTGTACTTGTGACGGTTTCATGAAACGCTACCCTAGTCTATGCTCTACTCCTAACACAACATTTACTTTTATTTTGACCTGGGGGCGTTTCACAAGACTTGTCATTAGTGACAAATGACAGTTTTAGTTATAAGCTACTGAAATCCTTGCTTCTGATTGGTTATCAGCAGATTTGTCACTGATTTTTGTCATTTGTCATTGAAAAAAGGCTTTGCGAAACACCCCCCCCCCCAGAGTCTACCTCATTGTGGATGCTAGTAATATATGTAGTAATTAAAGTGGTATCCCATTCAAATGATTTGTTTTCTTTCTCTGCTATAGTTGTTGATATCTACTGGTTGTCAACCTATATGTACATTGTGGCCTACATTGATGCAGAGGAGTCCTTACAACCAAACATTGTGGTCGTCCATGCTCCGGTGAGTAGGACTTTTGATATTCATTTTGATTTTTTTTTCATTATTATTCTTGTAAAACATACATATATATATATATATATATATTTTTTAATGTTGGTATTTCTCTCTTGTAATCTCCTTTTTCATAATTTTTTCAATTTAAATTTTTGTTGAAATAAGATAGATTAGTGCAGCATAACTGTCTTATTACACTTTTATCATTTTTATCACCATCAACATCATTATCATCATCATCCTCTTTCCCATCCTCCCCCCCCCCCTTCCCCCATCCTCCTCCGTATCACCATCATCACTACCATCTTTATTACATTATCGTGAACGCAATCATTAGCGATAGAATGTGAAGTAAAAGATAGCAGCAATTTATTCCTTGCCTTGCAGAAAGAAAGACCGGTGAGCTACATCAATTTTGAGGACATCTGTTTTGGGAGCTGTGAGGATAGAATTGCCTGTTACTACATGCACTACATTGATAAGTGGTGAGTTACTCTTATCCTGTTTCTAAATGATGTTCTTGTTGATTATATTGATGTTTATATCTTATGACCGATGATAGAGCAGGATTCTGCTTGTAAAAAATTGATCCAGTAGCCTTTAGCTTTTGGTCTCATCCAAAGAACTTGGTAGTGAGGATTAGTGCCTTACCAGAGGGCACTGGCACAATTGTTCGGAAGCCAGGAGCCTATGAATTCCTATTTTTTTATCCTTTTTTTTTTTTTTTTTTTTTTTTTTTTCTTTCTTTGTACTGAGTATTGTATGCCTTCTTTAGAGAGGTATTGTACAGTAAATGTTATAAATCATGGGCAAAAACAATTTGCAGCATCTTGCACTTTCATTGAATACCTTGATTTGTTTGCTTTATACATATATATTCATCATAATCTTTCTCAGGCAGGTATAAGTTGATTGACTTTATGTGGTTGTGCCAAAGGAATATCATGTTGAACTCTTTTTTTAATCCACTTCTCTTCATCTTCCCATAGGCAATTTGCGATCACTTGCTCAAGCAACTCCATGGACGGCGCTGTTCTCGGGAGGCAGCAAGCGAACAAGGACTTGTGGGAGATCTGGACGTTGGATGATGCAGCGAGGATCGAGGTGCCGCTGTACGACCACGAGGAGACCATGCCCCTGGGAATGGCCATGGATTACACCTCCCAGATCAACATCAAGATCAGTGAGTGCTTGGGATATGTTCCTGTGTTTGTAAGGATGGCACCGGTGGGATATAAACATGTTAATTGTCTAACTTTTGTTTTTAAGTGGCCCAAACATTGTGGAGCGTGTGTGCAGCGCTTTGTGACTGCAAGGAAAAGGCGCTATATCAAATATCTTTTGGATTGGATTGCATTAGATTAATTATCTTGCATCTAAGAGTTGCTATCTCTGCCTTTCAAAGAAGAGCTCATGTGTTTGATTCCAGTTTAACCTGATTTTGCAGAAATGGAAGTTGATGATATCTAATGATTCCCATCTTAACAGCCTTTTATTTATCACCGATAACAATCACTGTGAATGTAAAATAGGTGTGTTGAAAAGAAATTGGTGCTGAAGGATTATTTGCATAAATCAGGAGCAACATCGATATCTGATATCTTTATTTCATTTCTGATATCCCTCCCAGAACAACACACCCTCCCCCCTGCACCCATTGTAATGGTTCTGTCCAGTGAGGGGCTTCTTTGCCCGTTTTATGTGATCAACCTGGAAGATGGAGAGGGTATCACTAAGAAGCCACAACCATTGCCAACAGGAGGGGAGCGAGTTGGAACAGGTAATAGATTAGGAGAGAAGGGTAAATGTAAGATTAGAATAAATTGAAATTGGTTTATTTGCACCAAGAAACATATCTAGTAGCTGTAGCCCTTAGTCCAAAACTTAAAAACGATAAAATCGCAAATTAAATTATCTTTGTAATACATTTAAAAGGACATCATACAATCTTTGTAAGAAATTAGCATCAGCATCAGCGTCAGTGTTCTGAAGTAAAAGGTAATCCTGTTGAAAACTTCAGGTCCTTTCCGTTGTTCCAACCTAACTTATCGTGAATGCATGGTGGATGGACGTACATGTATTACAGAAGAATTTGATTTGGGAGAACTAGTTTGTCCGACGTATTTTTAAAAGAATTGAGTGACGATGGAGGGACAACAGATATAGAAGGACTATTCCAGGACTAGATCACACTCTGACTGAATCTCAAGATTTTAATTTTCAAAATTATCCTTCAGTAGTGATGAAGCATGTGTAGATTGTGACTATTACCTGTAGATATAACAATGGGGACACTTTACATAGGACAAATGATAAATCAAGTGATTGAAGGTATAATGATAACGTCTGTTTGGAACCAGAAGGGCGCTAACTCCAATCATTGTACATTGATGTAACTCCCTTCTGTCTCCAAACAGACGATAGGTACCAAAATATGTGTATATCTTTATATTGGTGCAGAATGATATTACATGTGGTGTTTAATACACTGTGTCAATTCATTAGGTACTGCAGTGCAGATCCAACCGCAAGCAGCAGCAGCGAAACCTCCGCCAAGCTTCGGCCAGGCACCAGCAGCCTCTTCTCCATTCATGGCCTCTGCCCCAGCTGCTCCTGCTGCTGCTAACCCACCCGGCACTGCTCCCACCACGCAGTTCTCTGCCTCAGCCCAACCGGCGTTCGGCGCACCAGCAGCAGCAACTGGCGGACAGCCCTCCATGTTTGGGGGGTTCAGTGGTGCGACAGCTGGTGCCTCATCTGCAGGTTTTCAGTTCAAGCTCCCTGCTTCCACGACATCCTCTGCTCCTGCTAGTTCAGGGGCCCAAGCATCATCTGCCATAACTACTCCAGTTTTTGGAGGAAGCAATTCAACTCCCTTTGGTAAGTATTCGTGAAATGTGTACTAGTGAAATGTAAAATGGTGATCTGTCACAATCTTGAGAATAAAGACTGGACTGTGATGGGACTACTTGTCCCTTTTTCAAATCTCCACTTATGAGTTTAACATCCTTTGAAGTTGATCTGCATTGCAATATTTTAATGGCAACCGGGACTTGGTAGGGTACATTGTTAGCTAGTGATTTCTGTTGACTTTTATCATAAAACACCATTTATTCATGGGAAAAATCAAGTGTCTTTGTTGTTAAAGATCTTTGGGCACTGTCTCATGAAACCGTTGTCAGCCAAATTCTTGGACATCCTATCGAAATTAAAGCTGTAAAAGTTACACGCCTTTCAATGGAATGTCAACAAATTTCATGAGATGCTACCCAGCTTTACAATTTGCTTTTGTGACCAATGATTCCCAACTTATTTCAACTTCCACTTTTCTTCTTTAAAAGGTTCTGGAGGAGGGTTCTCCTTCAATACTGGCCAGACCAGTGCACCATCATCCTCTGCAGCCCCTGCCACACAGGCCAGTGGGCCCAAGGGGTTTTCCTTTGCAGCGCCCTCTCAGTCCGCCCAACAACCAGCACCATCCACTCAAGGATTCAGCTTCAAAGGTACTTTAGCTATCCTTTTTTCAAATCTTTTGCAAGTACAGTCAAACTTGTCTACAGCGACCACCCAAGGGAAACTGTGATTGTTGTAAGCAGGTGGTCACTAAAGCAGGTTTGCAAGTATCATTGTGAGTTGGACTGGTTCGACATACAGCAGCCCACTGAAGGCAAAACAGATTTTTCCAGAATATGATACAAACATAAAGCCAACAAGTATATTGAAGGACTGTTAATTTTGAAATTAGGCATGTGTGGTTGAAACAAGGTACATATTCTCATTTAGAATAGACTGATGGGTCTGGCATCATATGGGGAGAAGAGAGCTGGATTATGTTTTGGGAGTAAAGCATGGGTTACAGTTCCATCAATCAAGTGAGAAAATTCTCAAAGCAGATATTTTTTCATGCTGTCTGATCCTCTAATCCTTCACATCTTACATTGCAGTGGTTTCTGCTCCTTCTGGCCCATCAAGCGCTGCACCTGGCAATGCCTTTGGGGCTTTCTCCAAGCCAGTCACTACTACTGCAACTCCTGCACCTAGTGTACAGACTACACAGTCTTTACCCAAACCATCTCAACCTGTTCAACCTGACCAACCCAAAGGACCTCCTAATGTGACAGCACCAGGAGGTCTCGGAGGCTTCGGGCAACAAGGTCTTTTTGGCAAAGGCCCACCAAATGCAGTTGCCCCTGGATTGTCCGCTGCACAGTCCCAAGGACAGCCAAGTGCATTAGCCTCTGAAACATCGACTCATCCAGCACAGCTAGGCAGTGTACCAGGAGTACCAGCACCAGTTGCAGGATCAGCTTCCCAAGGGGCAACCTCAATTAACAGCAAGTTCACTGTCCCTCAGACAGCTTCAGCAGGACCATCCCTTTCCGTGGCGCCCGCCTCAACAGCAGGGGTTGCGCCCACAAGATCAGCCAGTGCTTCCTTTGGTCCACCTAATGCTGTCGCACCTGATCAAGGACTATCATCATTCAATGAGGCTAAACATAGTAGGGATCAACCAGATGCCAGGGCAGCTGTCGGAATGCCACTTGCTGCCGTGCAACAGACTCCAAAGGCTTCTGGAGATGCTATTGACCCTACAAGAATCTCTGCAACTTCTACTCCTGCGGCCAGTGCTAAACCTGTCACTGCCGCTCTGCTCTCCAATATCAAAGAAGAGGTAAATATTTAAAGATTAGTGTAATGATCCTTTTTTTTTAGTACAGTGGTTGGAAGTTAGAAGGGATTCCAAGGTTTGTATCTTCTATAAGGCAACTCCAATTACCAACAATGCATGTGTGTTCTCTGATCTAGGAAGTAAAGCTGTATTAAAGTCCCCTGGTGCTGTTCCTACTAATAGGCTGGATATCAAGAAGGGTCAGATGCACGGTGGCTCACAAAATTTAAAAATTTTCGGGGGGGGGGGGGGCTAGATGTACATGAACCAGAAATATCAATGCAGACCTCCAGTGAAAACTCTATTATGTAGCCTTTCGCACATCTGTCTATCATATCATACCTACTTTTTAATCATTTGCTTTCAGGGGTCTTTCCTAACTAATGGATATCTTAACCTCCTGTACAACTGAAAGTTCTATTGTGCATTGTTGGAGGCTTCATAATGCAGAGCTGCCAACCATTCCGTTTTTCCAGGAATTATTCTGTGTTTTTTTTTCTTCACAAAATACATTTTAAAATAATTTCTATAATTTTTTCTTTTCTTTCTATTACTGTCCTAAAATGTTATTTTGATCACAAAGTCAATAGAAAATAAGGTTAAAACCTGCTTGTAAGAGAAAAATATTCTCAAAAAGAATGAAACACCGATTAATACCAAAATAACAACACAATACCTACCGGTACTTGTAAATAAACTATAGGTCCTAACATGGAAAAAAACTGCATGATAGGAATGGACATTTCTGCATTGGAAGTGTGTCGTGCGTGGTTGTACGTTTCGTTTTAATAAATTCCTTTTTTTTTTGCTTGAAATAACATTTTTCTTGCCATCATGGTACCTTTTTGGGGTCGCACAAGGTTGGCAGCTCTGATAATGCTCATTTCTGTAACTCTGCTCCTTTACACAGATGGAGCATTTCACCAAGGAATTGGCTGACCTCAAGGCCAGGGCTGCAGCAGGCCGCCACACTGTCGGGTCGACTAAGGATCTCCAAGAAATCTGCAAGGGTGTCGATGACCTAGCATCTTTCAAAGAGGAAGTGCTCGAATGTACAAAGGTACGGATGGATTTGATTACTTTTTCTGTGTTTACAATTCTGTGTTTGATACAGCAATAAATAAACATAGCTCAGGAGAGAAGTTGTGCAAACTTTTGATGACGGGACAGAATGATAATAATAACTAATGATACTAATAACAAATCTGTTGAACACCTTTATGCAGTGATCTACCATTTTTTTGAGTATTTAGAAAAAAGAAAGCTAAATAAGAGGGCAAAGAGTTGTCCTTTGTCATCATATATAGTTTTAGTCTCCTTGATCACTGCGGGTAACTGTATTCACATCTTCAGATTTTGATGTTGTCAAAGGCATTCTTTCTCTGAACTTAAACCATCTAAGTAAGCACTGATGAAAGTGATTCATTTCTATTTGGCCTTAATAATGAGGTCAGTGAACAGAGCTTAGAGCTGTGAAGTTGGTTGGTAGAAAAACACACATGTGGAGCCATAGTAGATAGCAGTTGCATCCATTTTGTTTCAAGTACATGTATTTCACTGCATGAACTTTTGCTAAATTTCATGAATCATCCAGATTTGCGGAAGTTTCTGGTTTTACAGTAATAATATTTCTGCTTATATAGCGCTTAATACATAAGCAATGTCTGAGTTTCTAAGCGGTTTACAGTTATTACCCCGGTCATCGGATTCTGGCTTGCCCGCATACAATGTATGGAATCCCGGACAACTCGCCACAAAGACAACCCGCCCCAAGACAACCCGCCACAATACCCTGGACATCCCGCCACAATACCCTGGACAACCCGCCACAATACCCTGGACAACTCGCCACAGCCTTTTCGGACAACTCGCCACACTTTTTTCCCCTCATGATTTCTAGATCTAAAATCCCTCATCTTAGATGAAATTGTCATTTTTCATGATTTTCGTGCTTTTATAAACACAGTTATGACAGGAAACATGGAAATTGTGAGTATTTTGAGAGCTGTTCTAAAGAATAAAGATGATTTTCCTTGCGCTTGCAACAAGAATCTATTTTGAACGAACCCAAGCCAGGCGTACTACGAGTTACGACTACGATTTTTAAGTTCATGTCTCAGGAAACTTTTTAATGGTAGGAATATGCTGCTATGTATCTTTGGCGTATCTTTACATTCTAATATTACCTGCCCCCCCCCCCCATCAGTACGCCAGTGCTTCCAGTATCCTACCATAAAAAAATTCTGGGACAGAAAAATGCAGCTGTTATAGACCTCTAGATCAAAAGTATATTATTGTTACAAGGGAAATCAACTTTATTCTTTTTAATGACTGTTTATAAAAGCACGAAAATCATGAAAAATGACAATTTCATTTCAATATATATTATTGTTACAATTAGGGAAATCAACTTTATTCTTTATTCTTTGTAATGACTGTGTTTATAAAAGCACGAAAATCATGAAAAATGACAATTTCATTTCATTTTAGATCTAGAAATCATGATGGGAAAAAGTGTGGCGAGTTGTCCGAAAAGGCTGTGGCGAGTTGTCCAGGGTATTGTGGCGGGTTGTCCAGGGTATTGTGGCGGGATGTCCAGGGTATTGTGGCGGGTTGTCTTGGGGCGGGTTGTCTTTGTGGCGAGTTGTCTGGACCCCAATGTATGCACTTTCTCCGCTCCCTTGGGAGCATTCCAGCAAGAGCTACTAGGCTCAAATTGCTAAGCAAACTACATTGGTTTTCGCATCCTACCGGGTATCCGTTTAACACCTGGGTGGAGAGTGGCAAATGTAGATCAATGTCTTGCAAAAGGACATTAGTGCCATGGCGAGACTCGAACTGCGGACCTTGTGATCGACAGTCTGGCGACATACCCACTCAACCACGACACCTCTACGTAGTGATTGAAAGAAATTGTATATAGTAATCTATTTTTTTTTCTCATCCAGTCGCATAACGAGGACATCCACAGCCTCAAGGCCAAGCTCCTGAACTCCTTCAGCTTGGTGGAGGAGAGCCGTCTCAGGAAGCAACGCGCCAAGGATCCACGCTACCTCCAGCTCCTTCGCTCCAGGGGCCTGGATCCACAGTCTGCCAAGCAGATGCAGGAGATCCGCTCCCTCAATCACTACCTGGAGACGGGCATCAGGGATACCAATGCCTGCCTGGACATGGAGTGGGAGAAGATCACTCATGGAAAGGGAACCAGATCAACAAGGTGAGCACTTGATTTGATTTGATTTGATTTATTTATTTATTTTTGATTTTCTTTTTCTTTTGAATTTTCTTCTGAATTTGGAGTCAGCAGGGCGGTATTCCGCATGTCGCTAACTTGTTCTAGGGGTGCAGGTGGACCACTACACCGGGGTTTTCCCCTACTCTTATACGAATAGTGCAGTGGGTTCTTAACATGCAAAGGTAGTGACTCTTCTCTACACGGGGCCTCCATTTAACGTTCTATCCGAGGGACGGAGTGTTTTCCACTTGACATAACATGCGTCTATGAACAAGGAAAGGGGCACGTTAACACACAAAGCAGGCTTCAGTCATCCGCCTGGGTTGGAGTCGAACCCGGGATCTTTGGTTTGAAAGACGGACGCTTTTACCGACTGAGCCAACTCGCCTCTAGGTCCTCTACGGGAGACCTGGTATTGAGGGTTAATGCCTTACCAAAGGGCACTAGCGATCGACTTGGTTACGAATCCGGGTTGCTGGATTACAAGACCACTGCTCTACTAACTGAGCTATCGTGCCTCCTCCTATGATGTCAAATCAAAAACCCCAATCTTTCCCATTTCAATCTTTCCCTTAGGAGAATGGTGACACCTACAATGGATACTATATATCAGACCCTAGGAAATCATGTCAATGTGCTGACAACCCAGAAGAGCAAGTTGATAGATCTGAGGAAGCAACTGACCATGGCTCATCGCTACGACGTGACCTCCAACTTCAATGTTCTCCCTTCATCTAGGATCAAGTGAGTAGAATTGGTGAAAAGAAGTGATGTCAATGAGAGAGAATACTTGGGAGCACTAGGCACTTTAGTTCAGAGCCCTTTAAGTATAGAAATTGCCTCAGAGGAAATGTCACTTTTGCAATAGAAATTCCTGTGAGTGCTTTAAAACCTATCTGCACTAGTTTAGATAGGAAGGATTAGACCTCCCTGCAAAGTTACTGACAGGTGGTTATCTCATCAAATCAGCTCTCAATTAACATCAGAAAAGGGGACCATGGGGGACCAACCGGTACAAGTAGTGCAGTCCCTCTTTAATGAACTAAAAACTATGTGTATATCCTCTGGCACTATCAGACGGTTAAAGTTGATCAATACAATACTAGTCGTTTTTAATCTGTAGATTCCTTTTATCAGACATAGCAGTGGCCCATCTTCAATGGTGACCAGACTGGTAAAGATCAAGGTTAGCTCACCATCCCATGTCTGCTAAAAGAAGTTTTTTATAGTAAAACATTCAGGACCATCAAATCCTGAGCTTCAGCCCATGATTTTGGGCTCAATTTGATAAATACAGTCAAATCTGCCTTTGTGACCACCTGTCTACAAACGCCACATTTTTTGTTTCCCTTGAAAATGGTTTCTCATTGAATCATGTACTGAAGGAACTTGTCTACCAAGACCACCTGTCTACAAAGGCCACTTGTTGCATTTCCCTTGGGTAGTCAGGTTTGACTGTATAATGTTGGCCCCTTTTATCGTTTGATGTGTTCCTTCCTCTTTGATTTCAGACCGAGCAGTGACCCATCATCCCTGGCCAGCAGACTTGCTGAGGTCAAGGTGAGCGCTCCGTCTAAGGCCAGGGGCACGCCCATGTCAGCTAAGAAGCAAGCCATGCTTAGAGACGTTCTGTCTCAGAGACAGACCACTCCAATCAGATCAGCACCAAGAGGTGAGAATATCCCCCTCTCTCACTCCACCTGTCAGTATTTTTGGACCAGATACCACATACTCTGGCGTTTTAGCTTGATATTAAAGCCCATCTGTACTAGTTTGGCTAGAAGGGATCAGACCACACAGCGTGGTCACTGACAGGTGGCTATCTCATCAACTCGGCTCTCAATTAACATAAGAAATAGAGCATCATGGGGAACCAACAGGCACCGATTGGGGAAGTTTTCTATATAGAGGGAGCAAGTAGCTTCAAGTAGTACAGTGGGGCTTTAATATGTCCCTAGACTCTTGATCTAGGCTACAATAAAACATGTGGATGTAAAGTTTAAAATAGAAATTTCCTATTAGGTGACTAGCATGAAATCTTATGTGAGAATTGCCTGTGTGTGATGAATATTGCAATAGCCACTGGAGAAGTTTTTCTGAATATTTTTGAGAAAAATCAATCAAAAATCAGTGTTCTAAGAATAGCAACGATGTCTTCTTTAGCACAGGTATCTGCCATTAGTGTTGTAACATCATGGATATCTCCAATTCCGTTTAACCGCCAGTCAAAACCGGACGGTTTTTGGTTAAACGGTTTATTAAAAAATTAAAAAATCTGTCAGCAGCAAGCCAGGTCCGTGTGAAAAAAATTTAACTGTGAGGCGCAGTTGAAGGCGCCGATTTGTGCGGGAAAAGATTTGTACTATCTCAGATTGATTTCTATCTCATATCATTTCTAAAGAGATGAGAAAGAATAAAATGTTATCCAACTGACAAGGACCTTTGTGTTTGGGGGTATATTTTCAGCTGCTCTTGCTAGTACGTCCAGCGTTGGTTCTCCGTCGGACCTGGATGACTTCCCCCTCCCTCCTGAGCGACGCCTGCGCTTCCCGTCTGATGAGTCCCCGCCTTACGGTGGCAGTCAGGTGGATGGGCGTCGCCCTGCCCACCATGCTGGAAGGACAGACTTGAGAGGTGTAGGAGGACCAACATCAGCTCCAGGTAATGGTGGTGGTGGTGGTGGTGGTGGTGATTGGGATGATGTTTATTGTGGTGGTGGTAATGGTGGGGATGGTAATATTGTTGCTGGATTGTGACAGGTTGTGATGATGATGAGGAGGAGGAGGATGGCGATGACAATGATGATGATGATGATGATGATGGTGATGATGATGATGGTAATGTAGGACTATAAAATGGTTATGAATTTAATACTGGTCATGACCATAATATTGGTGATGATGCTGGTGATAATCTTGATAGCAATGTTGTTCATGGTGGTACCAGTACTGATACTGACTTAGGAAATGTGGGCCATAATTGTGATAAAAATGTGCATTATAGTTCTGTGACGATGGTTATAGTTAAATACTTGTAATGATATAAAAATTAATGCTTAAAATTCAGCCACTGAGTTTATCATTATGGTCATTAGTTCTGCTTTCTTTTGTTATCTTTGATGCTAGACTACACTTGTCATTGAACAAACACACGTAGAGGATATATTTTGAGGATCATTTATAACCCTAATGAATTCATTTCTCATGATGCAGCTCCTCAACCTGCCCCCACCCGTCCTCTGACATCCCAAACAGCACCTCGCCCTGCCGCCTCCTTCACCACCCCTGTCTCTCAACAACCTGCAACACGCAGCACGCAACCGCTCACCCAGCCTCAACGTATGGGGGCACCACCTCTGCCATCCGCAGTACCAGAGACCCCCATCCAGCCAGGAGCAGGAATGGTCACCTCAACGCCCCTCCCCCAGGGCGCACAGGGGGGCAGCCCGACCACACCCAGGGGGCAAGCTCCACCACCTGCAACCTCCAGCTTCTCACACACAGGTTCTGGTACAGTGGCTTGGGGCCTGACAGCCGCAACAGCAAAGGTATGTTAGACTTTACAACGAGCCTCAAAATTCTGAATTCTAATTTGATGTTATTTGTGTTTTTCATAACTCAAGAATGAAAGGAGGACCAGTCCAATTAGGGCCTTTGTTGAATACTTGTAGATGTAAGCTTTGATATGGTACATTCTCTAAAACATAAATTTGGACAAATGAATTTTTGTATATACTTTAAAAAATGACAACACTTCGGAATCTTATGTGAATCATTCAATTGTTAACTGTATAAACTGATGAACTCTAGAAATCCACCCCATCTCTCCACCTGTAATTGTGAAATGTGGAAAAGTTTTCCGAGCAGCATTGACTCTTCATCTTTTGATATCAAAGTGATAACACTTCAATATCTTGGATTAGCAAAATAACCAGACATCTAGGGTCCAGATAGTCTGGTGATTTTGATTTTAACATGCTTGCATGCCAGCAGATTTGTCATTCCCATTGTTAGTAGGGAATTTTTTTAGGAAGTATTGCAGCACTTATTTTTACCAAACCAGGTTACATCACCCATACAGCAGGCAGGCGTGGCTGCAATCAACCGCGCCCAGTCCGTGAAGGCTGGTAACGCCCCTGTGGAGAAGCCCAATCCTCCCGTGGTCAACATCAAGAACCTAGACACAATGAAGGGTACCATGCCGCCTCCTGTCACCTTTGCTCCAGTTGCCAGGTAATGATAATTTGAGTGCTTCCTGGGCTGTGTTTTACAAAGACTAATGAGGCGTTCAAAGAAAGTTGCAATCAATTGCAAATCCCCAAAATCAAGCGTAAGTCTTGCAATTAATTGCAAATTTGCAATTGATTGGAACTCATCTTTCTTGCAATGCCCCATTAGTAAGGGCGAGGGGGAGAATAAAAGCTAGATCTTGTTAACTAAATTGAACTGTTAAAAAATCCTAGGAAATTTAGGAGACTAGTGGGGCGTTGCAAGGAAGTTGAGTTGCAATCGATCGCAAATATCAGTTGCAAATTTTGCAACTTGCAATCAATCGCAACTTTCTTGCAACGCCCCATAAGATCTACTTAGGTTGGACTTGAACTATGGCAGGCCATTCATGCCCTTAAGAAGTCTTGAACCAGATGTCAAATTAGAGGGAAAAAACCTTGGAAGTTATGATCTTTAGATAATATCTGAAGATTTTTACAACGATTTGTTTGTCCCTTGAGAGACCAATGCAAGGAATGGTAAAAGCAACCAGTGGCATGAACGGCCTGCTATACTTTAAGTCCAACTTAGTCGATCTTAGTCTTTGTGAAACACTCCCCTGGAGTGGTTAGTTTTAATGGCCCAAATTCACATCTTTGGGTTAACTTCCCTACCTTTGACTAATACAGGCATGTTGAAGTGTGTATTGCTCATTAAATGCTTGTAGAGGTTGAAAACACGATTTAATATCAACCTCTTTTGGGAATTCTGATATATCGTTTCCTTAGTGCTGTGAAATAAATATCATCTTACAGTTTTGCAGTTTGTTGATTTAAAAAAATGTATGTGACATTTATTGATATGCATGCTACACTATATCAGGAACAGTACAAACTATGAGACAAATATTAAATGAAATAAAATTTTCCTTGCAGCACTGTGGATGCAGGGACTGCTAAGGTAGTGACTCAGGTTATAGCCGAGATGGCCATAGCTAGCGGTGTGAAGACTCCTCAACCTGGAACAGTGGCAAGTGTAAGTCATAATGTCCTTACAGTAACGGCTTTTCTCTTTAGGTACTTCAAGTACAACTACTGGGGATGGTACCTCTGCAGGCTATGATTGTACACCTACTACTATTGTTGTTGTATACCAAATACAGTCGGAACCTGTCTATAAAGACCACCCAAGGGAGATGAAAAACATAGTCTTTATAGGCAGGTGGTCTTTAAGTACAGGTTCCTTTAGTACATGTTTCAATGAGAAACTATTTTCAAGGGAAACAAAAAATGTGTTCTTTGAATACAGGTGGTCTTTCTATACAGGTGGTCGCTAGAGCATGTTTGACTGTACTGGCAGTGATTAGCAGTTTCTGCAGCAAGATAATTTAATTGTCTTTGGTTGCTGTTGGGGTTTAGGTTAGTTTGTGGTTAGTATAGTGCTCACTATCACCCCTGTAGAGGGGATGCTTCCAGTACAGTGTCATTTTAACCATACTATCATTTACATTCATCTTCTTGATGTTCTCCCTTGCAGGCGTCGGCTGATTCACCAGCCCTGTCCCCTTCAGGAAGAAAACCGACCCCAACCACCACTCAAGCCGCATCATCATCATCAGCTGTCGTCACGACAACCGTATCCCTCTCCTCCAAGCCAGTGTTTAGCACCTTGGCACCCTCTGCTTCCAGTGCTACCCCTACTGCTCCAGATGCATCCAAAGTAGTAAGTCGTAAAATAAAAATTCTGACATTGTACGTTTGGTGCAAGAAGGATTAGAACTCCTATATTTTAACACAAAGGTTTGTAGAGGAATTCACATGAGATGCAATTCAAAAGTGAACAAAAGCTAAGTCTTTTTAAATTCAGATACAGAAATTTCATGGAGGGTATTTGCCCTATTGACTGTTCAACATTTTTTGACCAACAGGCTTTTCCATCCCCCCCCCCCCCCCAATATGGTAAAGTCATTATCTTACATTTCCCTCCACCAAACTCTCCGAGAGACTTGGGGTATTTCTTGATTGGAATTCAGGTTTGCCGTGTGCAGACTTGTACACCCATTAATGGTATTTCCACCAAGTCTGATGTCAGCGAAATATGACCTTCTGCACATGAAACCTGATGACCCTCTCCCTTTAAAGGCCCACTGTACTACTTGTAGCTACTTGCTCCCTCTATATAGAAAACAATGCCTAATCGGTGCCTGTTGGTCCCCCATGATCCTCTTTTTCTTATGTTAATTGAGAGCTGAGTTGATGAGATAATCACCCGTCAGTGACTTTGCAGGGAGGTCTAATCCCCTCGGGCCAAACTAGTGCAGACAGGCTTTAAATGATCAGATTTTGTTTTCCTTTCTCCCATATCCTTCACCTCTCTAGGAGAATCCATCGGCTTTCTCTTTCTCTGCCAAAGTGCCACCATCTGCTGCTGCTGCGGCGGCTGCTGCTGCCACTGCTGCCGCCTTGACATCATCCAAAGGATTTTCATTCGGTGATAGAACCCTGCCTGCTCCTACTGCAGCAGGTCTTCCAGGAGGTCTTCCAGGAGGTCTTCCAGGAGGCTTCAGCTTTGCTTCAAAACCAGCTCCTTCTGCTGCTGCTGCTGAAGCTCCATCGGCTAAAGGTACACTCATCTTCAATTTACACTCGGTTAAGCCCGCTAATTTAATATTATAATTTGATAATAGATATATCTGTTTTGAAGTCTAGGTTGCCGTATTAACAGAGATTTAATGTTAATCTTGAAAGAAAAGGATAAAAATGTGTAAGATACAGACATATGAACAGCATCTACAGTTTGGTGTGTTTTTCGTAACTCAAGAATGAATTATGGACTGGTTGAAATGGGGGCCTTTAATGAATACTTTTCTATGTAAGCTTCAATATGTCACATTTTCAAGAAACATAAATCGGGACAAATCAATTTTTCTCATACTTAAAAAATCACAAAATTTGGTAAGGGTATGAATAATTGAGAGGTTAACGATAAATACTACCTATATAAACATTGACATTCTATGTGGCTCAAAACTGCCCTTTGTAAGGGTAATTGACAAAACTAGGGGTTCCTAGTTTTCCATGGGATAATTATAGAAATTTAGTTGTTGAATATCATTTGTCCTATAGTCATATGCCTTCAAACCCAGCTTTTAAGCCCTTTTTATATGGTGAAAAGACATTCTGAAAGTGCCCCATTTTTGGGGGTAGATATTATGAATGTCATATGGTCAACCAATGGTCACTGACAAGCTTTGGCTTTTACTCCTATTACTCAATGTAAGGATGTGTATACAGATCCAGAGGTTATTTAGATTTTCAGAAGGTCTTTTACATGGGTATATGCTCTCAGACCTGTAAGTGTTGACCTACACTGGTATGTTAAAAGAATGTTCTGAAAGTGACCTTAATTTTGACCCTTGACCTTCATTTTAACCCTTGACCTTCATCTTGACCTTTGACTTCATCCTATCTAGGTGATGCAGCAAGCCAGCCATCAGGATTGAGCACAGAGTCTGGTGTCAAGCCTCAGATCTTTGACTTCTCTGGAGCAGCCACCAAACCCAAGGCCAACGTGTCTACTCCCGGTGGTTACTTCTTTGGAGGTTCGTTTTAATTAAGGCCTCTCAATTTTTTTCTTTGATCCAGAAAATAACCAGGAAATTATTAATTTTTCCCGCTGTATTACGAGAAAAAGAGAATGTATTTGTTTTGATATTTGTATTTGTTGTTGATGCAAAATTTTTATATAATAATAATGATAATCATGGTGGCTTTCATCTATTTTATTCCAGCTCCACCATCAATGGTACCCCCTCTTGGTGCATCCGGTACAAGTAATGCGGCACTGTCTATGGCCCAGGCAACCTCGGCCCAGGCAACCTCAGCTCAGGCAAAAGTCCCCTCACAGGCAGCACCAGTCAAAGCCACTCCTCCACCGCCATATGCTCCTAAGGTAATGATGTCAACAATTTATGGAAAGCTTATCTATCCCAGTAATTAACTTGATGTTTTAGTAATAGATGAATTTGAAGCATTTGATGCATTCATTTGAAAATGTAGAAGCTCTTAATGCTTATTGTAAATTTGATTAAATGTTATAGGTTGTCGACAATTATAATATCGTGATATTCAGGGACAAACAACAGGGATGCTATGAATGGATGAACAGGGATGAAATGTATGTACCCCCGCAGTTAATGTTATGTCGTTACTGACAGATGTATGTAATGTATTTTGTGCATTCAGTTAAAAATGTACGAGCTCTCAAATGCCAATTGTTTTGTAGGTTTTCAAATATTCCTTAAACAAATTATAGATCATTGTTATATAGGGACATGATGAGTTTGTATAATTTTGTTTCGTTTTTTTTCATCCAGGAGAAAGGAGAAGTCAAAGGCAAGGATGAGAGTGGGACAGGAAAGCCCACCGCTGCCACTGCCAAACTATCTCAACCCACAGATGAAGCAGGAACTGGTGCTGCCAGGCCATCCACAGGATCTGGGTCCTCCAGTATGCTGGGAGCCATGTTGGACAAACCTGCTTCAGGAGGAAGTCTTCTAGGTGGCATGTTGGACAGGAGATCTCAAGCTTCCACCGCAGAAGATGAGAACGCCAAGCTGCAGCAGTCCACCAAGAGCATCCTGAGTGGAGTGACCTTACCGACAGGCGCTTCTGCAGGAGCCTCCCAAAGTAGAACAGCATCTCCAGGACCTGCTGCTCGTAATCTCTTTGGGACGGTACTGAGCACTGCGGCAGTGTCAGGATCGGATACGACCACAACATCAACAGTTGGAAGTTCAGGTCTGTTCTCCTCGATTGCAAATGCGTCTAAGGGATCGGAAGCATCCACAAGTTCAGCAGCTCCAGCTACCCAGGCAGCATCTACATCTCTCTTTGGAAAGACAACATCTTCTGGGGGTCTCTTCGGTACGCAGGCGACATCCTCTGCGGCAACATCAGGAGCAGGTACCACCTCTACAACCTCATCCGCTGCTGGCTTTGGTCTGTTTGGACAGCCAGCCAGTACAGCATCCACCACGCCCTCCCTCTTTGGTAAAACATCAACAGCAGCTACCTCTTCCGCTCCCAACACATCGGCTCCAGCCTTCGGCCAAATGCCCGGTCTCTTTGGACAGGCTGGAGGTTTGACTGCAGCCTCCAGCGGAGGACCCTTTAGCTCTGGAGGATTTACCTTTGGAGGGGAGCCCAAGTTAGGGCCAGGAGGAGAGGGAACTTCTAAAGACGTCTTTGGATCCACTTTTGGTTCCGCCCAACCAACGGCCAGTACCACCACTCCAGTATTCGGTGGCTCTCAACCAGGTGAGTCTAGAATACACCCCGTTCTGCAAAGTTAACCTTATACTTACCATTACTCAGATTACATTTAGCAATTTTTTGCAAATTGGTAATTTTATATCGGCATTTAAGCTCAAGTGAGTGAATTTGGATAAAGGAACCCATAGGTTACAGCAATGCAATAATATTTTTGCATTTGATGATAAAGCTATTGTCTCTTCTATGTTCCGTTATCACAAAGACTTTGATATTCACTCATATGTAGATGTAAGAGGAATACCAAGGAATGCCTCTTTATCGTGATTTTCTGATTCCGGCTGATTTCCATTTTTGCTTCATGAATGGAAATACCAAATTGGCATCAAAACTTCAAGTGATCTTCTATGGCCTCTCGCAGAGGACCCTTAGAACCCAATTAATTGAAATCTGAATGTTGACATCTTTTTGTCTCTTTTGTGTCATCAGGTAATCTGTCTTTTGGTCAGCTAGCAAGCAGTGATAGTACACCTGCCACAACTGCTTCAGGAGGATTGTTTGGTAGTGGTAGCAGCAAAGCCAGCAGTAGTGGTGGAGGAGGTGAGGCATGCTTTTAAAGGGGGTGTAGCTTGGCAAATACTGGTTAACGCCCTCTATGTCTTCTTGTGGACAACTGCACGTAAACGAATGGATGATTAATGGTACTCTACATGGTCAGCGCGTGCTAGCATTCACGAAACAGACCAAAGTTCTCCTCACGCTTCGGTTTCGGAATGCTGCGGTCGCGTCGTCCGTAGTCGTATTATACCCGATTGGCCCGAGTCAGGCCACGGGAAAGACACGTAGTCTCGTCATGCTACACGCCCTTTAAAGAGAGTTGTGGTAACAAATGAATAAATAATTTATGAGCTCTCTCGTTTCATTCCTATGTGAATAAATATCATTCGAGCATTGTCTCTCCAATTTCAAATAAGACTTTAAAGGGTTTCCAACTTTAGACCAAGTTTCTGAGGCCCCATGTACCCATAATTTGTTTTTCTTTTCATCAGTTTAATCCATTCGTCGTAATTTGGATTATTCAAAAACTTCATAATTAATGACTTTTTCTATCTATTCTGTAATCAACTGTTTAGGATAACTTCTGGACATTTTCTTTCACAATGGAGTTGCATGACTAGCCCACAACCTCATATATGAAGGTTTTCTAGCCTTGGCCCACTTTGGTTGTTTCAATGAAGTCTTTCAAGATTACTGGGATTACATGTATTTTCAAATGTCATAAAAACAGATCAGGAACAGAAGTTCTAGTAAAGCAGTTTAAATGTATGTATAAGTAGTAGAGCATTGCTAAAGCTGTTGTGGTCTAGTGGTTTAGTCATCGTACTTTGGATAACAAGGTCCAGGGTTCAAGTCCCTTCCACATTGCTAACTTCCTTTGGCAAGACTAAGACATTACACCAAACCTTAGTGTAGTAAATGGTTATCTGATAAGATTATTATTGGTCTAACAGTGATGGTAGCCGATTTGATTGTAATTCAATGGTTTCATTTCTATTTATACCTCTAGGATTTTTCAGTGGTCTTGGTGGCAAGCCCGACCCGGAGGCTGCAAAGAAAAATCCATTTGGTCTCGAAACAACGGCATCTTCAGGCTTTGGTTCTTCATCACCAGCAGATGGTATGAAACTATAAAATACTACAGTCAAACCTGCTTTAGTGACCACCTGTCTACAACAAGCACATTTTTTGTTTCCCTTGAAAATGGTTTCTCATTGAAACATGTACTAAAGGAAGCTGTCTACAAAGACCACTTTTTGTGTTTCTCTTGGGCGGTCGCTGTAGACAGGTTCGACTGTAGTATGAAAAGCTTTTTATGAAACTAGTACTTTGTATATATACCCGTGTGTAATGCCCAAACAGAAATTACATGCACTGTGCCCCGATACCTCAGCGATTTTTTTTTCTTCTTCAGACATGCTAATAATTCTTCATCTGCCTCTTCTGATATTGCTCAATAGTTACAAATTTTGAAGAAAAAAATACACAAGCAGTAAGCATATTTAGAAATCAAATTTAAAATACCAGAAAACGCCAATGGTTGGAGAAATTATTATGGAAAAACTTGGCACGCGCACAACAAGTGGCTTTTTTTCCTTTTTTTCCCCAAGCCATGATTTGTGCTACATACTGTCAGTAATTTTTAAGAATTCCCTGTATTATGTTCAGCAAGGCCACTTATTTGGAGATACCGAAGATCTACATTTTCAATTTATTTACATTATCAGAGATTTAGGCTTAAGTACATTTTTCTTATTCTTGGTCCTATACTATTGACAGTGGATTTTGAATCCAATATTGTGTGGCCTGTTTTGACCGGAAGTTCATGTGACTCCAAAATCCCGGCAAAATCGCTCGTAAAAATAGAGCGCCACTTTAAGTAATATGTAATACGTTAGCTTGTTTTGAGCCGAATACGGTAGGGGGAATTTGTCAAGTACTGACATAATATAATGTCTTCCAATATCTAATCATAGCTATTCTGGTTTCAAAGAAATTGTATTATTACAGAATAGAATCAATACATACCTATGTATCTTTCTATGTAACAATACAATAAGAACCTTGCCTCTTAAAATATCAGGAATTTAAATTCTTGTATCTCTACATCATAATAAAAGTCATGTTTTAGTTAGGATATGACTTGTAATTTTGTTTGTTTTGTTTTGTTCTAGCAGGTACAAGCCTCTTTGGATCTTCCACTACCAAGCCCTTTGGGGCTGCAGAAACTACTCCAGGTAGGACTAGTGATATAGTATTAATACGGGCACTAATTAACCATTTTATATGAAGGAGGGGACAGTGTAAAGTAAAATGCCTCTTCTCATATACAGCTCTTTTAAGCTTTGCTAATCTAGAATTTCACAGAGCAATTATGTTGTATTATGTTGTTTTTCTACCCATGCTCATGTAGAGATTCCCAAAGCAAAATCACTTGCCACTCCTGTATTTAAAAAAAAAAAAAATATATATATATATTTTTTAAATAGAGGTATCTATTGGAGTGTTAGAGAAAACTTTATGATATGATTGCTCAAATTATTCAATAAAAATAAAAGGCCCTTAGATCTTTTTCTTTATGTCTTTCCTCTTCTCCCTCTCTCCCTCTCTCTCTCTCTCTCTCTCTCTTTCTCTTTCTCTCTCTCTCTCTCGTATCTAAGCGCTTAGAGACAATTATGTAATATGCGCTATATAAGAATTGAACATTATCATTATTATTATTAGATGTTCAAGCTTGCTAACAAGGATTGATGAACTTGTAACATGCAAACAATAAGTAATAGAAGATTGCATTGAAGGATTTTATTTTGTGATCAAGCATTCCACGCAGTCTCCATGTGCCCATGGCTAGACATGAGAGAAGTAATTTCCCTTTCTCTGTATTCTCTCTCTTCTTGGTCACAGCTTTTGGAAGCCCTAGTGGTAATGCCTTTGGCGCCACTTCTGGGGTTTCTAACACAGGTTTTGGTGGATTCGGCCAAGCTGCAGCATTTGGTCAAGCAAATACAGCAGGTATATCTTGGAACTTATCATATGAATTTATTGATAAATCATGAATTACCTAAAAGGGAAATTAATGATATTGATGATAGTAAAAATGATAATACTATTCCATTCTAACTTCACATCTGATAAATGTAGGAAAATAGCATAACAAACATGCGTGAATATGTTTCCTGTGCTTAAGTCATGTGTACATTTATTTCTCTTCACCCAGTTGTAGTAAACGAGTAGGACATGGAGTTCTTTATATCTATGTACAGCATCCTAGCACTCGGACTATGGCATCAATGTCTGCACTAAGAGGTAGCAGCAATATACACACAATGAGATGACATTCTTTATATTTTTGGATTAGAAAACAAACTAGATGTGTGTAAAAAAAAAGAGAAAGATACACACAAAAAAAAGAAACCAAAACAATGAATTAGATAAACTGTGCTATTTGACAGCAGGTGAGGTAACTGATGATTTTAAGATGTGTATTCCACTTTCAAATACTTGGTATTTGTTATCGAAACAGATGTACTGTGTAAAATGGCCATCAAAGGACATGACCTCAAACATAATTCTCCCTTTCTCTTTTTAAAGCTTCACCGCCGCCCGCATTTGGTTCACCAGCAGCAGGGGCCGGTGGTGGAGGAGGAGGAGGAGGAGGGTTAGGATTTGGCAATGTGGCAACTTTCTCCAACCCTATTGGACAGTCGCCCTTTGGTAGCCCTCCTCAACAACAAGGGAGTTCAGCGGGCCCCTTTGGGGCCGGTTCTCCTGCAGCTTCTACAGGGGGCGGATTTGGAACGTAAGATTTTTTTTTGAGGAGGGGGGGGGGGGGGGGGGGGGGGGAGGGGGGGTAGGGGGTGTATAGCAGCGTTGTTGATTCAAATTGTTGGTCAAGGTTGTAGATGAAACTGACATAAGTTGTATGTTTTTGGGATGTCACCAAAATGATGCTTGACCAGTAGTGCTAAGAGTATAGTGGTGACCCTTCAATTGTGGTGATGATTTTGGTGATGATGACGATGGTGGTGGTAATTCTAATGAAGAAGTTGATGATGATGATGGTGTTGATGATGATGGAGATGAGAGTAATGAGTGGGCAAGTTCTTAAATGTTTGCACTGTTGAAACAATGAAACAACTTTCCTCTGCTAATAACCTAAAGAATATTCTCATAATGTTTAATGAGTAATTATTAATATTATGAATATCTATCTTTTGTTTATTTAAGTTTTGCTAATCAGAATGCCCCATCTTTTGGAGCCCTATCTGGATCAGGAGGAGGGTTTGGCCAGCAGCAGCAGCAGCAGCAGGGCACTGGATTTGGAGCATTCGGTGGTGGAGAAAAGAATACAGGTAATGTATAGGAGACGGGGAGAGAGAGGAAAGGTTGAGGTGGTGGTGATGAGGATGATAATAGTGGTGGTGAAATGGATATGAGATTATGTTATTACAGAGTGTGATGATGATGGTGATGGTTAGGAGGAGGAGGAGGAGGAGGAGGAGGAGAGGAGGAGGAGGAGGAGGAGGAGGAGGAGGAGGAGGAGGAGGAGGAGGAGGAGGAGGAGGAGGAGGAGGAGGAGGAGGAGGAGGAGGAGGAGGAGGAGGAGGAGGAGGAGGAGGAGGAGGAGGAGGAGGAGGAGGAGGAGGAGGAGGAGGAGGAGGAGGAGGAGGAGGAGGAGGAGGAGGAGGAGGAGGAGGAGGAGGAGGAGGAGGAGGAGGAGGAGGAGGAGGAGGGGGTGGTGGTGATGCAGATATTTTAGATGATATGAGACTAGTGAGTAAAATGATTATGATGATAGTGTTGAGAGTAATAATGAGGATGATATTGAGGATGAGGAGGATGAGGATGATATTGAGGATGATGAGGAGGATGATGATGATGTTGATGAGGATGATGAGGATGATGATGATTAAATTCAATTTTCAATTCAAATGAACATTTATTTTCTTCCATTCAATTTGACAACATATTTAACATCTGTTCAAACAATACAATTTATACGTAGGAACATAAATATAATTAAAGAACTTGTATTACAAGGAAGAAGGCGCAAAACCCGATAAGCATAGCTTGTAATGGGTACGCCCGAGTACACAAATACAATTATACATTATAAATGGAAGAAAGGAAGAAAGGAAGAAAGGGATAGGCAAAGAGGAGAGGAGGATAGAGAGCTTGGAGAAAGAGAAAAGAAGAGGACTGCAACATGGTAGCATTGGAGTGTATGGCTTGCATAAACAAGATAACGGCAAAATATAGGTGAAGGGTATAGTGTTGAAATATTTGACTGATGATGATGATGATGATGATGGAATGTACTGAAACTTCATTATGAACACGATCCTGATTACAATGGTAAAAAAAAAAACATTTATACCTCCAATGATAAAATATATTCATTTTTGTTTTCATCTTCCTTCATTTTTGTTTTGTCCCCAGCAGGATTTGGTGGTTTTGGCTCTGGATCAAACAATGCTTTTGGTGGAGCTGATAACAGCAATAGCCCTGGGTAAGTGTAGACACTTTGTTTATGGTGTAAAGCGTTTAATGATGTGTGGTGTTTATGCTGTTAAAGTGTTGGCCACTTAGATTGTGGGGCTTTACATGTGCAGTGTCACTGATGTATATGGTGTATTTCGTCATGTCTTCAACATTACTTGTGCATTTGTTAGATGTGAGGTTCAGTATCACCGAGGTTTATGGTTTATTTTGCTTGGTGTTAGGTATTAAGAAATTAGGCGTAAGATATTACTGATGTATGCTTTGTAGTTTTTGCCAGGAATTCATGTTAGTTGTAAATTGGTAAGTAACTGATGTATATAGTTGATTTTTTTTTTCCTTGGAGTTGGGCCTATAAAGTTGTCTTTTAAGTAGGTGTGTTTTGTTACTGATGTGTATGGTACATTTTGCTAGGTGTAAGTTATAAGTTGACAGGTGTTACATGTAGGTGTATGTTTTCACTATTGTGTTTGGTGTATTTTCCTTGGTGCTGGGCATAAATTGATGGGTGTTTGTTGTTACTAATGTTTATGGTGTATTTTGCTTGGTGCTAGGCCTAAGTTATTAGGTGTTAAATGTATGGTGTACTGTGCTAAATGTAAGGCCTTAATTATTAGGTGTTAAATGTAGCTGTGTGTTGTCATTATTGTGTAAGGTGTATTTTGCTTGTTGCTACGTCTTGGTTTGATAGGTGTAAGGTGTATATTTTCCATTTGTAAAATTTGATGTAAGGCATCCACTGCTTGGTGCATGTCATCTTAAGTTCGGCAGAAGAAAATCAAAGAAGTTACATTGAAATATATCCTGATTCTCTTTCAGAGGAAGAGAAATACATTGTCATCAGGCAGGGTCAGATATACAACAACATAATACAGTCACAAATACAGTTTTTAAAAATGGCAACTAAAAGACAGGAACAACAAACAAGCAACCAGAGACAAAATGAAAACAAAACTGCACTATATATATATATAGTTTTATACGTAAGATTATAATACGATCTAGCAGCCAAAGTTTGAACGATTGAATCTGTTTGATTTTAGATGTAGATCTTGGTTTTTCTCTTGAGCCATGAAGAAGTAGGAAGGTAGGGAGCTTGTTTGAAATTTGATCCTTGTAAACTCAGCATATTGCACAGATTACCCCTACCAGAGTGTCATATATCTACACCAACTATTAGACACACTAACTCATGGAATCAGTTTCAGTTATAGGGGTAATGTTCTCCTCTTATTACCTTCTAAATTGTTTGAGCAATTGAAAGGTTTTCTGTGCAAGAAAAGTTTCCTCCTCAAACCAGCTCACATGATTTACAATTGGGTGTTATTGTTTTTTAAGTACTTTTGATGATTTCCGGACTTGTCTATTTAGAGACTGTTTCATTTGAGATTTATGTATCAGTATTATCTTATATCTTTTAAATTGTTTGAATTTGATCCATATAAATTAGGCATGTTAAACAACTTACCACTACAAGTGTATCATATATCTACACTAATTAATCCACATAAAACTATTTACACACTTACTCATGGAATCGGTTTCAGTTATAGGTGTATTGTTTTCTTCTTATTACATTGTTATTACCTTATTACCTTGATGAATAACATCATTGTAAATACTCCTCTATCCTTTCTTCCTTGGAACTGTTACCATTGTAGGATCACCAAAACTTTAGAAATGTTACATGCTTCGTGAAATGCAGGAGAAATGCATCTAGGATAGTCTCCCCCCCCCCCCCTCCCCAAGACTGTTACCCATGTAGGTTTATACGAAAATGTATGAATGTTATATTGCAAGCTTCACTAAATGCAGTATGATTCCAAATCGGTAACCCCACTGGGACAAATATTGCCCCCACTTCTTCCTTCAAAATATTTTCAATGTAGGGTAATAGTAAAACAAAAATAAATTGAGATACCGCCCCCCCCCCCCCCCCATGAACAAATACAGATACCTCTCCCTTTTTCCTTCAAACTTTTTCCAATGCCGGATCATCATAAATTCAGAAGTAGTATGCTCCATTTCATGCAATAATTTGGACCATCCCCTTCAGAATTCTTGATGAATAATGAAGGAAAACGACAGCTGAAAAATGAGTGACTCATGTCAAAATGTGAGATTAATCCTGGCTTGCTTGTGTACATGACATGACCAACGCATGTGCTCGAGTCTGTCGCATCACCTAACCTAAGTTTTCACGCTATTTTACAAATTGCTTAGTCTCCATATTTGTACTGGCACAAACCGTACAGACTGAAACTCCAAGATATTTTCACTTGCCCCATGGTTAATGAAAATAGTTCTTGATTATCATGGAAAAGTGGTTTATTTTGTTATTCTGATGCAACTTCACGTATTCATTGAGCGCGCATTACTTTATGTCATATATCAATACTTTATGAAAGCATATAGAGAGATAATTGAAATATTGGTTTGTAAAGATAAAGACCAGTTATGGTCATGCGATTGCATTGTGAAAGAAACGTTGTGGAATCGATCAGAAAAGGTTGATCATCTAGCATATAAGTATTGCTGTGTACTGCAAGGTTCTGGAATCATCAAAATGAGAAGAAATTTGGCCCAGTCTTGATAAAGTTACAAGCACTGTACACAGAAAGATGTATATGGGACTACCCCAGATGTGCGTTATATCTATCAGGTCCAAATAGATATAATAATTTGCCAAATATATTAATTAGTAGGCGGTTTCTCGGCAAAATTTGTATGATCACGGATTAGTCAAAATATATTCTTTCACATGATTGGTAATAAGAGCTTCCATTTCATTTTTTGAAAGAGGGGCGTTTCCAAAACTGGTCTTTACCTTGAAAGAGATTTCTTAATTTCTTCAAAAATTGCCTCTTACCCACCTTAAGTCCCACTATTTCAATGTATTCATATCAAAATTTTGTATTTTTGCCTGCTACACAAATTTAATACTGTTATATATTAATTATTTAATCGATATGTATCACAGACTTGGTAATATCAAAATGGATATCATATCGAACAAAAATAGCAACTACATGTATATTGAATTTTATCACTGATTGTGATCTATCCCTTTTGAATAGCCCAAGTTATCAAGCAAAGTTGCCTAGCTTCTCCTGGGAAGAATTGGCTCACTACATCCTACTACCCTTGCATCAGAGCATCGTCATTATCCCTCAATATTTACGTAGTGATACCTTAATAATCATGTGATGTGGTCAACTTCGGGTTCGTCATAATTCCTTTATACTGTCCGTAGTGAGTTACCCTTTCTATCCACTTATTTTTAGCTGCTAGAAACTGCCCACTTATTTTGTTCCCTGCTTTTATTTTTAAATCTTTCATGGCCTGTCTGAAACAGATTTCCCTTGTAATCCAGCCGTAGGCAAATACTGGTCTTAAACTCTAGACCCCACATCTCCAGATGTCTCTGCTTTGAAGCATTAATTAAATGTGCAAAGGTTCCGGAATGAAATTGCAAGTGTTGCTTCATGCTTATAAATATCCTTCTTTGCCATTGTTTTTACATACAATTAGTATAAATGAACTTTTAAGAGTCCGCTTACAGTTCTAAGTGTTTTTGCTTTTGATTTTCCTTCTTTCGAAACAACCTTTGCAATATAATATACTCCCTTTATTAAATGCAGAGGAGTGGAAATTTTAAAAGCATTTCAGAGTTGAATCCACTCCGAATTATAGTGGAATCCACTCTAGAGCAGTGGTTTAATAACTCTTTTGAGAGTGTGTTTCCTCTCCACACAAAATGATCCTTAAAGTGGCAGGATTTCCGCTCCTTTTTTGCTGCAGAAAGAGAAGGAAAAAAAAAGCTAATTTGAATCCAAATTTAGAGAAGAGTAATTACATTCTTGAAGAGGATTTTGGCACCTATTGCAAAAAACAGCGTAGGTGTACATGTGAAAGTACAAAACAAGCCTAAATAGCCAGACTAACGAAGCAATGTGCTGTGTCCTGGTAATTGATAATAATAGTTCATTTCCCCTTTACACCTCTCCACACCCCAGTCTGCCTGCAGTCCCGTAATACTGCTTTCTGTGTCGGTCGTGTTATAAAGTCCAGCCAATTTGAAATGGTAATTTGTGCGGTAGGTTGCCCTATTTCATCGAGGATTGCCTTTTAATGTCCTTTGTTATGAGTTATGAGTAAGCACTGAATTGAATTGAGGGCTCATAACTGACGCTCAAACATTTACTCACAAACAACCAAAGATACAGTCGAATAATTCATTTAAAAGAAAAGAAGTTTACTTCTATTCTCGACAATAGAGAATAATGTTGAAGAGAGGCATGCTAAAACTTTTGTTGCTTTGAGAATTATAATTTTGGTACCTCTTTCATTTCATATTTCATTCTCCATAAAAAACTTTAAACATACAAACATGATATACAGATAAAAGATTGATTACAAGAAAATAGAAAATGGGAATGAGCAAACAAAATTTTATGGGAATGTGGGGTTAACAAAAAGGGCAATTAGCCTTATGAACGTCAATCCTTAAAAATATACACTGTTTTGTTGAGAAGAGAGAAAAAGGCAAAGAAAAGCAGAGAAAATCTGAACACCGATACAAAAGGGAAGGAGAAGGGAAGGGGAGGGGGAATACATTACAAAGTGCATTAACTGAAGCGCAACATCATTTAATTTGAGATTGAGTACAATGATAAAAGATGGGATTTACACAAAATATTCATTGAATTACAATTACCTCCATCAGTCTATTTCATCAATTATTACTTTATAAAATGTGAATGTCCTTTGTTGTTTTCTGATGTGATGAGTTTAAGCCTCGGTCACAAATGCCCTTACGAACTGCTATAAACGCCGTACGAACGATTTTCAGACAATGGAAATTCGGGAAGACAATGGAAAAACGGAGATTCGTACAAAATTAACCGTTCGTACGAACCTTTGTGACCGTAGCATTACATGGAGCTCTAAATTGAACTTAAAACGTTTTGACAACAAGGATCTGTCGAATTAATCATTTTATGAAGAGAGTTCTTCAAAATAGAAGAATAATTTACAATAGTTGTTGAGTCTGAAGGAAGCACTGAATTGAATGTTAAGCTCTGGAGCTCCACCATTTTGTTGGAAGCCTTTTTAAGAAACTGTCGAAAACTAAATTTGTAAAGAGCTTACTACACAATTAAGTAATATTTTTAAAAGCTTTTAAATAGCTATTCAAGCTTTTTATCTTGCTCTCTATCATGTATCGATACATCTATACTCTACAGCGTGAAACACAAGCATGAACTGTAAACTAAAAATCAAACAAAGTAAATGGGAAATACAGAGAGGAAACTCATTTTCTTAGATGTTCCCTTTAAGGAAAGATAAATCCACTAAGATGAAATATATCACAGTGAGAAAAGAACAAAGGCAATAGCTTTTGGCTATGCAATGTATATTGATAATTTGATATGAGTTACATCCTGGGAATACATTGACGTCATGAATCAAAATGCTTTGCCAAGAAACACAAGCTGCTGCAGCTTACTGCAAGACATTCTTACAAACATAGGGTGATTCAATGTATTTATTGAAAGTATAGCTCTCTTGAGAAATGTTTTCTTTAAATATCGAGCCAAAAAATCATGGAAGCAAGAAGTTAAATACGGTTTCAACAGCGTATTGCGTTGTGTACCATGTAAAGGGCTGATAAGAAAATAATTTTTCAGACATCATTGATATACATGTAAATGTACCTTTAGTAATTGAATGGAAATATCCCCTTTTGTCAATGTCTGCAGATGTATAAATTATTGCTTACTGACACTTTAAATGCACATTATTGTTGTTGAAGGTAATATTTAACATTTGTGGAATGAAAGAGGTTGTATTTTGGACAATAAACAAAAAAAGATAATCATCTTGTGAAGTTGTGAGTTTAAAGAGAAATTTGTCTGTCTTTTCCACTTTTATTAGTAGCGAATTATCATAGGTACGTTTTCCAATTTTGTGCAGGTAATCTGATTTGTTCATCTTGATGTATAATACAGTAATGCAGTTTGTTTTGAAATTTGATCTCAGCCCCCAGATTTCCATAGAGTACCTGAAATAAATTGTATGATTAAACATTGCTTGAGATGGATTTCTACTCTAGATAATTGAAATTGGCGAGATGCACAATGAAATGCTGTACAAGTGTCACTCTGTGAAAATGAGTATTGCTCGTGTTTACACACTGTTCTATGTCAGTAGGGTTGCTGAGATGGTGTTCATACTGCCATATTAAACAAACTAGACTGTTCATTAACCAGTATGTGACCTTTGATTAAATTTGTCCGGTATTGCTTATGTGAATAGGGCTTCTCCTCTATGCCTCAAAGGTGCCTAAGATAAGGCCCCCAAAAAAGATGTTGTATTGCCATTTGCGACCGACCCCAAAATCTTGAAATCCACAGTCGGCTTTTTAAAACAGTTTTGTATTTTTTACCGTTTTTTAAAGAAAAAAACTTAGCCCAAAGAGGGAGTAAAAAAAAAAAATTCTGACAGACCAACCCATGTTTTGGCCCCTAAAGGGCAATACAACATCTTTATTTTTAGGCCTAACTGACATTGATATCTGTCATAAGTGTCCACATACAGAGAGTGTTCCATAATGTGAAAGGTACCCTTTTCTGTGTGTTAAACATATCCACTTCATAGGCTCTTTCACACTATACCTGTTCAACAATTAACATAATATATCTAGCATGTTGTTAACAGATGAATCAATAAATGCCCTCCATGTGAACACTCCCCCTTATTTTCTTCTTCTTTGTCATGCAGATTCACTGGAGGAAGCTCGTTCACACAGTACCGTCACTGAGTCATCCCCGCGCTTCATCTCGAAGAAGAACCCTAGTGCCTTCCAGCTATTTTTCTTGCATCATGTGATGTTAGCGTGAAGATGAACGTCCATGGAAAGGTTTCCTTGATACTGTACAGGTGTATGATCAAATAAAGTGCTGCAATTAGTGAATGCTTGAAACGTGTCATAAACGTGTCATCTTGAACTGTGTTTTTTTTTTTAAAAAGGAAACAGGACACACCCAGAAAATCGTTTTGATGAGTGCTTATCATGCATTCCATCTCCTGTTTTTCTTCTATTGAATTGATTTATGATGAGAGAAAAAAAGCATCAAGTATAAGATATATATGTTGATAGATTAGCCCCCTTGATATGCCTATACATGTAGTACAGGGGTACGAATGAAGTCGAGGGCCTCTTCCTGTGAGCTCTTGAATTTATTTATCATTATTGCTTTTATAACGGTATACCAGTTTATCCCAGAATATCGTTTTAAGGAGTGGATATCATGTGTTTCATCTCCTTTATTTTATTAATTTGGTTTATTATACAATCTTGATAATAAAAATCATCAGTGTTTATAGGTAAGCCTCCATGAGATACATGTAGCACAGGGAGGGCTTCTATCTGTGAACTGTTTTAAAATGGTATTAAATTCTAGCCCAGAAAATAATTTCAAGCAATGGTGATCATGTTGTTTATCTTCTTCTTTTTTTAAAATCAAATTAGTTTGTTATGTAAAATTAACTGTAAAACATCAGCCTTTATAGATATTGCTTCTATCTATGAACTATTGAGAATATTTTGATTCAGTGAACCAGTGTAGCACAGAAAATGTTGTCAAGGAGTGTTAATCCGGCTATTCATCTCCTTTTTTCCGGATCAAATTGGTCTATTATGCAAATAAGGGCTCAATATTCCATTGCTTATAGGGAGTGGCCTTCCTGATGTACTCCATGTGTATAAATAAAAATAAAAGTACATGCAAGTGCCTCAATCAAAGTAAGCTTTAAACTGTTTAAAAACAACATACACTTCTTATGAAGATCATAGTGTCTAGGTGTGCTTATCATGTGTTCCATCTTTGCATTTTGCTGTTATATCGGTTTATAAATTACACAAAATTAAGCATTAAATGTCAGTGTTTATGAAGAGGCCCCCTTGATACAGTTGTAATGATCAAGTTAAGGGGCTTGGGGGTGTTTCACAAAGATCCTAACAAAGCTCCTAAGTCAAACTCAATTCTAAGTTGGACTTAAATACTATGGAGAGCCATTTTAGCCTTATATTCAGAAGTGAAAATTCAAGTATTTTAGACTTATTATAAATTCCACATCAAGAACATAAAATCTCCTCGATAATAGAAAATATGAATGATTTGTATCAACATTTTAGGCCTTTGAAAATAACTTTACAAAATATTTTCATAGATGCTAAAAGTCATGACAATCTATTCATGTTAATTCATTGAAATTAATACTTGTATTTCACCCAGTTTCTGTCTTTCTTGCTTATCTTGATGCAAGTTTAAAACTACAAAGACAGATTTATGATTTTTATGCCATTTCTCCAGAATGCTTACATGGACCTTACTAAGTATTATTACTGTAGTATTATCTTTTAAGCAATGTAGTTGCGAGTGAAAATACTATATTTCTAACTTCATGAAGTAGTTTTATGAAGAGAGAAACAGCTTCCGGGAGGCATGAAGCAATATACATGTAGTTGCAAGTGAAAATACTATATTTCTACTTTTATGAAGCAGTATTTTAATAAGTAGTTTCTTATGAAGAGAGTAACAGCTTCTGGGAGGCTGGAAACTGACCATGAATGCGCATGTTCCTGTTATAATTTATGAATCAATTTCTCAATAATAAGATGTAGAACAATGACTCTATTTCTCAGAATAGATCTGCCTACACATCCATGTTCACAGTTTTTGTTTTTACGTACGATCGCAGCCAAGTATTTCCTCTGTCTAAACCACACCGTTTCCTGCTTAATGTACTGAGAATGAATATCCAGTGGGACTGTACTGCTTGGAAGCAGCAGAAAGTTGTGCCAATTATAGGGAATCCACCATTTATGTCTAGTTTTTGTGATCATTCATGATATCTATTAGTTAAGATAGAAAGAGATCTGAGACCTGTTTCACAAAGCCTTTTTCCAATGACAAATGACTGGCAAATGACAAATATCAGTGACAAATCTGCTGATAACCAACCAGAAGCAAGGATTTCAGTAGCTTACAACAAAAACTGTCTTTTGTCACTGATAACAAGTTTTGTGAAATGGGGCCAAGATTTTCATTTGATGTCTATATACTTGAACTCGAGATAAGCTGGAATTTTGGCAAGGACTTACAGGAAAAGAAGAAGTCTCTGCACACATCGTACTTTCTATCTTCGAGTGGATGAAACCACTTGTCGAAAATTTCCTGGAAGAGTATTTTGAAGATTTGGGAAGACATGGGAAATACTTGGAAAACAAGAATTCCAAGTACTTAATGAACTTTAATCAAATTATACACAGGCATGGAATACTGTGTTCCACGATGTACGAACTAACTAACCAACACTTGAGGGCTGATTTGGTTTTATTCCATAGAATTGCATGATCCTGATATTGTTTTTACTATTAAATATGAAATGTTTAGCTTGATTATGCTAGTGATTTTAAACAGTTTTGATGCTGCTATCATGAATTAAAGTTGTATCCATTCGATACTCAATTATTGACCATACTCGTCTCTTTTGAGTTGATTATTGTGCTAGGATCATTTGTTTAAGAAAAATGCAAAAAAAATCTGTTAAGAACTATAGTTACATTTAAATGTGAACCGTGAAGTTGAAGTATGTGAATTTGATGTTTTTTGGTGTTTTTAAAATTAAAATGAGAAGCTAGTTCCATATTATGAGGCAGCAATAACTACGGAGTTTATAATTAAACATTTAGACCTGAAAATAAACAATTTAGAGGAATCACCAATATAAACAACTTCTAAATACCTCTGAAATAAAATTAAAAAACACACCCAAAACATGACATTTGTAGATAATTATGTACTATGACAATTAAATTTGGCTAGTGTGTTATGCAAAATGGATATTTAAAAAAAATATAAAGTCATACAGGAGACGTACAAAAGCTGTTCAAAGGAAACACAAAAATATGATACCGTCATTTAACATGATATAAAGGCAGTCTCTTTTACCCAGGAAACCATTATTAAATTCTATCTCAATCGAAATTAACTAAGTATAAAAGTTGAATAAACGATTAATGGTGACTGTAGTGGATATTTGCGTGACACATAGTTTGAAGTGAAAGTGATCATGTGGATCTGATTACCAACAACATAAAGGGACAATTTATAAGATAATTACATTTTCTTTTTTACCAGCAATTCACCGTTGAATGGCAGAAATTTGATATTTTGAAAGAGAAAGAAACATTTAAACAACCGCAAAACAAACAACTAAATCTAATACGAGATGTGTAGGAAAGAGATGCAGTTATTATTGGTAATGGTTTATATTTCTCTAATTGTATACTGAGATATGAAAGTTGAATTGACGACCGCATATACTCTCAATTAAGCACGTTGGTTTTTCTATCATCGTAATTATATATTTCCTGAATGTTACAAAAAGTTTCTAAAGGAATTCATTAAATTAAATCTTATGTTTTTTAGCAGAAGGTTACGTCAAAGTGGCTTCAAAAATCTGAGATTCGGGTGACACATATTAATGTGGAGGTGTCATGGTATTGTGGTTCATTCACTTGACTCTTAATCCAAGGGATGAGGGTTCGAGTCTCTGCCAGGCACTAACGTCTTTTGGCAATTATTGCAGGGCACTTATAATAGAAAGACCAATACCGATGCTGATGATGCCTCCGTGGATAAACAAAATTATTATTATTATTATTATTATTATTAGATTCCGGGGTAATACTGTCCACGTGGGAAGCGCAAATCCGTAGAACTGAATTGAAAAGGACGTTGTAAGAAAATATATTCATTTGAAAACATCTATAATGTTTTTTTTTTTTTAATAGTAATTGGTTGGGTTAGTCGGTTGTTTATTTGGATTGACTGACTGATTGGTTGATTGGTGGACCGATCGATTGAATGAATATGAAAATGGATGCTTGAATGAAAGAATGAATGAATGAATGAACATGAAACACATTGCTTGAAGGATTGATTAGTATGTTGGAAAGTTACTTGTTTGATTCCCCCCTCCCCCCCCCCCCCCCCCACCAACCCTCTAAGTCATGTGACGGTCCGCGGTATACTATTGCCCTACATCATAAGACATTAATCTACATTTGCCTCTCTCCATCTAGGTGTAGTAAGGGGGGGGGGGGGATGTAGAAATGTATTCCTTGAATGCTATCAGCTGGGCTAAAGCCAGAGTAAAATCGGTCCTTTGTTGGCGCCTGCATGCGGCATGCCATTGCGTTGATATCATGTGCGCAATAAAATTTGTATATTATTAGGTCCTATTATGTTAAGGCTACGGAAAAACTGATGTGATATATTCACAGAGTAAGTCGGTCGAGAAACCGACAAATAAATTAGGCACCCGGAGAAATATATTTATATTTCACCACGTCATCGACCTTCATCTTCACTTTCATTACTTTCGTGTATAGTGTTAGGAAACGAAGGTATATTGAGTGAACATTGAATAATGTGCCACAAAATATGTCTCGGTCATTTTCAGTACATTACATCAACTAATTCTAAAAACAGTCTATCTAAAGCATACACCTGAAGAAATATATTTCGTTTTCACCATATCATCGACCTTGACCTTCATCTACAACTGGAAATTTTAATCTGTCACAAAATCAGTGTTCAGACCCATTCATAAATCAAGCCCATATTTATTGATATTACTCTATATTAATAATGCATCGGTTGGCGCCTACTGAGCTTCCCGTTGTATGCGAGGATGCTTGTGAATTCATTCATAAATTTGTCAGAATTGTATTTCATTCATCATTCGTTCCGATTCAGGCGCTTGAATGTGATTTCGATATATGGGGGCGATGAAAGGTGAATCAAAATAGAGTGCTGACGCTGTGATAACATTTAGCTTGGGGCACACATACAGTCACGGATCCAGGATTTTGAAAGAAGTGGGGTGCCCGCAAAATCGTTTGTACGTCAATGCTATTGGAGTTGGCCAAATTATTGGGGGTGGGGTTGGGGGAGGGGGTCTAAAAGCTCATATGCTTCCGTGCCTTCTATAGAAGTTGCCCCGGTTTCCTGTACCCCCCCCCCCCACCCCCTCGGACTCGCCACTGAAATGGTGGAGTGTATTGATATATAATATGGAATATGAGTGCCTGAAATTTCTGGCTGTAGGCCTAGTCAGTCGAGTTAGAATTATTCTGATTTAATGCCGTGATTACCCTATTCCATATCATATATCAATACACTCCAATAATAGCTCTCACGTACACAAGATTTTGCGGGCACCCACTTCTTTCAAAACCCTGGATCCGTGACTATGTGCCCCAAGCCCCAAAGACATGAAATTTTAAAACTATTGTTGACATTACAAAATATTTTTAAAATCGAATAACCTAATCTTGTTTCTGTTTCTGTTTTAAGCTATTTAGTTAGCTTTTTTTTTTAAAGGAAATTCTACTTCCTCCCCGTTAAAACATAAAATTACCGCCCCTGCTTCAAATAACTCTTGTTCTACATAGACATACGTGGTGTACCATGCGTGAATCCACCCATGGATGGGGTCATTTGAACACTGAGGGAGGCGCTGGGAGGGGGCGGGCACTGGTCCTCAATTCGAAAATGAAATGTAGATTTACAAGGCTACTAAGGATGGGGGTGCGGGAGGTGGCTTCTTTTCACGTCCATTTCCGTTTCTCCTTGTTATGTTTCTTTCCATTCTCACTCTTTACTTATTTTTTGTATTTTTTGTTCACCACTGGATCGGGTCACGTGTCCCCGCTCCCCCCCCCCCCTGTAGCTTCTAGACATGCTTAATTCGAGACGGGTAGACACAACTATCATAACCGTGTACACTCTTAAGTCTTGATGTGCCTCAAATAACCAGGAGGCACCTGTATAAGCGTTTTTTGTTTTCATTTCTCGTGACATTTTGTTGGAGTGATTTCTGAGTGCTATTCCTGTCACCGAATGTATACATTTATTCCGCTAGGAAAAGGATAACATAATATCCTTCGGTAATCGTAGCTTTAAAGTAGACATACACACTTAGGTGACATTTCAGGATGTTTAGGCTCAACGCCATACAGCAAGTTTGTGCAAAATGAATAAACCAACTCTGATAATTTATTAACATACACTTTTGACAACTAAATTCGTATACCCTTACAAAGTTATCTAATTATTCAAGCATATGGAAAATTGATTTGTCTGGGTTTCTGTTTTTGTTATAGAATGTGTCATATCAAAGCTTACATCTAAAAATATTCAACAAAGGCCCTAATTCAGCCAATCCACCATTCATTCTTGATTTACGAAAACACACTCAAAATAAAAACCATCAAAATAATTTACAATGAGTATGAATATGATGAAGGGGATAATTAACACAGACCTACTGATGAAATGTCAATCATCATTAATATTTCATATCGAATATCAGAAAACTTTGCGTCGGTAACTGCATATTTTGTCATACCGAATGATTGAGGCGAATTTATGTTTAAAGTCATATTGTTGTTATCTTACTGATATGTCAATTTTTCATCCTTGTATTTTATAATTTCATTTGGGGGAAAACAATCTTCCATGCCAATTGTACGTTGGGTAATGAAATTAATTCAAACATAATGAAAATCAAAATTAGAATTAAAATTTGATAGCAGCATATTCCTCACAAATCAATTTATATGCATGTGTTGCATTGATTCCACACCAAAGCTATTATCATTTTAGTAATTAGGTAACCACCAGAGACAGAATGGTGAAAAGCGTCTCTCATTATTTCGCAAGTCTTCTCGTTTAATTCTCTTTAAATTCTAGTAAAGCATGTGGGCTATTTCATTTTCATTTTCATTACAAGTCTTTAATATCATCTGGTGTCACTAGAGCTTTTTAAAAATGAAATAGTGGAAATACACATACCCACACATTTCCGATTTCAAAAATAAATATGACTACCAATCTCACAGTTTTTAAAAGTCATGCTTGCTTTCAATACGTCACAGTGCTCACTATACTTTATCGTAACAAGTTTTCAAATTACGGATTTGTAATTGTATTATTATTCTGCCACTTTTTGGTAATCTATGTATTTATATTTTTCAAGTCGATATATTTACATGTTACACAAATTATGTTAGTTAATATTTTGAGGGATCCACATTTTACAAGCTCTCCTTTTCAGTGGATCCCTCCATTTCCACAGGTTTATCTTTAAAAAAAAATTAAAAACCCATTATACTGGATAATTATGTATACTTTCTATTTCACAACTTTTAACCATGTAAAATGTATTATATTATTGAATGTTGAATTGTATATTTGATTTCTTGTCATAATTACTGTTTTGTTGCCATTGAAATGAAAAATAAAACTGAAACAGAAATAGTAAGATGATGAACATGTATCAATGGAAGGCAGGCATATTAGTTCAAGTATCAAGTATCAAGTATCAAGTTTATTTGTCTTCCAGAAAACACATGTGACAAAATATAATAGAGTATAATCATAACAGTACAATGTAGAACAAAGGAAGACGAGGAGACCTTGGTTGAAGCACAGCTTGTTAAGTTAAGGCCCCCTCATAATGATGTGACAAAGATAACTTATTTATGAATACAACAACAAATATGGAATATATAAAACTATTTACAAAATACTCTCAGAGAACAACTACCCAACGTTGCATCTAATATGATCTAATATGGACAAACCCAAGCCGACACCAAGTCGAGACATCAATGAGTTATTGCTCTCTGAGTGCAGAGGTCAAGTAGGAATATATGGTATATGTAGTATGTACAGATGAGAAAGAAGAAGAAAAAAGAAAAGGGATAAAGGGGGTTATATGTCAAAGTCAAGAATTAACGAAAAAAAGATCAAGAGTAGAGTTAAATATGCTACAGTACACTAACAATAAAGCTTGATAACACATTCATGTGTCATCGACATACTTGTCTAGAAAATATGACTTAAGTCTACGTTTAAAAACTGAGATACTTGAAGCATTTGTTATAGTAGTATCAAGTGAATTCCAGAACCTGGGGCCAGTGGACATTAGTGTATTCAAAGTGAAGGTTGTCCTTGCATATGGTAAATGGAGAGCAGAAGCCTGTCTAGTATTATAGCTGTGAATTGGGTTATTTCTTCTAAAGATTTGAGCAAGGGCAGGAGGGAGGTCTCCAGAGTGAATGCTAAACATGAGCATTCCAAGTTGCATTGAATAGAGATCTTCTAGTTTTAGAATACTGTTTTCATAATAAAGTAGATTTGTATGTGCACGATAATTTGCTTTACAAATTATTCTAATAACCCGCTTCTGCACAACAAAAAGCCTGTGGATTTGAGTTTTAGTTACATATTCAGGACAAATATCTGAGGAGTTTCATTTTTTTTTAAAAGAAAACGTATTTGATATGATTACAGTTTGTAATTAGCTCCCTTTTATTAATGTTTTTGGTATATAGCATACATTACTGATTCATAATTGAATGTTTTCCATTGCATGCAGACTTGGAGTATTGGTGCAATGTTTATTGAAACCTCTCGTATATTGCGGAAGTTTTCTTAATTAAAAGAAAATGACTTTCATAATTATCATCCCCAACTCCAAAACAAAGTCGAATGAGGAATTTCAATGTGCAGATACAATAAACATATTTAGGCCTACTTGCTTAATCTGTGGATTTTTGTTTAATTCATTCGTGATTCATAAAATTTAATTCGATTCATATGGCCATTAGCACATTTTGAGAGATTTGTCGAGATTCTTCCTGTGCTTCTCGATACGCATTTCACAAAGTATTAAACAAAAATTAAACAAAATTGGCAACCTTTTCCAATCGATGAAAGTAGAACGATAGACGTCATACGTCTGGTTAAAACCAGAGGTACCGTATAGGGGTAGAAGGTGAGTACTCCATCACCGAATCCATGTTGACCAAGTAAAATAAGTCATAGTTTATTAAAACCGCTTATTCGCATATTCGATAATGCAAGCATTTACATTTTTCCAAGTTTACAACTTTACCTCTTCGTCTTCAAATATGATCCGACGCCCCCTTCTCCTCTCCTCCCCCTCCCCTAAACTCTCCCGTTCAACATGCTCTGCATGGGACGACAAACGTTTCATTTTCTGCATTATAGAGATAAAAATTCTAATCAGGAACCCTCGGCAACCAGACAAGCTATTTTTAACTCGACATTTTGCTTGTGGATCAGTACTTTGTACGAGGCTCGGCAAAAGGCCCAGCTGGGTAATTGTTCCAAATGAAATTAAGCCTCCAGAGTGTCTGTACAGTGTCTTGCATCCAGCAGTTGCCATGACAACGACGTGGATTATGTTTGTTGGAAAAGCCAATTTGATAATGGGGCTACGCTGGCCAGACGACCAGCAAAATAATTTGTTTGAATCATGTGAATTTTCGAGAAAACATAAAGTTAATACCTTCTCTCCTGAAATAATTTTGGGATTTAGTTTTTATTGAACATCTAAAATCCTACTGTATATTTTCAGCTGATATCTTACGACATTAATGTGAGTTGTTTAAACTGCTTAATTTTTCAATTCTATTAACTTTTTGTCAAGGGCCATCGAATGTTGTGAGTTTGCTCTCCCCTTCACTCGATATATCAACTGAACAATAATAATATATTCATGTACATGTATATTCTCATCCCTCTCCGGTTCCTTCTCTCTGCGTTAACCTTTCATTTCCCATATTTCACCCTTTTTAGCTCTCCGTATCTCTCACTTTCCCTCTCGTTCTAAAACTGTCCCATTTCTCTCCCATCTGATATCTATCTCTCTCTCTCTCTCTCTCTCTCTCTCTCTCTCTCTCTCTCTCTCTCTCTCTCTCTCTCTCTCTCTTGCTCTCTCTTTCTCATCTATCACCCTCCCCTGACACATACATAATATCCCTCCCTTCTTTCGCGTTTTCACAAACATTATTCTTCTCACACTTTTTTTTTTCTTTCTGCCGGCTTTTTGTGGATTGCAAGCAACTCAAACTCTCTCATTGATGAAACATAAAGATTGGACGAATATAATCATATGCGATTATGCGTGGTCAAAAACATTCACTAGGAAGTTTTTCTTGTACACATAGCTAAAATAAACCGTCATCGGATCTAATATAAAAACATTTCATTGATCGATGTGCTCCGTTACTACTTCTGACTCCTCTTTTTCCTTCTGCTTCTTTTTGACGGGGGTTGGAAGTTTATGACCATAACATTCTGGATTATATGTCGTTACAAAAAAATGGGAAATAAAAAGACAAGAAAAAACAAAAGTAATTGTGTGACTGTCTCACAGGAATTTTTTTTATTGCACCGTTGTTGCTATCTAGTTATTAATGACTACTGTACACAATATATATATTACAAAATTCACAAAAAGACATATCAGGAAGGCCAATCGTTATTGCTCAAAATCAAATCAAACTTACCCTTCCCGACTCGCAATGAACCGGATCGAAACTAAGTTAATTTCATGTATACCTCTTTCATGGTTGTAGCAGTAAGGAAGCTTGTGTGAGGTTTATCCCGACAGAGTAACAAAATTTATATTTGCAAACTGCGGCATCTTAATGCAAGCCTACATGAATAAGTAAGACACATGCATGAATATTATGCATGACTGTGTGAAGGGAATCGTCACAATAAAAGAAACTCCATACATTTGAAACCCTTGGAACAAACTCCCATTAAATAAAATAAATCTTAAAAAAACAAACAGGAGAAAACTAACACTGATCGCAAATACCTGTATACGAAGAAAGATGCGGAAGCAGACAAAACATTGACCCTACCAACCCGGTATGGCGAACATAAACAATTAAATAGATTGGCACTTTAACCTTGAATCTAAACAAATCGAAAAAACATTCTTAATATTGAAAGGATTCAGCGAAAGCATTCAATGACGTACAGCATGAAAAGACAGCAAACATGATGATCATGTCGGAATGTAAAAGATGCCGTTATACAATCAACGATAAAATCAAAGTTAAGAAATTGAAAAGAAAAAACAGCACTGAACTGGTGTTGCTAGTATTAAACGTTGTGATAAAATGCAACTATATAAAAAAAATTCAAACCGAAGTCCAAAATACGTTATTGAGATTGGTTGCACGTTAAGTGATCTTTTTGTAAAGTCGTTTTATTACCATTATTTTCAAAGTGGCTTCTCGACACCGAACAGTAAAATACATGTAGTATATTATGGTCCTTCTTTAATTTTCTTATTTTTAGAATGAGTTGTCAGCGAAAATAAACAACCCAGCTTAATCTTGTGACTGGTTCTTTCAAGAGGTGTAGGTTAGATATTAAGCGAGGATGCTCTGTCAGAAATAATGTATTTTTAGACAGGAGTACTACTGATGCTTGCTATGCTTAGTGATGTAAGCAAGCACACTTAACAACGTAGTGTAGCCCGGGGAATCCTATCTCTTTTGTTTCTTTATGCCACAGTCATTAATTCAACCAGAGTTACTCTGCTTGAGGGCGCGCCAGATTCTTCCTCTAAATTCTGTCGTAGGGCTACTTATGACAACAAAAACTCTTGAGAAGAGGGTATCGAATATTTTTAAGTTAGATACATTTCAAAATATATCATGTCCTGCTTAAATCAATTCATGTGGCCTAAGCTTATTTTAGTGTTAAAACATCAACTTTAAATCAAATATCAATATTTTGTCTCGCGCTAAAGAAAGTAAACAGAGCCGAATCGTAATAATCAAACAAATTTGAATAAAGGAACGCCTACATCATCCACCGGGCCGTAACCAATCACTATTGGCACATTTTGATTCGATTTTGCCGTCAATATTAACTCTTTTTATCGACAAAATAATAATAAAATCCCAATGATTAACAAAATCATGAAAATAAAAGTAGGCCTACAAATGAAATAAAAATTGAACACATTTTTTATCAGCATCATCCACAGTTTCCTTGAACATTTGTCACGGAAATATTTGTTTAAAAATGTTGACAAAAGATACACATTGAAAGAGGTACGTTTGGAATCATTCATAACCTGCAGAGTGTCGAAAGTGATGACAAAAATAACATAAGTTCTTGCAAAAACAGAGAGAATTTCTTCCTTTTTCTCGACTATGATCTGGAAAGTTGTATGACAACATATAAAAATAGCTTATGTTTCATATATTTTCATTTTGACAAACACTGTAAACAAATTAGAATTACTTTCAGCGCCTGCTTTAAACAAAAAGTAATACGAGTTGCTTTGATGTGTAATAATGCGTAGGGATCATAATTTAAAAACTGTGATCATGATTGATGCATTTGATGGCCAATGCAAAAATATCAAGATAAACAACACGTCATTTTGTGTCTGAAAAAAAAAGGCTAATTGATGTCCGCACAATTGAATAAATACTTCTTTCATTGGAGTAACAAATAGAAAACTAAACCCTGAAAGTGATGAGATGAACATTTCAACACGGTTCCTTATAATAACATATACATACAAATACTCCATGTGAAATAAAGGTGTCATCATTCATTAGGAATTAAAAACCATAAACATTTTTATAAAATACTCTATAATCGAAATTATGAAAGGCCATAGATTTTCTGCTTTTATAGCGGAAGACTACATTCTGTAACACATTATCAATGGGGAATTCTATTTACATTTTGCATATGCTTTCACCATCAACAGCCATTTCTTTTGCATAGTTTTGTCATAAATAAGTTACAATGTTTTTGGAAATATACATAATTGTTTTTCCCAAATATTTACTAACCGGTAGCTTCACAGGAGCACCACACTAACACCGTCTATTCGTGTCCTCTCAAGGCAAATACAGTAGTTTCTGAGACCGGTGCTAAATTGTTAGCACCGTTTGAACACTGGATTATGTCATATTCAGTTATTGACTTCAGCAATACACTTTACACTCTGAAAACATAGTGTAGATCATTTGAGATGGTTAAGGAGTGCTGCACTTTATCATTGGCCGATTTAACACCGAGTTGTTTGATCAAAATAGCATTCTACCCACCAAGAAACTCACTTTCTACTCTTTTGCATGTTCATGTTGATTTTACATGTATCATTACAGAGTTGTAACTCACCTCTAGAAAAAAAGAACATTAGTAAACCTTTATTTTTCCACAAAATTATAGTAAGCTTATTTTCTGTTCAGAACACGTTTTATTTTACCTATACGAACATTGGTCATCAAAATGAATACCTAAGTTCTTCCTTCGCTTGAATTCCGAAGCTGTTAGTTCAACACGAATTAGAATCCATTATCAATAAACGTGATTTAATAATAGAATCCCAAAGGTAAACAGAGAAAGCTTGCAAATCGCATTACACTTCTTAAAGCCGTATAGGCGCTACTACTGCACTTATTATCATAGGCCAGTAGGCAGTGTGCCCGCATTTGTATGAATCTTTCTTATTCCGAGAGCTCTCTTGTGATAAACTGAATTGGAATGAAAGTCTTTTGTTATCAGCCTTTCCGTCATTAATATCCTACTTCACAACTTGGGGGAATAAGAATACTTTATCATGAAATATCAATTTTTTCCACTCCGAGTTTATCATTTTGAAAAATATTGATGGGTGCAAGAGCATGAAGGGTGACTTCTGTTAATTTCTATTCGTCGTTCATAAACCCCTGTCACACAAACGAGATAGACGCCAGACCGACTACCAACGAATAAAGAAAATGACGTTACTTCCTACGGCCCCAAATCGGTAGGTTTTGAGTCGGTTTGGCGGTGTGACTGATGAATTGGATTGAACGAGATTTCTCCCTTGCAGCATTTCTTGCGCTGAACATCACACATACAGACAGTCGTTGAATAATGTCAGAGATTTCAAGGCACAGATGAAAGAACAGGTCACGTGGCTGGAAGACATGCGCAGTTAGACAAGCACAAGGTCAAACTGCGCAAAACAAAATGGCGCACGTTACATAAGAAGTGATACATACGCCAATAAATCTATTTTTTACGTTTATTGGTAGAATTTATCATTCTTCAAAATACAAAGATAAAAATAAAGATCCTTCATTATTTTAAGGCACTGACGGTTTCAATTGTCCAATTTATATGGCCAAACTATACAAATTTTGTTGTTCTTTTACACTTTTAAATATCATCCGTTAAAGGCTACGTTTCTTTACTTCCTTGAGGTCATTATCATGGTCAACTTCTAATCTGGAAAACAACGAGAAGAAAGTCTTGATAGCTAGATTGCACATAACCGCTGGAAAGTTGCGAGCATTCTTTGTCAGTAATATCACACTTTAAGTAAGTACTGTCTTTTACGTAGTTTGTCAAAAAACAACGACGTCATCCATTCATTTGAAATACCTCAAAATCATTGGTTACGGTTTGTAAAGCAAAAATTCGGCAGTTGACAGTGACATAAACGTATTGCTCTCTTTCTCGTCTTCTCTTAAATATCAAAACAAGCACTTGATGCTCTTTTAAACAGTCATAGGTTCCATTTGATTGTGATTCTTGACGATTGAAAAAATGTTGTTTGAATATTAGAAGTCCAATTGTCCATGTAGGCATCGCTACTGGCTTACGGGCGGTACTATGACCACTTCTCGCCCTGTCATGGGTCTCCATATTAAAGTTTGCGCGTTGTTGGCGTTGGGTGCGCGTAAGGCTTCGGGAGGGGGTAGTTCGTTCTGATTTGGCTCCAGAATTTGTGGCTGTTCCTGAATGATGGGGTCCAAAAGATGTGCACGTCGACCTAACGGTTGTCGCCCGTCCACCGCAATGTTGATCTGCATCCGCCATTTTATCGTACGTAGCACAAACTTCTGGCCGGTCGTCTTGTTGCTCGCGATCAACCACACGGTAAAACTCTGGTCGCGCGCAAGCTTCGTTAGTTTGACCTCGTGACTGTTGCGCACTGGAATATCCCATGTGATGGAGGGGTGGAAATTATCGTTCATCCGTAGATGGCACACGGTGTAGCAGTTCGTAGGTCCTACGATCACCCCTACTTCTGTAGTGCACCCGTACCAGGGGTAGTGTTTCCCGTCCGAGTCGCTCACGAAACGTTGCTGACCGCTCTTGAGCGCTGGAATCTCCCAACTTGATCTGTGCAAATGGCAAAACAAAACAGAGAGAAGAAAATTATAAATGATGAAAATCAGTTCAAGTCCATTACGCAAGGGCTTTTCAAATTCATGCATATTTAAGACAAAGTACGTTGTACCTCTACTGCTTTTCAAGTCATATTATCAAGAGAAGAAGTCCAGTTTTTAAAGGTAGAGTCAAAGATGAGTCCACCCACTAACCAACTCAACTACTCTTGACCAGGGGGGGGGGGGGGATTCTTCTGACCATGGTACAATCCTATACAAAATCATAATGGTGGCGTGATTATTTTTCAAATAGAAGTCAGGAGAAAAGTCCTATGTGTTGATGCAAACCATACAGGTTTAACTAACTTTCCAAATATCTTGTGACATCAACTCGAACGTCGCCATCGAAAATAAGGGAGAATTCGATGACATAATTATTCTGAATGGATGGCAAAGGCTATACAATGACTTTAATAACCCTAGGGCAGCAGCGAAATATCGATCTCCTTTCATCAACGAGAAGGTGTTAACACAGGCTCAGCGAAGCCCCAAGCGACCACACGATCGACTGAAAACCCGACACCGTACTGTCTGACGCGGCGTACGATTTATGGTAGAATTCAATACCCCGCGAAAAAAAGCCAACACCAAATTTTAATTCATTCCCATGATTGTCTGTATCTCCCAGCGGTGTGCTTATTTCGGCAAGGGGTTTCTTGCTTAGTGAACAGTGAAACAGGGAAAAGGGACACGAAGGGGGATATATTATAGGGACATGGTAGCTCTATCCAGGGACCTCCCTGCTCTATCATTGATCGGGATTCAACCATTTTAACACTGAAACAGGTGATTTGGAGTCTACTGGAACAATTAAATAATTCGAAATATGCATCTGATAATACTTTGAGACGTGCATGAAAATGTGCATTCCACGCTCAAGATAACAAAATGGCGACTCTGTGACGTATCTTCCGAGCTCCCCTCTCATTTACTCTGTACTTTTAAAAATATAGTAATTTTTATTTTCCCTCAAGAAAATGTTCAATCATACATGCATCCTACATAACTTATTGCAAATGTGTTTTTATACAACCCCTGTATGGAAACAAAAATCTATTCCATTATCAATAACAAAGAAAATGAAAGTTTATTCAAGTTTATGGATGTGTGCCGCAGAAGCGATATGACTAAAAACCGGTATAGCAAGTGTGGCATGAAACCTGTATGTTCCGATGTGTTCATGGTAATACCATGGTATCACAATACAACAATTTTTCTCATACAAAGGATGGCCGATACTGAATGTGGACAAATCCAATTTATTAAGTCATTCGGTGTTTCGTACGCTACCAAGTTCTTGTAACCTATTATAAGTTGACATCAAACGTATCACTTCACTTGATAGATGGTCAGATCCGAGCTAGCTCTTAAAGGACTTAGAAATCAATACTCATCACTCATCAACTAAATGAACTATCAAAACATGTAAATTATGTAGATTTGTGACATCCCTACAGAGACAAAATGGTGAGAGCAACCAGTGGCATCAATGACCTGCCATAGTTACAGTGTCATGACAAGCTCAATATTTTGCAAACTTTACTGAAGAATTACAATCACGCGGAAGAGGAAAATAGCCTTTCCTGTGCTTTTCGACATTCAAGTTGTCATTAAAAAACAGGAACGCTAAGTTGAATGAAATCATTCTCAAAAATGTAGAAATGCTAATAGTACGATAATAATATCACGCTGATTGAGTGCGTTAATCAAGCGGAAATCGGACAATTACACAATTAGAAATCATTGTCATGGTAACAAATCGTTCCTGCAGAGTGGGCCAGGAAATGATGTCCGGATTAATTTCTATCAGAATCATCTGTCGTTAAATCAGTTAACGGTTGGGTAGAAAACAATAACCGTTTAAAAACAAATATAGATGAAAATACAATGGATCAAAACGTGGTAGAATTAAGTTTAATACAGGAGTGGAAACATTCTTTTCGAAGTCATACTCGAGAAAACGTCATTTTTCGGATAGAAGGTCTATGCAAAAAACTACAACGAGGAACCCATTGTCAAAAGAGTCATCGAAACACTTCTCTGGAGTGAATTCTATTTTAATCTTCAAGTGGAATGAACTAAAATAGAAAAAATCTCTTATATGACACCTAAAGTCAGAGGCTCAAACTGCAATTTTGGGGGAATACGTATAGGGAAAACGAAGGAACGGTTATAAAGGACTATGTCACGACTGCCATGTCTGTATGGGATTGGAAACACTCGTACCACAATAAATATATCATCCCCTGTGATCATTGTTGACGTCATTCGGCTAAATTGGTCCTGATTCTTTTAATCGAATTCCTTGATACTAAAATATACGTATTTTGATACCCAATAATACATAGCAGATGACTTGTCTCGATTTTGGTGGCAGCTAACCCCTCTCTATCAATTCTGAGATTGTGTACGGTATTATACGCAGTATTGATCTGCTTCTGTTTAGTGTCGCCCCATCCCAATCTTACACAAACATGAAAATCAACAGCCATTTATATCGCAAAATCTGGGATGACGAAATAAGATTTTTGTAGTTTATTCAAATTATTTGGTCATTATTTTGTCTCTGCTCCGACAAAATTCATTCTATTCCAACAATATATAATAACAAATAATAACACCTCAAAAACCTGGAAAGACCTATAATATTTTGCCTATCTAACAATGTACTACACACACATGGAAATAGGACAAGGTTTAAATGAGTATAGGCCGTGGTCGGGACATTATCTGTTGAACATCGAATAAGCCATTAAATGTAACTTATTAGGCAGTCAGGGGAAATGGTGTTTCGAAAAAGATCAATAAAAATTGCAAGATATTACGAAAATGGCCTTCGCCGTATTTAGCATAGATCTTGGATGAAAAGAAGGGGATAATGTCAATTAACTCAGGGTTTAACATCCCTTTCCGCTTCACCGAAGGGTACAGGTGTAACCTATAGCTCATACGTCATTAACTTCCATAATTAATTAACATTTCCCTCTCTACTCCGTCACCTTTCTCCACATTGTATCAATCTCTCGCCCTCCATCACTCCGTCGCAATCTCTCACTCTCTCTCTCTCTCTCTCTCTCTCTCTCTCTCTCTCTCTCTCTCTCTCTCTCTCTCTCTCTCTCAGACCCTCTATCCCTCATCTTCTTCACCGCTCACCCCTTCTTCTATCATTCCCTCCTCTCACTATTTCTTTCATCAGCATCCTGGCTTTCTATCGTCGTTGTACGTAGCTGTCTGTATGTCTGTACAAAATAGGCTTCGCATATATTTCCAAATTACGACGGATACATTTTAATTTCATAATCAAAGTAACCGATCCCTCTCTGCCCCACCCAATGCCATTCGGTCACTCTACCCCCTCCTCGAGTCACCCTTCTACCCCTTCCCCTCTCTCTCTCTCTCTCTCTCTCTCTCTGTCTAGCTATCTCTTATCAGCTATCATCCGCCTGTCATACCGTACTTTATAACATTAATCTCATTACCCTGAAACTGACCCCCAAATAATCATTATGCCTTATGCCTAGGGTCCAAAAGAAGAATATATTATTCAATCATCTGAATTAAAGTGTTACATTCCAGTTTCTATTTCGCCCGCACATGTCATCCACTTCAAAAATACTTGTATGCCTATATAAATTGCACACGGAAGGGTGCTTCGATGGAAACTTGATTGGACACCTTTTGTGTGTAAGGTTTCGAAACTTCCAGAGCAAAGGAATATATAAATGAATTTTAATAATGGAATAGAATAATAATCACCGCAAGTGTCTAGCAGGTAGCTATATAATACAAACATTATATCAATACATTTGGCAGTTATCACCTACATGAATGACACGACTATACATAATTTATTTGATAAGCCTATAAAAGCGTGATAAAAGGATATAATAGTGTTTCATATTCGATAAGCCTATAGCATAATCATGTTCACAAGATCAAACAATGAAGCATCTTCAAACTTCAAAGTTACATAAATTTAATTTGTTTTAGTAGCACGCTAGTGAAACCATATAGGCACTAGCACTTATCATAATATTGTATCATTGTAACTATGCACTGAGTATTAGGTAAACCTTATTTCTGATTAAGAAGCATAATATACATATCATATACAATTCGAGAATTCTCAAGAGCCAGTACTGCTCCGTACCAATCTGTTCACCAATATCCTGTTTCAAACTTGTCATTTATTTTGTATTAAGGTAGATATAGAATATAAATTAACTTTCTGACGGAACGTAAGTGGAGGAAGAAATTCGTTTTTTATTCCTTACACAGCATTGATTTTTGTTTTTCGTACGATGACTTCATAACGATAATAACCCATTTTGCATATTTCCAATCTATAGGCTCTTTAATAAATGTGTACAGCATACTACTATCAATGGCTATTGCTATGTTCTTCATGTAGCATTGCAAGGACTGAAATTGGATACTTCGATTTCTTTTCAGCGTGTCCATTATTTACCCCTGACATCTCCAAATAATGTCCAAGCTTTACCCGACGTAGCACAATAAGGACTTTTAGATTTGCGTGGACTGATACGTGTGACGTCCATTCAAAGCAGTGCATTACAAGGACGTCGATCGTAGCAATCCACTATTATCGTCTTCGTGCAAATCTAAAAGTCCCTATTGCATCAATATGTGAAACTCTGTTTCGTAGAGTATTATCCCACCGCTGCCACCGTTTATACGAGCATGGCGACTTTCCACTCAAGGTTTTCGCCCGAGCTCTGAAAGCTTGGTGGTTCTATAACAGAAAACATCGAGCTTACACTAAGCATAATCAACAATAAGATTAGAATAACAATAAGAAGATGAGGGGTCATAACGTTACAATTCCATTCAGTAGTAGTTAATGTATTGGCGCTGTGATCTGATTACTGAAATACAATGACAAGAAACTAAGAAAGATAGAAGATTTTGTCACGGTGCATGCACTAGATAAGA